TCTTTCCTAGGCTCACAGGAAATGGGGGGGTGGAGGAGAAAATGACAATTAAGCAACACAAGCCACTAGTGTGCTTGCCTTATAAGTATTCTTGAATAAAACAAGTGTGTGTGTGTGTGTGTGTGTGTGTGTGTGTGTGTATGTGTTTAAAATTTGGAGGGTCTGGTTTAAATAAAACCTTTAACCCTAGCGAGCCAGGACGCCAGTGTGTATGGGAAGTATGGGATTTGGGTGGGGTGTGCTCCATGGCGGCCAGGATCTTGGCATTTCGGTGGGGAGCGGTTCTACAGAGGGTGCGGTAGACAAAACAAAAAGGAGCGCTTGAATCATGCTTGAAACAAAATGTTGGATTCAGCAGGAGCCAAAACCATGAGAACTGGCCTATATCCTCGGGGTTTAAGAGCGATCCAGACAGGCTCTGCATGGAGTGCAAGTATGAATAGCGGCGGCGGGCAAGCAGACGTGGCGCCTCTGCTCTCACCTCCACAGGAACTGGTGTGGCACCGAACCCGCCACCACTTTGTGCCCTGCCTTCCCCCTGCACCCGGGGCGACTGTGAGGAGGTTTTCAGCAGCCCTGCCAGCTCTGATGTCCCCTGATACAAAGTCTCCTAAGAGGAATTATCTCCCCTGGAGTGGCCTTCCTGGACACCTGCGGCACTGAGGGGTCCGCCTGGGCAGGCAACTTGGCCGTGCAAGGCTCTTGTCTATAATTCAGCATGGAGACCAGAAAAGCTGGCAAGCACTGCAGGGTTTCTGAGGTCCTCCCAGGGGGTGAGTGCACAGGAGGCTCACCTGGATGTTGCTGTATTTGCACGTGACCCTGAGGCTTTGGGATGACACCTTGCGCCAACACACCTATGCACCTCACACTCCTAGTGGTGGGTGATGGTGATGGCGGGTAGGAGGGCACTAGAGGGCCAGCACTGGTGAGCCTTGCTGGACCCTAGGCTCACCCGGCTGCCTGCCCTCTGTCCTTCAGAGCTATCAGTGGTACGATAAGGGAGAGGCATCTCAGGAAATTAGCAAAGCTTAGAGAGGCAGTGCAGCCTCCATGTTGGAGGAAATGGTGTTGAACTGCAGGTCTGTGGGATTCAGTCTGCTTCAGCACCAGGGGATCCGCTGCTGGGGCAGCTGCTGCCTTCAGCGAGCTGCACCGGGCTGGCCTGCTGCGTGCGCTGGGAGGACTTGAAGGAAGAGCGAAGGGAAAAGATCACTTTGTATTTATTTGGGAAGGAAGCATTTAAAAAAAACAACACAAACCCAGAAATCAACTATCAAATATGAGATTGAGATTGCAAGTATGGCTGTCATCCTTCCCGTGGGTGGTACCTAACTGTCACCCTTCCCTCTGTTCCTTTACATGTAAAGGTTCTTAAAATCCTCCACCCACACCTACCACAGATGATTCCAATCTTTCCCCTGGACTGCCCTTGTCTTTAAGTAGCCCCCAGTGGTCCCTTCAATGTCCGGAAGGAGCATGGCTGAGGTTCTTTCCAGCATCCTGGGTGCATGGCAGAAAGTAGCAGTTCAGAGAAACGATGCACAGCCTCTTGTGGACCATAGGACACAAGGGGGACAATTGGAATTCACAGTCTATGGGAGAACAGATGGTGAGATTTCCACAGAACATGACTCTTTCTCAACTGCTCGGCTGAAACAGGAAACTGTCATCCTGCAGGTTAAATGTGGCCAAATATTGGCACTTCTACATACTTCGAGCTGTGTGTTGCAGTCAACTTATCTTTCTAGAACTCAGATGACTGTCCTGTAATTCCTACTTGTTTTCCCTACCCTCTGTTCCCTAAACATGACTCCTGTGACCCAAGAAGGGAAGTACTGCAAAACAACCCCTAAGCATCGGAAAGCAAAATCTTCCATGAATGCCCCCGATCTTCCTCTAGAGTGAAAAGGGACCCGTGTTAAGAGTGCACTGGCATTCTCGTAGGCTACCTTGTCCAACCTGCAAAGTCATGTGCCAACAAACCAACATTCAGCTACCCACTGGTACACAGCGAAATGTCCAGAGTCTAAACAAGGCTCAACTTACAGCAACTCCAAATCGGACCAAGAAAATCCAAGCCACAGCTGGAGACCACACTGCTGCCCGCAGCTGCTAACACCTGGAGCCCCTAGACTCGGTTTCTGCGTCTGGGGATTCCTGATGCTTCTGCAGATTTGGGGGATGAATCTGAAATTCATGGGGATATCTAAGTTGTTCAGATTTCCATCAGCGGTTATCAGAGGCAGGTAAAACAACCGCCGGGGCCGGTAGGGCTCTCATTAAGAGTCTGAAGCGCCCAGTGCTGCCGGACAAAGTTTCCAAGGAGGTAGCCTCTGCCTGTGGCTGGTATTTCCCATGCAGCGCCCCTCACGATCCTTTATTTTGGGCACACAGCATCTGGCAGTGAGGCTCCCCAAGGCTCCTGAGGAGCAGGCTGCAGTGTGGAGGATTACTTCTCAACAGTCAACACTGCCGTGAGATGCAGTTCCTCGTGATCTATGACAGCACTCGCGCTGTGCCAAGGACTGGTGCCGGACAAAACTGAAGGCGCATGTTCAAGTTTTAAAGGATGCCCCAAGGCATGTACTTCTAGTCCACACGGCTAATTTCTTATTGACAAAGAAAAACATGAAAAGGTTGTACTATTTTATTTCTTGGATGAAAAATTTAAGCGCACCAGCTTTTAAAAATTATTTTTTATTGGAAAATCAGATTTACAGAAAGGAGAGACGGATCTTCTGTTCTTCGGTTCACTTCCCAAGTGGCTGCAATGGTCAGAACTCAGCCAATCTGAAGCCAGGAGCCAGGAGCTTCTTCCGGGTCTCCCACATGGGTGCAGGGTCTCAAGGCTTTGGGCCGTCCTCAACCACTTTCCCAGGCCACAAGCAGGGAGCTGGATGGAAAGCGGGGCTGCTGGGATATGAAGTGACAGGCATATGGGATCCCGATGCATACAAGGTGAGGACGTTAGCCACTAGGCTACTGCCCTGGGTGTGCATATTAATTTCTGAAACAATATACTTGGATTAATTTCTCAAACTTGGATTAATTTCTATGCTTGCTTCGAGCTCATGTCAGATCACTCGTTGAATCTGTCTGCTTCCACGCTGAATGAAATCTACAGCCTTGCCACAGGAGAACTTTGGAGTGCATGGAGAATCTTTGAGGTGTCCAGGAAGTCAGGGTCCAGGTAGTGGGAGGAAGCAAGGGCCTGTCTGGATTAGGCTTTGTACGGGGATGTACCTGGGGTGCAGCGGCCAGCCAAGCCCTGCAGTGTCCTGCTCACGCTGTTGCTCTGCGCTCGTGTCCGGCTGCACAGGGCCCGGTGAGCAAGCCCTCCGTCTCTCCCAGAAAGGGGATGGGGAGATGGGGCAGAATTCCATAAAATTCTCAGCCACAGAACTACCCCAAAATAAGCTTTATTGCAAGAAAAGTGTCATATTTGATACACAGACCTACAGAAACAAAGTCAAAAACCTTAAGTTTTTTTCCTCAGAAACACTTGATTACAAATTTACACTGTTTTCCTTCTATTTATTTATTTATTTTTTAGTTATCAAACAAAATGAAACAGAAACCAAAACAAAAAGCCCCCAAACACTGGATATAATAGGTTCCTAATCTTTGGTCAGCACCGGTGCGGAAGGAACGGCCGGGTGTTGGCGTGCGCTTCGGCCATCTCACCGACGGGGCCTGGGGACGGGGTCTTGGGTCGAGAAGAACACGGAGACGTACGCTCTCCTTAGCACCTCCTGGCATGACGGCGTGTTAAATGACTACACTGAACTACACATCAACTCATTGTACACATGTCTTTCATACACGATAGGCTATGATAAAATGAGGCTTATGGTGTATAACTAGAGTATTAATGAAAATTCTAAAAATAAAAAAAAAACAAATAGAACTTAAAAACAACAACAACAACAACAACAACACATATTCCTCGGCTGCACGGCATGATTCGCTTGCACATATGGCAATCCCGAAATAGCTTGAACATAATAAACGCACCATGAACTGAAGACAGCACCGAAGACTCCAGAAGGCCACAGCCCCCGCTCGGAGGCCTGGCTCCTCTGCCAGCTGCCTGCGGGCCCGCAGGTTGGCCACGGCGCCCTGGGTGGGAGCACAGGTGCTTCCGTGAGGTCACGAGAAGGAAATACAGTACAGTCCGGCCTGCGACGCTGAAGGTCTCCCTAGCAGTCAGGGTATTTTGCTACAGCGATAAGCTCCTGCTTGCCTCGCCCGGTCCTGGGGATGAGAGGGAAGGGCAGCGAGCTGCCCTGGTTTCGTCTCCTCCCTCAAGCAGCCAGGCACAGCCGGGTCGTGAAGGTCACTTGGTTGTTCGCTGCCCGCTGTGTGCCAGCTGCCCGGCTGGCAGAAAACCAAAGGAAACTGCATCTCTGCGGTCTACTGGACTTTTTTTTTTTCTTTTTCAAAAAAGCACCTCTAGGAAGAGAGAGCTCAAATTTATAAATCTAAAGAAAAACAAGCACGTTTCCCTTTCCTGTTTACATAGCTTGTTCATTTCTCCATATATTACTGCATTAAAAATAAATAAACATCTATATTTTTTTCCATTAGCGACTATAGCAAAATACCCCAAAGTGTTACAGACTGCTAACAGGAAAAAAAAAAAGCTCACATTATTATTATTTTTTTCTGTGCATTTAGTGCCATATGCTTGCTCTATTGGACATTCAGCTTTTTTTTTCTTTAAAAAATATATTTTAAAATGAAGTTATATATATATAAAAAAAATACAGTAACCACGATTGCCTTTTGTACTTGAATCTTTGGCCACACCAGAGTCCCCGAGACTCCATCCCCATGAGGGTCAGCGCGAGGCAGTCTGCGGCAGGAAGGGCACGGAGCCCAGTCCTCCGGGGGCCTCGTCCTTGGCCTCCGTGGCCGACGCCCCCTTCCTCTCCAGGCTGGCACGGCGTGCGCGTGCGCGTGCGTGGGCACGGCCGCGGGGTGCACAGGGGATCCCCTCAGTAGAGCTGGATCTGCAGACGCATGCGCAGAGCTGCCCCCAGCTCGCCCAGGAGGTAGTCGTGGTCGTTAGTCTCCTCCAGTTTCTGGAGCTCCTTCTTCTTGTAGAGAGGGACGCTCGAGATTTCCAGTGTGTAGGTGCCAGGCGCCAGCTTCTTCCGGGCCGGGTGCAAGTAGCTGAGGCCGTTGCGCTGGTGGATACGGAAGGCGCCCGCTTCGTTCCCATGGGAGATGACGTAGCGGACATGGTTGGTGAGGGGCTCGATGGCCGGCAGGAGTTCCAAGATGTGCTCCTTGGAGCCCAGGCCTGACACGTTCAGCTTCACGTGGACAGGGCTGTCCATGGCAATGCTCTGCAGGGTGCTGGGCTGCACCTGGGGAGGGGAGAGGGCGGCAGATGCGGGGTCTGTGGCGTGGCCCATCCGGTGTGTGGTGTGTGGGGTGTTGGTGCCTGCAGTTTGTAACGAACTCACGGCATATGTCTGCATTTTGTTTAGTGCTGTACCCTGGCCTGTACCTGTGACCACCCCCGCCATGGGCGCCTAGCGCTATTGGCCCAAGGCTACAGTCCTGGCTTGAGCTTGCCCAGAGCTGTCAGCGCTCAGCACTGCCAGTGGTCTGCAGATTTCATGGGGGTACAGGCTCTACGGGAAACCTGGCCTGAACTGTCTTGGGGACGGGGTGCAAGGAGGAACATCTGTGTGGATGAGGGGGCAGGCAGAAACGCACCCGACTCTGATGGGGTAGTTGTATGGTGGCCCGCGGGCCCTCTCACACTCAACTCAGAAGTTGGATTTCAGTCCCCCACGTGTTGGGGCGAAGCTGTGTGAACACAGTTCTGCATGTGCAGCTTTGGGGGCACCTTTGTCTACTGAAGATCAGGAAGACACAGACTTAGTTGTGACCCTAAGGCAGGAGCGGGCACTTCTGGAGATGAGCAGTGATCCAGGGCCCAGAAAACTGGAGCGAGTTGTCCAGTTGACCCAGTCTGTCAGCTGCTAGCTAGGTTAGGGAAACACGCCCCGTGTTGCGCAGATCACAAACAGGAACAGTTTGAAATCGCTTTGTAATCACTTCAAAAGAATCATCTTCTAGATGAGTACCTTACATCTTTTCATACAAACCAAGAATTAAAACTAAAGAAAGTGACCTGATATTGTGGCTCTTTTTGTAACTCCATAAACAGTGTTATATACTAATAGCAAATGCCAAAACCTACTAAGATAGGGGATGCTCTAACAGTAGGCTCTTAAACCTTCACACAAACTCAGGCTGGACACTGTAAACCCTACAGTCTACTAACTCAGTGAATTTTCATTTACTCATCTTTACTGTATCTGTCCCCTGTGAACCTGTTTACTTGACCCAGCACTGAAAATGGCATAAGGCATACTATCCATGCATGTGGTCACGCTGCACGGGGCAGCATTTACTCACAGCTGCTGCTTCCAGCTCCTGGGTGCTCCTCTTCCGCCTGCTGTCTTTCTTAGGGTAGCCGTTGATTTTGCACTCGTAGCAGGCTTCCGGGGACAGGGCATTCTCCTCGTCCACCTCTGTGTCCAGCGACAGGTACTGCCCTTTGTTGAAGCCCAGTCCTGACACGCAGTGGCTGTTGACAAGGAGCAAGTACAGTTGGACTTTCTCACCCACGTGACCGCCCTTTGTTAGTGGCAGGACCGACACTGCTCCAAGCTGACTCTTCGTGTCTGGCATGACTTCTCCAACATCCAGCACACAGCACTCTCCCTTACTGTGCCCCAGCAGGACAGATCTGGGAAGGGGTCACCCTAGCTTTCCCATGTGTCCAGCCCTGCCTGGGATGGGGCATTTGTGGATACATCTACTCAGAAGGAACAAGCAGGGGCAATGTTTAAAGAACGGTTATATTGTGCAACAAGTCTGAAGCCTGCACTCACTCCTGGCATGGGAGCACCCTGCTTTAGCAACTGAGGTTTCAAATGCCACATTCTGGTGAATCAAAAGGTCCGCGAAGTGGCTCTGTAGCACGTATGCCCAGACCCAGGCTTTTCAGTACTATCAGATGCCACTGCGAGACCAGATGTCCATGTTGGCCTCATGTCCCCATACCCCGACTCCCTGCACCCCACATCCTGTGCTCCACAGAAGTGAAGCAGGGACAGCACCTTAGCTGCAGTGCCTGGGACCTGATGCCATGCTGCTGGGTCCCAGGAGGCCAGCCTGACATGGACCCTGCTGTGTGTGGCCATTCCAACCCTGACACCATCCTGTCTAAAAACCCAGTGAGCAACAGACTCCTCCCCGAGGGACTGACGGGCCCGCTGCCATGCTTGGAACAAGAACACAGGGATAGGCCGTGTCTACCTCCACCTCGCAGCCCCTCTGCAGCTGCATGGGAGCTGCCTTTTCAGTGTCTGTCTGTTTCTGGCCTTGGGTCAGACTGAGCAGCTTCAGGACGCTTTGAGGAGCAATGCGTTACACTCATACACAAAGTCTCAGCCTTGCCGCCGAGGAGGCCACTCAGCTGAGTCTGTGCCTGCCTGGCACTTCATCTCACCCCTTGAAAGAGCCCCAAGCCACACTGTGGCCTTGTGAGCTTTAAACACTGTCCCTCTTCCCGATGTGGCTGCTCTGACTCTGGGGAGGGGAGGCTGCCCGGTGGGACCACGCTTTCCTGTGGAGGGAGGCTGACGGGTTGCCTTACCCTTGGCCCACTCTGTAGTACCCAGGTGGGCAGCCACAGAGGTAGCCTCCCTCTGTGTTGGAGCAGCCGTAATTGCAGGGGTTTTTGGAGGACGAACACTCATTCACATCATGGCAGGCACTGGAGAACTGGTCGAAGGAGAACCCAGATGGGCAGGTGCACTTGTAACTTCCCAGGGTGTTGTAGCAGGATGCGGAGCCACAGGCATTGGGGTTGGAACACTCGTTCTCATCTGTGAAAGCAATGCCAAGGGTGTTTAACAGAGGCCAGGGACAACGGCCTGGAGCAGAGTGATAAGGCCTGAGGACCTGTGAGTGCAGCAAGGGCGATAACACTACAACCTTAGTACTTCTTAAAAACTTGGTTTTCATGTTTTATTTGAAAAGCACTGAGACACAGACAAATCTTCTATTGCCCACTCTCCAGATACCGGCAGCAGCCGATCTCATCCGATGGCAGGAACCCGCGTACTTGGACATCACCTGCTGCCCTGTGGGACTGGCACAGGTTAGGATTAAATCGGGTATCTACCGGTTCAGGCACATGGGGTCTCAAGTGGTGAACTAACCAATGCCAAACGCTCACAAGGATTTTAATTTTTTTTTTTTCACATTGATGACTGATGTACCAACAGTGTATGAGAACAGAAAATGCCACCAAATTGTGACTTTGCAAACACGTCTGCCTCACTCTTTTGTTTGGAGTGTCCCTGACAGGTGGGCAGCCCTTGCTTGGGGACAGGATTTGCAGTGGGCCTCTTGTGTTCTTTTAACAGAAGGTCCTTTCTAAAGCTAGTATCTAAAGAGCCTGGCCAACTCCCAACAACCTGGCTAAACGTGACAATTCAACTGCTGCTTTGTCTGTATACACGGAAGACAGACTTCTGCCACAAGGGCCCATCAGCTTTCCTGACGAGCTCCGACATTCAGAGGTACACTTTCTAACAGGGGGGCCAAATTGCAGTATAATTTAAAAAACAGTTGTGCCATGAATGCAATATTAGATATCATGTTTAAAAAAATCAGCAGCAAAACTGAACAAATTGCATCAAATGTAAGAATACTTAAAAACATGTTACTGCATCTAAACATACTATTTACAAGAATACTTTAAAACAGGTTAATATATTTTTAAAAGATTATTTATTTTACTTGAAGGAATTACAGAGAGAGGAAGAAGATCCACCTGCTGATTCGATCCCCAAATGGCCACACAGCAAGAGTGGGCCAGTCTGAAACCAAAAGCCAGGAGCTTCTTTCTGGGTCTCCCATGTGGGTAGCAGAGGCCGTCCTCTGCTGCTTTCCCAGGCAATAGGCTGGGAGCTGCATTGCGAGTGGAGCAGCTGGGACTCGAACTAGTACCCATATGGGATGCCAGCACCACAGGTGAAGAACTAGCCTGCATATTATTTTTGAATCACCATCATATGCTGTTGCATATTTGTATACTGTAATTATAATAGTTAAAATTCTATAGTTATATACATGCTCTTATTTGAGACATACTGTACTCAGACCTCACCAAGCTATGCTTGTAATTTTTTGGAAAGGCTGGAAGAGGAGCAGGCTAGTTTGCCTAGCCGTTAGCATGCTGACTCAGCTGCCTGTCATCCCATACTGGTCTGTCTGGGGCTTGGCATGCAGCTCTGGCTCCTGACACCAGACTCCCGCTGGTGCAGACCCCGGGGAGCAGCGATAATGGTTCAAATAACTGAGCTTCTGTCACCCATGTGAAAGACCTGGATTGAGTTTCCCGCTCCTTGCTTCAGCCCAGCTTGGAGCTGACCGTTGGGGGCATCTGGGAGACTGAACCAGAAGACGGTAGGTCTCTGGGCTGAAACCTGCCAGCACACCCGAGGTCACCAGGGGTGAGGCCACGGTGTTCTCCAGCCGAAGAATCACGGGAGAAAGCTGCTGAGGAGTGTCTGCTGTGCAGTATGCATAAGTTCCAGCTTTTTAAGGCAAAGGAAGGAGAGGGCAGGAGGGCATCTTCAGGCAGTCACTCCACCCGCCAAAGACGTGACTGGCTACGAGATCTGTTTCCCCTGATGACCTTTTAGTCATATCAGAGGTCATGCTCCATCCTCAGGTCACGGGCGGGTAAGTGGTGAGCCACGCCCACAGGTAGCAGGTGGTTGCCTATGCGTAGCTGTATCTCTTCCTCTGCTTCTTGATTAAATGAAAATTAAGAGGGGAAAAAAAGCAGCTATTGGAGCAACTGCAACCTATTGACATTAAGTAATAGAAGCTTCCTATGTGAAAACACAATTTTTTCACATGCAAGTGTTAATTTTCAATGTTGAATAGGTGCAAAGCCAGCATGAAGCTGGGAACATTGCCTCCGCCTGTGCACAGCGATGCTCTTAAAGGTAACAGGAACTGAAAACTTCTTTGGGTTCTGCTATTAATGCCTTCAAAGGCCTCTGAGCTCTCTTCCATTGGTGGCAGTGTGAATTCCAGAGCAGGCTTGCCATTTCTTATACGTACATTTTTAAGATGCACTAGCACTTCTGTTACCTGAGATATACAGATGTTTCTATATTCTCCCCATCACTCATGCAAGTGGCTGATGCATTCATGCCAGCAGTGATAGATAAAATGACCTGTGGCCTGTCAACTCCCACTCTGCCATGATCCTTGCTTTCTGGCTAACTGCTGCCTGCATTATTTCCTGATGGCCACTTCCCTCTATTTCTGCCAAATATGTGAATAAAACATCCACCTGTGTCATGTGCATTCAAGGGAAGAAGATCAGCAATTTGAATAGCCAATAGCTGCACTCCTCAGCTGTACACAGAACAATGTAGAAGGGGCCTGCTGCTTAGAGGGAGCCGCTAGGAAGAGCTGGCGTTGGGACTGCTGCTCAGTGCACCTTGCTGACGTCAAACCAGGCCACTGCAGAGGCAGGTGCTGAATTCACGAACCACCTGGGCAGCCACGTTTACACTCCAGGCTTACAGGCAGGGACCACTGGGGCGCTAGGCCTGGGGAATCCGGCTGAAACTGCACCTGTCGTCTAGTCTGTTTTCTTTTCAAAAGCAAGAATTCTACTGAAGTTGACACAATGTTGGCTCCTACAGAACATCCTTTTAAGTTCCACAGAATTAACCAAGAAGTTTGTATTTTTTCTAAAACAAATAAACAAAGAACCAACCCCCACAACAACTGGCCTTATATTTTGTAACTGCTATCATATTATCACAATAGTTTTTATAGCTATCCGAAAACGTACTGTTCTCTGTACTGTAGGGCCAACTTGTCATGATTTTTGACTCAATAAACCAGGCCATAGGGAGTTTTGCCACCTTTTTTTTTTTTTTTTTTTTGCCATAAAGAGGAAAAGGAGGGAACTGGATTTATCAACTTGTTTGACCAAAGTGAACATGACGCTACTGCTTTGCCTAGCAGTGTAACCGATGGACCTGCCGACCCTCAGCACTCTGTCCTCACCTGTGCACGGACCCCACGTGCCTTCCTCTCCCACGTGTGCGCATTTGCAGTGATTTGACAGTCTCCTGTTCTCAGAATCAATTCCCCTCTTCTGACACTACTTGACTTTCTTCTTAATCCACTAGCGGCTGTCAGAAACCTCCTTAGAGAAGGCCACAAAGGACAGAGTCAAGTAACTTCACCAGCCATCCCTACCAGGTCGCAGGTGAGCCCCAAACAAGGCTGCTACTATCCTGCTTGGCCACACCAGTCGGTGAGGGACCAAGAGGCTGGGCGAGGAGTCTGTGAAGTGCATCACTCAGAGCCAGTAGGTGAGTGACGGGGCTGAACAAGTTAGCTGGCCCATCAAGTGGAGAGGAATGTTCTCCTAGATCTACCGGGGGCGGGGTGTTGAATGAGGACCCCTTCTAACTCATAAACACTCGTGTGAGGACTTGCCCAGGCTAGTGGCTGCAGACAGGTGCTTGTTGCACCTCAGTGACCCTCACGTCCTGCAGGAAGCTCTGTGATGCGAGCACAGGCCCGGCATCCTGCTGAAGTTGATGTGGAGGCCTTCAGAGAGCGGGTGGACCCCCTTCAACTCCAGACCCAGGAATATCAAATTACTAATAAGAAGCAGATGACCCTGGCAAGTGAAGCACATGATGGCTGACACCATCTTCATAAACTTTAAAGGCACAGCTAGAGGAAAGTTGAAGTACTGAAGCCCCTACTTGAACTCTTACCCCCTTTCATTTATTTCTTTGAAAGGCAAAGTGACAGAGACAGAAAACAGCTCGGTCTTCCATTCTCTGGTTCGCTTCCCAGAAGACTCCAAGGTCTGGGGACAAAGCCAGGAGCTTGGGACTCCATCCTGGTCTCTGTTGCTTTCCTAGGCTCTTTAGCAGGGATCAGAAGCTGACCAACTGGGATCTGAATGAGTGCTCCCGAGGGATGCCAGCTTCTTTATCCACTGCACCCAACATCGGGTCCACGTTCTTATCTAAGTGCTCCACAGCAGCATTTTCAACGTGGATGGTTCAAACATAACCTCAGTATGAAAACTCTGGATTGAGCCTCCGTGTACAAATGCGACTGAGCACTGGTTTCTAAGTCCTAGCACTCCCAGGCCACATGAACCCCACAAGCCCTGGGACCTGTTTATGCGCAGACACGCGGAAGGGAGGAACGCAGGCGCTCTGCAACCGACAGCTTACCGACACACTGGTTCCACTGGTAGTGCTGGATGTATCCCTGAGGGCAGCCGCACCTGTAACCTCCCAGGGTGTTCTGGCAGCCGTGCTGGCACCTGTGGCTCCCGTCGCATTCGTCCACATCTGCAGAGAACAACCCAGGAAGCACATCCTTACTCTCCCTCACCCCCGACACCCGCCTGTGTCGACAAGTGCAACCCGGGGCGACTCGTGTCAGAGGAACACACGGAGACGCTGTGATGGCCTTTTCCACGGCACATGGGATTAGCCAGCAGTGATGCAATGAATGGTTCGGAGATAAGAAACCACCTCATTCTCCCGCTCTTTGCCAGACCACGGCACACCAAAGGCTAATCAACCATAGCAACCACAAATGTCATGCATTTTGGACTGATTAACCACACATGCTCTGATTTTTTCTCTTAAAATATTTGTATGTGTACATATTTGCATTACATATTCCAGTAGGTTAAAAAAAATGAACAGTTCTCATCTTGGGGATGATACAATTACAGAGATAGCTAGAAGTTGTCACTGTTTTGAAAGAAAAAGTTTTTATTGCCGTTCATGATTAATTAGATGCGGTTTTCCTTTAAAATATGTGGACATGTTATTTTTAGACAAGATGTGGTATTAGGGTACATATGGAATAATTTCTTTGCTCATATATGCATACTATTTTGGAATGACAACTGAGGCTTTGAAATACACCCAAAAGGAGTGAAATGAAATTGGCATGTCTGATGTGTGTGTAACAAATTTACATGGATAATTAATAAACGGTATTTTATGTGGATGGTCACGAACAGAATTCACGTGGCAAACAGCTGTAGGTTCAGAATATTTCTAATGACACAAAGATCTCAGATATAAAATATCAAAATGGAAATTTTAAAAATAAAAATTCATTTGGCTGAAAATGAGATATCAATGAAAGTGTTTGGATGTTTATGGGCCCAGCGTGGTAGCCTAGCGGCTAAAGTCCTGGCCTTGCACACACTAGGATCCAAATGGGCGCTGGTTCTAATTCCAGCAGCCCCGCTTTCCATCCAGCTTCCTGCTTGTGGCCTGGGAAAGTAGTCCAGGAAGGCCCAAGGCCTTGAGACCCTGCACCCACGTGGGAGACCTGGAAGAGGATCAGGACTCCTGCCTTGGATTGGTTCAGTTCCAGCCACTGCAGTACTTGGGGAGTAAATCATCGGATGGAAGATTTTCCTCTGTCTCTCCTCCTCTCTATATATCTGACTTTTCAACAAAAATTAAATAAATCTTTTTAAAAAAAGTGTTTGAATGCTTACAACCAGCATTGTTAAATTGTTTAAATATGTTTCAAGAATTCAAAATCATGTATATCCAAGAATAACCTGGGCAGGTATTTGGACTAGCAGTTCAGCCACTGGTTGGGATTCCACATTTCCCATCAGAGGTCCTGGGTGTGAATCCTGGCCGTGTTCCCAGTCTTGCTATCCAATCATGCTATCACGCTCCAGTACTTGGTTCCAGCGAGCCCTCGCCGAGGCCTGGGGTGAGTTCCTGGCTCCCCGCTTCCTGCCCAGCTCAGCACAGGGCTGGGCTTTGGCCACTGCCCAGGGAGGGCCATTCTGGCCCTTCGGAGTGCAAACCAGACAGTGAGCGAGAGCTCTTTTGCATCTGTTCACCTCCTGATGCCTGTCTCTCAAATGTAAAAACAAAATGGAAGTGACCCAAATCAGTAAAAATACTCACTGTCATATTAAAGAAAAGCATAAAAGGGTTTGGGTTTCCTGCTGTTGGATGCTGAGTATTTTATTAAAGGCACCAACCTTAAAATACCCGCTTAACCAATCACTAGCATCTGTAATGTGAATTACATTGAGAAAAATGTAATTTTTTTAGAAAACATTTGAAGATTTATCTATATAAAGGTAACAGATTTTGAGAACATAATTAATGAGACTTCCTTCCCTCCCTTCCTCACTCCCAGCCTTCCTTTTTCATGTTTAATTTTGGTGCTGACACACCTTTAGTTTATAATCACAAGCTTAATCTACATAAAGAATTCACTAAATAATAAGTAGATATATTATTGTTCCTCAAGAATACAGACAAAGTGCTATAAACGATAATCCAATCTCAATTTTATTCACTTCCGTTACTTTTTAAAAGTACTTAACTAGATCAGGCACCATAAATCGGAGAAACTATATGATTTTTGTCTTTTGGGGGTTGGTTTATTTCACTGAGCATAACCGTCTCCAACTGCACTCATTTTATTATGAAAGGATTCCACTCTTGTTTCTGGCCGAGTAGCATTCCATTGTGTATGCATACAATTTGTTTATGAAGTCATCAGCTGACAGACACTGGGCTCACGGGCCCCCATGGCATTTTACTGACTGCAGGTGCACTCATGTCTCGTGTTTGAGGAAATGTTGCCTTTGATTTCACAGGAAATGACTGTGACCGGGGTGAGCGTATAGGGGATGCCTGCTGTGCAAGAGTGGGGACTGAAACAGCCTCGGCTGCCCACGAGTGCTCCCACGAGTGCTCCCACGAGTGCTCAATATCTCCAGGTCCCTGCAGTGAGTGTGTGTTCTTAGACACCTAATGTCTTGCATATTCAACAAAAGCTTAAGTATTCTATTTACTTGGTAAAAGCTCATACGCCGCTGTAAACCATATTAGGCAGAGAATTTTTTTCATATTAAATTGTTTCTCAGAGACAAGTCTGGTTATTTTAAAAGTTAATTCTGTTGTCTACAAAAAATCATAATCACGGTGTTTTTGCTACATCGCATTAACATTTTCCTCTGCTCTCAAAAGAAAAAAAAATAAAATCTTTTGAAGGAAAATCAGCTGCTAGGCCTTATTTTTCTCTTCTGAGATGACTTCAGCGTGTTGCTTGGTGGTCTGACAGTGAGGGGAAGCGCAGTTACTGGGTTACAGACTCACCTTCGCAGTTGAGCCCGGTGGCATCCAGAGAGAACCCTCGCTGGCACTCACAGTTGAAGCTGCCAGGCGTGTTCTGACAGATGCCCTTCGCCCCGCACAGGGACGGCTGAGACCCACACTCGTTGTTGTCTAGCAAAGGACCGAGAGAGAGAGAGAGAGAGAGAGAGAGAGAGAGAGAGAGAAGGGTCAAGTTTTGCAACCCCCGTGCCATGTGAAGTTTACTGGATGGAGGAAGTCACAAGACCTAGGCTTCATGACAAAAGCAGCGTTTTCAAATTTACATCAGAATTCACAGTCATACCGGAAGCTACAGTGCTCAGAAAAGCATCATACTTTCCTACAGTTTGGGAATTGTACATCTTTTGGGGGTGACTGAAGGGATGATTCCAGGTAGTGCGGACTCAAAGTCTCCTCATGTGCTTTTCCAAACTGGAATGTCCCTAGCATGCTCCACTAGCCCCCTGGCCATGGTAGGGAGACCCATTGTCTTGTAGGGGACCGGGGCAGCATTCCGAAGGCAGTCTCCAGGCACTGCTTGACAGGGGCCAGCTGTGCCCAGAGCACGACTACTCCTGTGCAAGACTCTCCATTATCAGTAGCTTCTTCAGAACCAAGCTGTCTACAGACAAGCACTGAGACTGTATTCCAGCTGTTGTTTAACACACTGTGGATGCTTCTCCCAGGAGCTGCCTTACCAATACAAGCAGTGTGGTGCTGAGTGAAGCCAGGGGGACATTTACACGTGAAACCTCCCAGGGTGTTGACGCAGAGGAACTGGCAGTTGTGTTGCTTGGTCTGACACTCATCAAGGTCTGAAAGGAAAGAGAAGGCGGGGCTCACTGGCACTGCACGGCTTTGCCAGGGAGGCCCGGGAGGCGTGCATGTCCCATCCGGAGAGGGTGGGCTACTTCTGCTGGGATCGGGGTGCACGTCTGCATGCCAACGGCAAACGGTTTCCTTTTTGTACACTTAAGTGGAATAAATACTACTATGATAACATGGCTAAGTTGATCCACAGCACACTTTCTTAAAATGACGAATGACAGAATCTCGGCAGCTTCCACGAACATCTCAGAACTCACATCCACTTGTATTTAATGTAGTTCAGTACATGGCTGTCTATCTGGTCCTTCCAAAGGAAGAATTAAATAAACAGAATCTGGACATTAGTGAAGGACAGCCTAGGCAATGACAAGTCAGACCCCAACAAAAGCATCGTCACTAATTAGTGAAAGAATAAAGTCACGTCCGCTGTATCCTAGTCCTAAGCAGTAGTGTTATCTGGGCTCTCCTAATATAAACAAGTTTGACGTTGGTTAGACTGAGGCTCATTTTTGCCATATAAGGTGTAGACAAGACTAGTTCCCTATTGTATTGCTTAAGCAATACTTTGGTTGTACTCATCTGTAAGCAATCTACAAAATTAAATCAATCCACAGCAGCTCATGAAACAGCTCCAAGACAATGGCAGTGTCTATTAACTCATTTTAAAATATGTCCTAAGAATAAAACTAAAGACAATCTATATTTTTTTTTCCTCCGCTCATTAATTTCATGTTGGCGAGATCTCATATAAAATCAAAGGAATGATTATAGCGCTGAAGCTATCTCAATGGACTGGCACTATTCACAATTACCTTTAATATTGTCTAAGTAAAAAACTTAACATTTATTCATTAGGTTTCCCTTTTCTGCAAGCAAACTTATAACAGGGATGGCTTAGAAACACGAAATCTTTGACAAGCAATGAAACCAAAAGGCTTATTTAGTGATGTGTTTCTATCTCTTCCTCCTCTTTCATTTTTGCTTTCTTCTTGTGTTGGAGAAGTGAGGCCCGGTACCTTGGGCTTGAATTCTGTCTGCCCTGCACCAGGCGTCAGGATGAACGGCCTGGCCACCAGAAGGACACATTCTGACGGCACGGGGTCTGATTCCCTAACTGACAACGACCTGAGAGCCGAGAGGCAGCCGGTGTCGCGGGGGCGCCGGGGCCTGCCTCACCTCTGCACGTCTTCCCATCCTCCTGCAGCACGTAGCCCCGCGGACAGGAGCACTGGTAACTCCCCTCTGTGTTCTTGCAGATGAAGTTGCAGGGTTTCGGGGACTGGGAACACTCGTCAAGGTCTGTGTCAAGAGCAACAGGGAGGTTAACCGCCTGCTTCAAGGGAACAGGCGATCTTTCTCCCCCTCCGTGTTCTGTCTCCGTTTTGAAATGTGAAAGGGAGAGAAGCAGAGATGCACAACACATTCTTCTCTGAAGCAATGCAACTGATTCCCACTGTGGTTTCATCCGGCATCTCGGCCCACGGCGTCACTGCCAAGGTGCCACAGGGGTCAGGGCGCCAGCACCACTGCCAAGGTGCCACAGGGGTCAGGCTGCTAAGTTCTTTCGAGTAACATATTCTGGTTCACAACTTGGAAATCACACACTTAAATACTCTCTCTTTCTAATAGGTAGATGTAGCACAATTTCTCCTAAAATGTTCTTAGCTTAAAGTCCCCGATGGGATCACAGATTATGCTGGAAATCTTCCTCAAGGGCCAGACCTCAGGCTGCCCTCACACACGAGGCCGACCTCTACCGACCCCATTACCTGGCCCTCATCACCTGTCTGTCCTCTGGTTGGTCCTCCCACTCCTCCTCCCTGCAAGGGGGGCCCTGCCTGGCTCAGCTGCAAGGTCAGAGGTCACTGGTCCCTTGCAGATGGCCCTAGGAGACCAGCTAAGTCCTTCGGGGAGACCGGTCAGTAAAGACCAGTCTGAGCCTTTTGCAACTGACATGGAGCAGTGTCGGGGAGACAACATAAAATTAAGTAAGGAGTCAAAACTGAAAAGCAGGAGGGGCGTTCAGCGCAGAGACTGTCCAGTGACACGGCAGACGACGCTTCCCTGGTCTCCTTCGTGCAGAAAGACGGATGAGGCGCAAGCACAGCCCTGCTCCTCCCTCAGGGGACTCACAAATGAGCAGAGACACACTTCAAATACAGTGTAAGACGCTGCAAGTGGGTATTTCTAAGTTTCACATTCTGTTGAACCACAGCCCCGACGAACTAGAAGCCACATGGCAGAAGAACAGCGTCACCTTGCCAAAACGTGCACCACTTGCTCCAACAGAGTGAGTCATGAGTGCAGCAGCCATGCCCCAGGTCCCACCTTACCCACGCAGGAGACAGAGTGAGCCGTGGGGTGCAGCAGCCATGCCCAGGCCCCGCCTTACCCACGCAGGTGGTCCCACTGATGTCCGTGGTGTAGCCAGCCTTGCAGAAGCAGCGGAAGGAGCCCATGGTGTTGATGCACTGGCCGTTGGGGCACAGGTTTGGCATCACCTTGCACTCATCAATATCTGTGGGTCGAAAACAGAGCCAAACAAATGCAGACACATGCAAGTTGACAAACACACAAGGGCAAAACTGGCCAGAAAGGATGAGACATGAAAGGACGGGGACACTCCACAACTAACAGTGACCCCCACAGCAGCCCCAAGGCATCACTTCATCACCCGCCCACCTTTCCGTCCAGTTCACCCACGTGCCCGCAGTCCCGAGTGGACAGCAGGCGTGGATTAACTGCCCTTCTCACCTCTCCCGTCGGTGCTGTACCCGGGGCCGTGAGGACAGAGCTTCTTGTACTGGGCAGTCGCAGGGAGCGGGCAGAGCTCACACTGATGGCCCCAGCCTCGCCCACCGTCACAGCAGCATTCCGACTTGGTGACCAGGTTGCGGCTGCTGGACGCCATCTGGCACATGGTCTGCAGCACTTCGGCGAAGCACAGGCCCTGCCGGTTGTCTGAAACGGCCGAGGCAGAGCCAGGTCACAGAACCGACACGCCCAGGCTGGGCTGGCAAGTACACCGAGCCCATCTCCGTTCTTCTCCTTAGCTATTACGTATACAATATGTATACACTGCTCTCTCACTGCAGGCAGATATATTCTGCACTCTAGCAACACATTTTCCCCCCAGTCATTAGTAACTGAATGGTATTAAACCACCATTTCTTTAGAGTGCAAATGAAATTTAAAAAGATTTATTTATTTTTATTGGAAAGGCAGATATACAGAGCGGAGGAGGAGGGGAGAAAGAGAGAAAGATCTTCTGTCCGATGGTTCACTCCCCAAGTGACTGCAATGGCCAGAGCTGAGCTGCTCCGGAACCAGGAGCTTCTTCTTCCAGGTCTCCTACATGGGTGCAGGGTCCCAAGGCTTTGGGCCGTCCTTGACTGCCTTCCCAGGCCAGAAGCAGGGAGCTGGATGGGAAGGAGGGCTCCTGGGATTAGAACCAGCACACATATGGGATCCTGGCGTGCTTGAACCAAGAATTTTAGCACCAGGTCCCAGGCATTATCTCTAAAAAGCGAGTTCTAGACTATAGTAGAAGCTTGCTCTTACTCATTCAATCTGATCTTTGTGTTTTCTACATCTAAAGGACTATTTAAATGTTTGGGCTAAACAGATTTTTAAAATTATAAATACAGGGATTTCTCTACATAAACACACAAAAATTCCTGTAATAGGGTTTTCTAAGTCATCCTAATGAAACAGTTAACAAAAACCACATCTTCTGTATGGGTTATCTTTTCTATTTCCTTCAAGATTGACTGCTAATGAGAATCTAAGTTGAAGACAACAATAAGTAATATGTATTTCCTTGATTTAAAACCTCTAAGGATTTGGGACCAGCATGGTAGCCTACTGGCTAAAGGTCCTCGCCTTGCATGCACCGGGATCCCATATGGGTGCCAGTTCTAATCCCGGCAGGCCCACTTCCCATCCAGCTCCCTGCTTGTGGCCTGGGAAAGCAGTTGAGGAGGGCCCAAAGCCTTGGGACTCTGGACCCGTGTGGGAAGCCGGGAGGAGGCTCTGGGCTTCTGGCTTCAGATTGGCGCAGCACCGCCCATTGTGGCCACTTGAATCAATGGATGGAAGATCTTCCTCTCTGTGTCTCTTCCTCTCTGTATATCTGTCTTTCTAATAAAAATAAAATAAATCTTAAACCAAAAAACCCCTCTAATGGTTTGAAGCAGATGATATCATCCTGAGAAAAATGTGGCATAGCTCTTCCGACAACAAAGGAAATAATCCGTGGGCAGGTTTAGCGCCCTGCTGTCTCCTGGTGTGCCTTACAATCTGCCAGAGCACAGTGCCCTCCTGCCGCTCTCACGTCCAGTGGCGCCCACGGGGCACGTGAGCATTAAAGAGCAGCGTACTGTCTGAGACAGGTGAGCAGCAAGCAGGAGCGGTCAGACGTCTTCTCACCACATACACCCATGGGCGCTGCGCTCCTACAGCGTGGCCCGTTCACAGCGTTACCATCGGCTAAGCTTACCTCACCAGCACAAACATTTTCTTTTGGAATTAAATCATCCCCTGGCGTGAGTTTTACTAAAGTCATATTTTCCTTACAGATTAAAGAATCAACCTTGGGACGACCCTGTAAGGTTGCTACTGACCTCACACACATGTGCAGCACACACGGAGAGGCATGAGGTTTGCACAGTCGTGTGCCTTAGAGTGCACGGGGACTGATCACGTTGGGGGATTGTTCTAGTAGACACGAACGTGTGGATCTCTGCTGTGGTGACGTCATACAGCTTACGCTTTGCTGAGCCCGGGAAGCAGACGCTTACACCAACTTACCCAGACACTCGGTCCCTGAGGAGCTGGACTGGAACCCTTCATTGCATTCGCACCTGTAACTGCCGACGGTGTTAACGCAGCGCCCATTTTCACAGATTCCTGGCTTGGTCCTGCACTCGTTCTCATCTGTAGAAAAACAATTGCCGTGGATTAACGAGCAGACTGTGCCACTATAATGTACTAATCACTTTCTAGCTTTTTTATATTTTACCTGAAAGCATCTTCACCAGAATACTAATAGCATGGGATTAAAGATGGCTGTCTATAAATATTAATGAGTTTCTAACGTCACCTTACAATCCCAGGTAGTTCTTCCATAAGACAGCATTTATTCCTCTCCTTTTCCTGGACAAGGGATATTGTTAAATATGAAGGCAGGAAATTGGCCTCTCAGAGCAAGACTTGGGTCAAGATGCCACCCAAAGCAGGGCTGAGGATGCCACTTTCCGTGACACAAGGAGGGTGGCAGGCGCTGGACGCAGACATAGTGATGCTGAGAGCCATCCAGGCCAAGGGACAAAACCCAGGACCACGGGGTCCAGGGAGTAGTTAGTGCGAGAGGGGATTTAGGCAGTGCTGCTCCCGCGGCTGATAACGAAGTCCTGTCTCCCCATTTGGGAGTTTTGCTTGGCGTTTTCTCGAGCTCCGCTGTCAGAACAGGACACTTCCGGTTCACACTGTCAGCAGGCTGCTGTTCACTGCTGATGTAACTAAAAGTTGAAGTGCTTTCTCTTTATAAGCATCTACCTTGAAGGTCTTATTCTAGTCCATTATTTTCAACATATTTCATGTTTTGATTTAGGTACATTTACTTTACAAAGCAACTTTATTTGTATTTAAAGAGAATTAAAAAAACTATGTCCATTCTTTCACCAGCAAACTAGTGACGCCTATCAGGGTTACCAATACGTGTGAGTCCTTCCCTGCCATTTTTTAAACTGTGTTTTTGCTTCCTTTTATCACGCCTTGCTTGACAAATCTAGCTTCCTAGGCCCTCATCACTCCATGTTGCATTTGGAAATGGCTGGTTGATCTTCTGTGTTACTATTTTTCATCATTCTGCGTACTGAAGTACACTAAGCTCAAATTGTTTCTTCAGACATCCACGATCTCTCTTTCAGTATTCCTATCCATTTTTCTTAAAGTATCACCGATTAGCCGGCATGTACCTCTGGCTACTTAATGTCCACTTGATGCTTTCAGTGGGAAGAACTGCACATTCAACACCTAGCAAGAGCCAGCAGAACTTTTATTCTCCTGCACAAACTCCACTTTTTGCCATAACACTTCTTTCTGGGGCTGGCAAGCGAATCCTCCACCTTCAAATGGCAGCATCCCATATGGGTGCCAGGTCGCGTCCCAGCCGCTCCACTTTCAAGCCCCCTCCCTGCTTACAGCCTGGGAGGACCGAGAAGGAGGGTTCAAGTCCTCGGGACTCTGCACTTGCATGGGAGACCTAGAAAAAGCTCCCAGCTCCTGACTTCACATCGACATGGGACTAGAACCAGCGCCCTTATGGGATCCCGGTGTGTGCAAGGTGAGGATTTTGGCCTCTAAGCCACCACACCAGGCCCTTCTGTGTCTATGCTCACCCTTCCCACTTCACTCCTTTTCACATTAGCATTCACAACAGCTTCCTTCTCTAATCTGCATGATTAAAACAGACCCACATGGAACCTTTGCTTCTGCTTTTATTTCCTTCAAGTGTTATTTGTAAGGCTGCCTGAGATCATGGAAATCCAAATTAGATAACAACCAATACAACACTGACATTTCATTATGTTCTAAGCAGCTTTCCAATGTGGTTACACGCGTTAATCCTCCCCCAAATCCCACAGAGTCAAGGCTGTTGCCATTCCTGGTGGTTTTTAAGTGAGGAATTTCAGGTACATGGTGAAACTAACCCACTCTAGGTCCCAGGACTTGTAGACAAGCAATGCTGTTTCTCATGTTCCCAGTCCACACCTGCTGGGCCAGCGTCCGGCATCACTGTGCCGGGGAAGCTCTCGGCATGAAACCAAGCTCTTTACCGTGGCTGGCAATGCCTTTGTCCCCTTTTGGGGTTCCCTGCACGCAGCTCCCTGCACTACATCCACCTACACCATCTTCACTCCTACCCCAGGGAATGTCTTTGCATTTGACTTCTAGGTCTCAGGTCAAGTGTCCCCTTAGCAGAAATGCCTTCCCTGACAATGCCGACTAACTCCCAGGCAATCATGGAATCTTTTCTGAAAAGGACAGGCCACTGTTGGAAACGGTTGCATCTCCTTGCTCCTTGGTTGTGACACCTGCTCATTTTCCTGAGCAGTAGAGAGACAACCCGAGTGGAGGCAACACCCTTCTGGTTTGCTAGCACCACAATCACAGCAGGCGTTCGATATGTACTCAGGAAATCAGAAAATAACTCGTCTGCTTCAGGTTTTCAGAGGACCCAAACTTACATATTTTCTGCAAACATTTCTCCTGTAAGTTATCAAACGATTGGAATTTTCTGTTTATCTTTCTGTTCCTTCTGAGGTGCACAGGAACACACAACACACGCAGTGAGAGAGAGAAAGAAATACAAGAGCTTTTATCTGTTGGTTTACTCTCCACATGCCACAATATGGCAGACCAGGAACTTGATCTAGTTTCCCCGTGTGGGTGGTGGGGATCCAACAGCTCATGCCATTAGCTGCCTTCTTCCACTCCAATAGCAGGAAGCTTGAATCAGGAACTGGACTGAACCTAAGCACCCTTACAGGGGACCCGGGCATCTTAATCGCCTTGGCACTATCTCACCTGAGCTTCCTCTTCTTGGGGCCTTCACTATGCACACACTGATCACATCCATATCCACATCCCTGATTGCTTTCAGTCACTCGTACTTTTGATTATTTCTTTGGTGACTTTAACTCCTGGGGCAGGCTTGTTCTTTCCCCAAGATCCATCCTGTATGCTCATTTTCAATCTTCTTTTCCAGTTGGGCTTTTAATGACATCACTTACAAATTACTATTTAAAATTCTTCTCTTTCCTGAGACAGTTTCATTTTCCTTTCTTCCTTTACTCCAGGACATTAATTGCAGAACCTGGATGATTATCCACCTTCTAGTGTTTTCCTCTGGTCCCATCTTCTTGCTGAAAAATAGTGTGACTGTTCTCGGGTGCTCACCTTGGCATCTCCCTGTTTGAGCTCATGCTTGTCCCCAGGTCTGCCATGCTGTCTGCCCACAGGCATTACACTGGGCTTTTGGGTTGTGCAGGAGGCTGGTGTGGCTCTATGTGAAATTCTGCAAGTCTCTCAGGGTGACTCCCTCCCCTCTTCTTCCTGCTTTACCAATACTGGTTTCCAGGTCTGAGAGACCAGTTGGTCCGCAATGCAGCACTCCACCTGTGTCCTTCGTCTTCTGATTTAAGGTCACAGGATGAGCAGTGCAGTATCGGGATGTGCCCCTGAATGTCTTCCTGCAGTTTTGTCTGAAATTGTGTACAATCTGAAAGCTCCTCTGCAAGGTTTGTTCTGACGACATTCACATAGTGTACTACACTCCATCCCTCACCAGATTTCTCCCAAACCTTTAAGGTTTGGGGGTGAAATAAAGAAAAATTTATTCTACCATCTCAAAAATGAAACTCTCCTTTCTCCGCTCTCCCAATTACATTTTAAAATATTAATGAATCCCAGGGAAGTATTCCATTGACATTTCCATCAAGACTCCACGATTGTGGTAAAATGTTTCTGTTTATTAGATAGTTCCATACACTTACTTATTTTAGAAATACTTCCTGGGGAATAATACATTGTATAGCCAAGATGAAGTTTATCATTTTTTTTTACATGCATTTTAGATTTCCTATGTAGCTTTTAAAACCCTAGCCTGGAATACTTTTTCGCGTCTGCTACACCTGACTTTGGTGAATTGCTGTATTCCAATTCAACAACTCAACGGTGCTCACTGTTTTTTTGTGTGGCTTCAGCTCTCAGCCCAACTTTTCCACCTCCAACTGCTCTTCCCACATTATTACAACAGTACAGTCCTTTATAATAAGTCATGATTCTGTCAGTCTGTTACTTAAGTGTTCCCCTGACACTGCTGGTACAGAGAATGTCAGCCCAACTTTTGTAAACACTTGTTTTGTTTATCACAGTACTTTGGCTGTTTTTTTTAAAAAAAAAAACCAGAATTTGTATTGTAAAAAAAATATTGTCTGCTAAAAACTCAACTGTTCCACAAAAGGCTCTGATGAGCTGGCAAAGCTGTGCCAAGTTTCAGTGTCAATAATGGTGTAAAGAAAAGCCTGTGGGGTCAGAAAAGTTGAAGAAATGCCAAGTGCACTGCGCTGCCCTGCAAGGTCACAGGATCACAACCACAGCGGGGACAGACACTCCCTTCCCCAGCCTTCCTCCCTCCACTGTACAGACTTCAGGTTCATGTTGAGGTGAACTGAAGCACAGGGCTTTACATCACAAGCCACCTGGCTCCTACATGCAGATTCAGAGCTGGCAGTCTGGGCTCTTCATCCACACATGGCACATGCCTGTCTCCCCAGGAAACACACGCAGAGGGGCAAGGGCGGGGCAACATGCAGCTTTGCAGCCCACCTACCAGCAAGACTAAAACACTCCGAGCATGGAAAGGGGAAAGCACCCGAGTGTGTGTGCTGGATGAAGTCAGAACACACACACAGTCAGGCATCAGGAACGAGCTTCCTGCACAGTATGCAGACAGCACGGTGAGCAACACCCCCTCGCCTTCCTTCCTCACGTGCTAGCATTGCACTCCTGCCAGGTTCTGAGGAACATATCTTCTGAATCGAGAGTCTTGGTTCATCTGGGGAGACGGGCCTTGGAAGAACAGTGCTTTCAAAGAAGCACTGACTTGAAGCCCCCACTGCAGGCCCTTTTTCAACTTCGGCAAGTCGTAGAGCACTGAATGAGAGACTTAAGACAAGCTACACAATTAAAAGAAACTATGAAATAAATCACCATGTAGCAGGTGACTACACATTCGGAGAAAACTGGGAGTTTAAGTTAAAATCACTCTCAGATCATTTACTTCTAATCTCACTCTTTCCAGAAGGTAACTGCTCCCATAAATTCAGATTCACTTTGTAAACCCTTTCCCGTATGTACATTTGTTTGCTTGTATATGCAACTACAGAGAATATACAGCATTACACTTTTCTTTAAACTATGACCCTGTGTACGCTTAGAGTCATTTCTACCTCAGCACACAGAGACACTGCTGCTCTGAGCTGCTCTAAGCTTACCAACCACGATCCCGGGCCGAGCACTCACGTGGCTTCTACCCTCTCTTCTGTTACTGTTAAAAGCACTGCGGTGAACAACCTTGTATTTCTTTTCCTGTGGCTTTTTCTTTTTTGGGGTAAACAGCTTTCTCGAGGTCTAACGGGCATGCCACCAAGTTCCTATATGTTGTTGGTATACAGTTCAATGGATTTTAGTAAATTATAGGGCGGCGCAGCCATCCCCACAATCCAGTTTTACATTTCCATCTCTGCAAAGGATCCCCTTGCTGAGACTTCTTGCTATGTCCTAATATGCAGGCAATCTCTAATAGCCATTTCTAAGAACACTTGTTCTCTCTAGCATCTTCATCCTTGTACCCCTAAATAAGACAAGACTAGTGACTTTTAGGTGCTCCTCTAAAAAAATTGCATTTTTCCAGGCACCGGAGGTGAGGAAGGGAGCAGCAGGTTCATTGTCAAACGAGGAGGAGGCATCGTCCTTCAGGGGAAGGAACGCAGTGGCCCGTGCCCTGAGGCTTTGGAGTGGAGCACAACAGGCATAGGTGAATTAATGCGAAATGGCACATGGCCAAAGTCACAAAGGCAGCCAACTTCTCTGAGGGCCCCGCACCTTGCTCATATCCTGCTTCAACGGCAGGGCTGTCATATTCCATGTTTTTGATGTACAGGCCACAGGATTATAAGAAACAAAGAGGACACATTTTGAAGTAGGTACAAATTCCTCTGTGTCATCCAGATGTGATTACATTGGTATGGTCCCTAGGGCAGAAGGCAGGGACTACAGTGCTGCTGGGAAGGTAGTGAGCCTGCAAGTATGAGAGTCTTGGATGGCATACCCGCCCGTGCGAGCCGACACCACCCCGGGGGGACTCACCCACACAGCCTTCGCCGTCAGGCCTGCGCGCCATCCCCGGCGGACAGATGCACATGAAGGTGCCGATCAGGTTCTTGCACATCATGCCCCGTGACTCGCAGTCATGCAGCCCTTCCACACACTCATCCAGGTCTACAAGACAGAGAACAAAACCAGAACATCCTCCAGGGCAGGCTGTAGCTGGGTACCTTTCAGTCTCTGCTTTGGTCTCCTGGCTCTTCACATGTGCGACAAAAGAGGAAAGCCCCATCTTTCCTGTCAGCAGCATCTTGGGGGCAGGGCAGTTTCATGGGTTCCAAGGGCAGCAGGTTCGGGAAAGGAATGTGACAACAGGGGGCTCCGCAGCTCATCTTTTGACTTCTTGCAAACCACCAGGGGATTGCTTTCATCAGCAAAAAATGCTGCCATGGGGGGCCCGGCGCGGTGGCGCAAGTGGTTAAAGGTCCTCGCCTTGCACGCCCGGGATCCCATATGGGCGCCGGTTCTAATCCCGGCAGCCCCGCTTCCCTTCCAGCTCCCTGCCTGTGGCCTGGGAAAGCAGTTGAGGACAGCCCAAAGCTTTGGGAACCTGCACCCGCGTGGGAGACCCGGAAGAGGCTCCTGGCTTCGGATCGGCATAGTATCGACCCGTTGCGCTCACTTGGGGAGTGAATCATCGGACGGAAGATCTTCCTCTCTGTCTCTCCTCTCTGTATATCCACCTTTCCAATAACAAAATAATAAAAATAAATCTTAAAAAAAAAATGCTGCCATGTACATTTCTGGAAAGATCTACAAGCAGCTGGCTGGGAACTATCAAACAACACACTCCAGGGTGATAAAGCTGCAGGCACTCCCCTGTCTGTGGCCTTACCTTTACACATCTTCTGATCTTCCCTGAGGGCATAGCCAATGGGGCAAGTGCATTCATAGGACCCAAAGGTGTTCATGCAGCGGAAAGCACAGAGCAGCGGATTCTGGGCACACTCGTTGATATCTGTCCAAAGAAACAGACAGGCACACGCTCAGCCTGGAGTTCTAATTATCTGTTCAGATAAGCGTCAAGGTGTTTAACTTGGCAGTCATACAGCAAGCAATACACGAGGGCACTTCCTAGGCTGGTGTCTAGAATCTGGCACCTAGCAAGTTCATCCTGCAACAAACCACATGTGGCAAGTACAGAAACTACCAAAGAGTTCTAGTGGTGAGCTGAAACTTGTAACAACCCCATGATTATCCCGCTGAGGACCTCTGTCCTGGCAGTGACAGTACCAGGCAACTGAGTCTCCAATATAAACCTCTGAGATTCTGTCTAAGAGAACAAAGAAGGAAGGAGGGAGGGAAGGAGGGAGAGGGAGAGAGAGAGAGAGAGAGAGCGAGAGAGGCAGAGAGAGATTGGTTGATTTGTGATAGCAAGTCTGTTGGAAGGGAGAGGGCCAGCAAAAGACAGACACTACTGCGACACATTCATGCCCAGCTGCTGACCAGAGAGTGTGAGTGTGTGTGTGTGTGTGTGTGTGTGTGTGTGTGTGTGTGTGTGTGTGTGTGTGTATGGCAGTGGGGTAGGGAGTAAAACAAGGAAGCCAGTCTAAGGTTTAAATAATACAATTGGAATTTGAGCCACTGCCCTCCACAGGCCTGACAGTCTGCTGTTTTGTCTGCTAGGACAAAGGCACCAACACTCTCCAGAGTAGTATAATTGATTCCAGAATGTTATCATTCACACTGTACAAATCTGAAACTAACCAGCATTCTGAAGAGCCAGGAAAATGTGACCTCATCTCAAGGGAGAAGACACACAGCAGATGCCAACCCTGACATGCCTCGGGCGCCGAGCGATCCAGAGAGGGCTCATGCGCTCAGTGGCATGCAAAGAAATGCCCACGAGGAATATTATGATCCGTGGAATATCAGGACAATATAAACACAAACTGACAGTGTTGGAAAAACACTTCGCATATCAGGAATAAGCGATGCTCAAGATAAGAACCACTTGCCTTCACAATTCATCATGGGTCCTGGCTCAAAGCCTTCGTTGCAATTGCATTCAAAACTCCCAACCGCATTGGTGCATGTCCCATTTCCACATGGATTGCCAATGGAACACTCGTCAGTATCTGAAGAAGAAAAACGAAGAGTGCCACAAAGTGGGGGGCAACTGTGGTGTGCCTGGAACTTGCCCTGAAGTCTTGCAAAGGCCTGACACTCGCCCAGGGTTTGTGAAGGGCACACAGGACCCCTGCATTCCAGGGTTGTGAGCTGGCTGGCCTTTACCTGACGAGTCAGTGGGTGAAGCTCTGACCTGTGAACAGCAAGGGTTAGCCCAAAGCCCGCCAGTGCCAAAGACCAGGCACAGGAAGTTGTAAAGGCAAAAGCAGCTGCCTCCTGCTTAAAGGTTTTGGCAGTTCTAAGTCTCCAGACACATTCATGTTTGCATACTTGATTCCAAACACAAGTTGAACAACTTTCCCCATCTTCACACAAACCAAATGTGACTAGAAAATACAGAACAGGTCAAAGAGGTATTACCGGGCTAGTACCGTGGCCCTGTGGCATAGCAGGCTCAGCTGCTCCTGCAGCTGCAGACTCCCATACGGGTGCCTGTTCAAGTCCCGGCTGCTCCACTTGCAGTCCAGTTCCCTATCAATGTGCTGGGAAAGCAGTGAAGCATAGTCCAAGTGCTTGTGTTCCTGCACCCAAGTGGGAGTTCTAGAAGGAACTCCTGGCTCCTGGCTTAGGCTTGGGCCAGCCCCAGCCATTGCAAGCATTTGAGGAGTCAACCAGTGGCAGGAGGACTTCTCTTCCTCCTCCATGTGTCTCCCTCTCTCTGTAACTCTGCCTTTCAAATAAAGAAAACAAATCTATGTAAACAAAGCAAAGAGGGAAGGGTGCTGCTGGCTACTTGCTCCACCTGTGTAAATCCCACCACCACCCAGTGAGTAGGAGAAATAAAACATGACTTGAAAATTGTGTGTCACGGAGCCAACACTCACCCACACAGCGCACTCCGGTGTAATCCAGGTTGTAGCCCATCGGACATTCACAGCGAAAAGACCCGTCGGTGTTGATACACTGACCATTGGAACAGATGCCTGGGCTCTCAAGACACTCGTTGACATCTGCAACACAGAACTGCCCTGAGTCTCCTCGTGGAAAAGGACACGCTGAGACCGTGCGTCTGCTCAATACACGCTAAAGGCCATGACGTATGCACATGAGTTTTTGGGTCAAAGAAAAGACATGACTGTATTTCATATATTATGATATACAATTCATATGATGTGCAAACATTACCCACGTACATTAAACATAATGTATCATGTAATGATAAAATTAGCATGCTTTATAAAGTAACTGTAAACCCCTTACTGGTATAAAATAAAAACAAAGGAATAAAATACATTAAAGCATACCTTCACGTGTGTCATGAAGACTAGGGACAGTTCCATGGCCATATGGACACAAATCCTGGAATGCAACTATAGACAAAAATACACATATCCCATTACCGAACAGCCTCAAGGGCCAGAGAACCGAAGACCCTACAGAATTGTACTGAGCTATTTTTATCTCTGCAAAGCTGTCTTCAGCAGGAGTCTTTCAGGTTCCTGACTGACTGGGGAAAAAAGCAGACTGTTACTTACAGTCTTAGAGTCGATCACCTGAGCTTGCCTTTCCAAGGGGTCACCCACCATGGCCTCCTGGTTCTTCAGCTAGTTTCACGGAGAGCAGCTAGGCACTGCCCTGCCCACTGTACACAGCAGGTACCCTAACGGAGCTGGATGGAGTCTGCTGGGGACTGCCCTTCAATCCAGGGTTGCAGGCAAGACACCTGGGGCGCTGTGAGCAGCCACTGTGCAGTCAGAGTCTCCGCCCTCTCTGCACCCTTCTGAGGGCCACAGCCTGTGACACATGTCGGACACGTGTGTGGGAGACTGTGCACTACGGCTTCTCTTATCTTGCAAGGTCTCCTGCCTGTCTGGCTCACATTCTTTCACTCAAAAGCAAGCAAAAATAACTGCGGAGGCAAACACGATGGAACCTGAGGGTAGCTCTGTGCCCATACACGCTGCCCTCCAAAGCCTTGGGGAGAACTCCCTGAAGCTGGGCTGCTCACTGAACCCTCAGGATGTACATCTCAGGCATATTCGCAGCCTCTAAATATGCCCAAACCACACCCACTGTGACCATGGCCAGCATTCCCAAGCAGGTGCAAGGTGGTCATCTCCGCTGCTACTCGTACCTTCATCGTCTTTGGGGCACAGCTCACAGGGGTCACCCCAGCCTTCTCCTGGCATCTTACTGCAGCAGCATTTTGCTTTCGTGGTGTTGAAAGCTTTGGGCACTGAACACTTTCCATTTTCGAAATTCGTGAAGCAGAAGCTCTGGCGAGTATCTAGTCAAGAAAGCAAATGTCACAGAGCTCCTTACTGGTCATTTGGATGGAGGAGTTGGTATGTAACTGTTCCTGCCTGAACCTGGTGCGGCGGCAGGAGACAGCGTGCAGATTAGATCAGCCGTTAAAAGGCAGGTCTGCAAGTCCTCAGGGCTGATTTCATTTGGCAATTTAAATTGACCTGTCTGTAACAGTTTACTCAATTATTCAGAGTGTTTAAAATATTTTTATAATGCACTTAGGAAATCTGAGGAATCCTGCTCAATGTCAAAACGAGTTCCACACAGAATACTTCTTTTCACACTGCTCCTTTATAACCAAACAAAACCAGTCTGGGTCACTTCTGATAAATTAAAATTACATCGGAAACAACTCAGACACCAATACGCATAGAAAAACTATGATGGTAACAAGTAAAACTGGCAATCGAGGGTGACAGTCTTTCTTTCATTACAAAATTCTAAGAAAACACAGAAACAGCATCAACAACCCTCCACTGCATATGCTTCTGCGACCTGTGCTTTCAACATCCGGGTGGTAGTTAGCACACACACGCCCTCTGCTGTGACAGTCACCGCAGGAGGCGTGGAATCTCAGGTGAGGTCTCTGAAGGCAACTCATGCCGGAGCAGTCCTACAGAGCTTACCAAAGCACCTTCGTCCGTTATCAGACAGCACGAAACCAGGGGGACAGATGCACTGGAAGCCACCGGGGGTATTGGTGCAGGATCCAAAAAGACAGATGTTGGGATCTTCATCACATTCATTGATATCTGCAGAACAGCAGGAAGATCAATCGGTTGGTTTAATCAAACAGAATCAAACGTCTCAGCATCACAGTGTGTACACTGTAACTAATGGTCTCCCAATTGTGGGATGAACTCATACAAAATAAAAAATTACATTGTATACCTAGCTAACTTATTCTTTAAAGCCAAGCCACTAGTGCGCCAAAAGTCAAGGATTTTACCCAATTTCAACCAGTCTTGTTGAAAAATCCCATGTCTACCCTTAGCTCCCTGAGTGTTAACCCTTAGCATGTGTGGGCCAGGGTGGTTGGCACAATCCATGGCTCATGCGAGTTATGAAAACTAGAGGCAAGGATTTCACCATGCAGTCGTACCAGAATCAATCCATTATATAATTCCAACTGCCACAAACTTGCTAAAATACCTCACATGTCCTGCTGCCTGCCTTATGTGGGCCAGGCCATGTCTCATATGTGTGTCTCAATATGGCCAACAGGCTCCACTAGCTGACTCGATTCCTGCTGCCTGCCTGTCACGGGCCAGTCCACAAGTCACATGTGTGTCTCAGCATGGCTCTCAGGCTCTACTCCCTGTCCCCTCCCTGCTTCAGTAACATGGATCCAAAGTCACCTTGAGTCGTTTTGAGCCCCTTTTGTGAACAGCATGTGTGTGGCCTGCCATTCTACCTCTGCACTTCCCAATGCACCATCAGTTCCCCCTGACCCCCACCCCCGTCACCATCAGGCTCTCTGCTGACCTCTGCAGGTACATTCCTTTTTTCCATGCCATCTCTGGAACTGCCTTTGCAACACAGATCTGATGATCTGTCAAAAGTCTGTGTCTATGTTTCAAGGATGGTTCCTTAAAATAAACAAGGCTTCCTCCCCAGGGATCTTTGGCCATTTCCCACAAGAGCGCTGACTTAAAGGGTTGTTTTAGTTAAAGCAATCAATAGCACACAATTTCAGTCCGAGGCCACTACGTGCCTGCCTGGTTGGCTGTTGGACCTTTAGATCCCAGCGCAGTGCTGTCTGGCACACAATGAGTTCTCTATTTGTATTTACAGGGTGGCGATAGAAGAGTCGCAGCCTATGCCTTTTAAAAACCAACCCCCACAAGACTTTCACAGTGCAGGACCACACTCAATCTTTGAAGCCAAAAGTTTTAATCCTCTTATCAGGTTCATGCTGAATCATTTTGAAAATAGTCCCTTTCAATCCCTTTTCTTTTGATCAGTGAATTCCTATCCATCACTCAAGAGTGAGCTGCACGTCACCAAACCTTTGTGATGTTCCTGCTTGACTGGCCACCCTCTCACTGCCGCGGCCATTACACACCTGCTATTGTGATTCCTTATCCTGAGCCTGCTGACAGCATAGTGTTTCTTACACCATGCTACAAGGTTGCTTTTGCAAAACAGCTGTACTCATATAACATGCCTCTCCTACACGGTACTAACTCCGAAGGCAAAGATTGTGTTTTTGTATTTCTAGTACCTAGAAAGGCAGTAAAGGTTTACTGTAATGACCATGAATATGTGTGTGGGTGTTTGTCAGTGCATCTACAATCATATTCGGAAGGCTTTTGTCTGAAAAACTGGTACAAATGACACCAGTTGGGGGAAAATATTCTTACAGCAGGGTAAGTTACTTAAAAGCCAGTATTTCAGAAGTGAGGAAAGTGGAGCAGCAAACAATGGATTAGGGAAAAAAATATTTCTTTCTTTTAAAAATCTAGGACCAAGTAAACAAGCCAAAGACGCAGTCTGCGAAGATAGCCAAGTGGACCCGTTATGGAGAATCTCCACGCGGGCTCCTATGCGGTGGCTTTTACCATTCTATAAGCAGGCGACTCACGGAGACAATAAAGAATATGACAAGGGAGAAGAGAAGAAAGAAGGTTCCTTCAACTTCCCAAGAATTTTCTTACTAAGAGGACCATAATATTAAAAAAGAAAACACAAAAAAACAACAACAAAAAACTTAGTGAACCTTACATGGCAAATCACAGTATCTTAGAAACATTATTAGAAACAAGAGTGGGGACTCTTTCATTCTGCCCCGGGGCCACTGGGATATTTACAATATATTTGCAGGCCACACAAAGTGATCAACCTAAAAATTAGCTTGCTATAGGATTACTCAATTTCCCTTCTACTTGTGATTGCTTTGGTAGGTCCAGTGTGATTCTGCGAGACTTACATGGTCCACAGGCCAGGCATTCCCCGCTCCAAAATATGAAATAAATTAAATCCTATAAAGTAGTTTTCTTCAGCTCCATTTACATAACCCCCTTGAATGCGAATAGTAGACTCTGTGTTTAGGCAGAATCTTGCCAAGGGTAAAAGAATTGAAAAAAAAAAAGGTTGGATAATCCAAAGGCAAAAACAAAAATTTCTTAGCAATCGTATCATGATATTATGATATGGGTGCTTCTGAATTCCTACAGGCTATATAAATCCATCTGTCTCAAAGTGAGATCATGTGAACTGTACAGAGACGGGCCTTCACCATGTCCACCAGGTGAGTGTGGGACCCACCATCCATGTGCTGGCCAGGCTCTCCTGTGCTGGAGGGTGTCAGCAGAAAACAGCTGCTGTGATAACAGGACTCCCATTTTCTGTGTGATGTGAGGCCTTCCCAAGCAAAGCAAACTCTCTATGGCACAGCCAGGATTATCTGCTTCTCCTGTCAAGGCCCCTCGGCACCTTAACAGCTGGATTAGGACGGGGTGTGGCCACGAGGAGCTTTGTGGATGCTCCTTAAATGTGGCAAAGTCTCTGCTGATACGCAGAGAAAAAAACTAGAGCAGGCTCACTGTTCTCTGACAGGCCTAAGATTTCTGTTCATTGAAGTGCCACGTCCTGTGGTTACTACCACCCCCTGCCCCCACCCCAAAGAATCATTTCTAGGGGTCCCATGAAACAGATGCAGGCAGCTATCTGTTAGCACTGTGGGTTAGCATCTGGCAGTGGCCACGACATGGTGCACCCCCGAGGATCATGGGCTTCAGGGCTCATGTCTGGTCTTACCAATGCAGTTCTCGCTTTTTACTTCATATCCTGGGGGGCAGATGCACCGGAAGGAGCCCTCCAAATTCTGACAGGTCCCAGGAGAACATGAACCGGGGAGGGCGATGCACTCATTAGTATCTTTAGGGAGAAAGATGAGATGGAAGACTTTTAACACGACATCAAATGTCCCACAGACATATCTATCTGTTACATGAAACGAATGCAGATTCAAGTTGGACCCTCTGATCTGCTGGCTCACGTGGGCAGGGATCCCATGAAAGAACCTTTCAACATCTTGCATATTATTTGGCAAGTGGTTCATTTTATTGACTTGTTCTGTCTATTTTTGTTGGGACCTTGACGGTCTCGAGCTCTGTCCCCAATGAAAGCACTGCCTACGAGACTTTCCCAACTGCTGCCTTCTAGCTTACAGTAAAACTTCCCATCACAGCTTGTCTTGGCCACAGGATCCAAGGATCCAAAGAAACGTGAACAGGTTTAGAAGTGGGGGAGGCATCTGACATCAATGCTCTTCAAAACCAACCACCATCCAGACCATTCCACACTTAGCTACTCACCTATGCAGTTTTTACCGTCTGTCGTGAGTTCATAACCTTCATTACATAAACACTTGAAGGAACCAATTTCATTGAAACACCGTCCATTTCTGCACACTTGACCAAAAAAGGAACTGCATTCATCTACATCTGTAAGAAAACAAAAATCAGTTTTTCACGGGGGGTGGGAGGGGATCTGAGGCACACATGGCCTTGAGGGTGGTGGAATACGTTCACCACCAACAGGTGTGTGCAAAGCCCTTTGCAATGACCCAATGGCACAGAAGACAAGGCTCACGCGCTGGGCACCATCTAACTAATGACGTTACAGAGACGCCTGGTGCATCTGTAACTGAGAAGGTGCTGCTGTGACACACAACTCCATAACCCAGTGAAAGTCTAAGCTACAGGGTGAAGCTTTCCATTGTTTCCAACTGAAAAATGCTAATTTTTCTGAAGGCAAGGCAACAGTAGGATTTCACTGGGCTATCTAAACATTTGCAGACAGCATACCTGAAGATTAGTTGCCTGTACTCAAAGGATAAATAAATGAACATATTAACTATGGAAAGGCCAGTCACAGCCAAACACTCTAGAGCTGCTGACACAATCCAGAATTTTGGTGAAAAGGGGCTTTTAGGCACTGTGTTTTTAGTCGAGCATAGGGTTGACTATGAGTGAGCGACGTCCTGGGCTGTTTGAAGATTCTACAGTGATCTATCTGTCGCAATCTTTCAATTCTTTCTGATTACACACAGAATTTGAGACGACTACAGTGAAGAAGCTGGTGGATGGATAAAACATCCAACTAATCCTATGTGTTTTCCACAACAGCAGAATTGTAAAATACACAGAAAACTGACAGGGTTGGGTTCACTTTGGAGCTGGGCTTGAGCTCTGGAGGACCCACTATGGTGGAAGCACTGTGGGCTTCACACACTGTGGGACTGTGTGAATCGACACACGCGATGCTTCCAAGGTCCAGCACGGCACCTGCTTGTGTTGAAGCAGGGGTACGCAAGGTTGACCCAGCCCTTCTCATTTCCTCCAGCAGCTTTAGGAACCCCCACCACTCCCACCCTATCTCACTTTACACGTGTGTGTCAGCACGAGGGAGTCTCAGAGGTTTCTGAGCTAGCTTGGAAGAAGTCTCAAGGCTTCCAAAGCTGATGCTTTCAAAACGAAATTTCATACCATGTCTTCTAAGCAGCAGTCTGCTGGTGCCTAACAGTGGCTGAAATGAGATTAAGAACTTGCAACAATGCTAAACTACAGAAGGATCTACCTCCATATCATCCAAGGTCCCTATATGTTTACTTGCACTACAGTAGGCAAACCAGCATTCTGCATGTGATTATTTAGGCCAATGAATGGTTTTGGCTAACTAGAATTTAGTCAGATGACATTACTTATCTTTTTTTTGGCCCACCTATGTGAGTTTAATAACACCACGCTGGTTTTTGGGTTTTCATTTGTATCCATGTGGACTGTGCGGAGAAGAGATGGAAGCAAGTGGGGACCGGCGACAGTGCTTACCCAGGCAGTCGCTATTATGAGTGAGTTCGAATCCTGGGTAGCACAGGCAGTTGTAGGAGCCGACGGTGTTTTTACACGTTCCATTTCCACATGGGTGTCGCTCACACTCGTCAACATCTGCAAACAAACAGTGGTTCAAAGAAGTTCAGCTTTTTAACCAGGAAACAACATAAGACTATCAAACTTGTACAATTTTTCTTTTTGAATATTGCATCACTGAGATTTTCTTAATTCTGTCTGAGGGATCCACACATATTTGAACAAAATCAGTATGAGGTAGAGAAAAATCAAAATTATGCAGTGACAGGAAAGATACTCTTATTTCTAGCTGTGTGCAATGATCGAAGCTGGGCTTTGTGAATATCCTCTTAGCAGAAAAGTTATAATGAATCAGTCTGCATATTTGTTTTTATATATTAGCTACCTATTCCCGATGTTTGGAAATATCCAAAACAATGTATTGGCACAAACGTTGCTGTGCAGTGGGTTGAGCTGATGCCTGCAATGCTGGCATCCCACACAGGAGTCCCAGCTGCTCTGTTTCAGATCCAGCTTCCTGCTCGTGTGTCTGGGAAGGCAGCACAGGAGAGGCGAGGCGGGAGGGCAGGCCGAGTTCCTGCTTCCTGCTTGTGGCTTACTGTGGATGAATGGGGAGTGAACACCCCGGCCTGAGTTCTCTCTCTGGGGTGCTGCCTTTCCAGTCAGTTAATTTTTATAACAATCTTTTCTGTTAAGTATCATGAATGCTTGCCTGGTAATATCTTGATTTCAACAAGGGGGGAAAAAAGAGAGAGGCACACTTTAGTTTCCTTAATGTTGTGAAGCAGTGAACTTCGAAGTCAGAGATAAACACAAGTCAGTATTGTTAGCCTTTCCAAAAATTGCAGCAAGGAACGATTTAGAAAGGTCATTCACCACGTGAGCTCAGGCTCTTCGGCCCAAGGTGGCTGGGAGTCCTCCGGCAGCGTGCGTGTACACACTCACACACACACACACATACACACGCCCTGTACTTCCGGAAGGAAGGCTCTGTTTAGCAAAGGCCTTAACAAGGAATCTGATGGACGTTGACTGTGAGGGGCAGCGTTAGGAGCAGGAGCAGACCTTCCCCCATGTGGATTTCTAAATCATCAATCTCACATGGCACATTACACCCCCAGCTGAGCACAGAAGGGACAAGCAAGTGTGGGCAGGCATCCTTGGGAGCCCACAGCACCAGGGCAGCTCTCCCTGTGACTATGGGGGAAGTTCCCGGGGGGGGGTCCTGGAGCCAGCTTCCTCCAAAGGTGAAACAGACAGCGCTCCTTGCCAGAGGCAGACACAGCTGCAACGTCAGATCTAAGGCGTATGGTTCAGTCCCAGACAGCACTGACTGCGCATGACTGCTGCCCAACTGATTAGGCTAAAATTGTAGAGAGTTTTGAAATGCTTTGATCCTGTTGACTTCTCAAGTCATCTCAAAGACAGGAGAAAAAGGATGCATACTCAATGACCTGGGTAAAAACAAGCGCATGTGTGGACGCACGCATTTGAATACTGTTCTCTTTAGAACTCCCTGGTGTTCTGCAGTGCTTTCCTGAGTGTGAGAAGGGCGTTGGGCAGGTGAATATTCCCTGAAGCTCACAAGAACCCTGTGGGGGCAACAGCATCTACCAAGCCACGTAATCATCTGCAAAGAGCCTGAGACTTGTTAGTGCCAAGGAAGGTGGCGTGGTCTGTCCATTCCTATCGGGTTCAGCGTGGACTGCTTGTGGCAGAGACGTGGCGGTCTCTCCCGCACGTGATGGAACTGACTCACACAGCGGCCGAGATGGGCCCGAGGCCCTCCTTACCCATGCACATGGTCTGGTCCTGGGAAGCTTTGAAGCCATTATGGCAGACACACTGGTAACTCCCTTGCAGATCAACACACAGACCGTGACTGCAAACGTTCGGAATTTCTAAACATTCGTTGCGATCTGAAAAGGAAAAATAAAACACATGTCACACATATCTGATTTTTATTAAGATTTCTTCATTCTTCACAGACGTTGTCTCTCTGGCCTGCTATTAATTACTACAGACAGGCTGAAAATGACCCACAACGACAGCTGGACTGAAATGAGCCAGGCTTTAAAATGCCCAAGCCTTTTTATAAAAATGACAAAGCTGTGTTTAATGTGGACTGGGATCGTAAGGCTACTATTTATTTCTGGATCAATTCAAAGGAAAACTGTTGACAATGCCTCTTTTTCTCAATAAAATAACCTGAAAGATATGGTGAAACAGGTTCATTCTGAGCTGGAAAAAACCCTTTCCAAATTATCCTTGAAGATAATCTTCAAAGAAAAGCATGGAGTCCTTGGAGCATGTGAAATCTACAGAGGCTCGTGCTGGAGGCCCAGGTGGGGCAGCCCTCTCTTACCTACACACGCCCCATTAGGCGAGAGCTTGAAGCCCGCGGCACACTCGCAGCGGTAGCTGCCCGCACTGTTGATGCAGTCTGCGTTGCGCTGGCACAGGTTGTCGCCGTTGCTGCACTCGTCGATGTCTGAAAGGGCAAGCGCTCACGTGAAGCACCCTCCGGGACCGCACCAGGGTCAGCCCTCCGCACGCAGTCCGTCCCGAGCCTGCGGACAACCCCCTCTGCCAAGTGAGCTCTCGGGGGTTACGTCTGGTTCAGGGTACCTTCACAAACCAGGAGCAGGTCATTGTAACTGAATCCTGTCGGGCATTCACAGCGGAAACTGCCAATCTGGTTAATGCACACGCCGTTGGCACAAATGCCTGGAATCTCTTTACACTCGTCGATGTCTGAAATGAAACACACTGGGTCATCAAACCTTCTCTGGTTCTGTTTAGCACTGTTTGCCAGCTAACCCCAACAGTGCTTCAAAGGACCTGGAGTAGGAACACACATTCCGTGTAAGGGAGAAAAAAAAACACATTACAATTTTGTGGCTTATGAAAACATACGAACCACAACATAGGTTAGTCCCTCTAAGTAGAAACGGACAGATTCAAGTCGTTCTAAGACAGCTCAAGTGATTTCGGTGTCTATATGGCAAATGCTCTTTCTAGGAGACCAGGTCTTCCTCAGCATTGTTATTAGTTGTCCTAACGTCTGCCGCTGTTCACTGGATGAAGAAGAAAGCCACCCACTCCTAACATCTGGACTGGTACCAGAAACTTCAAATCATGTCACTTCCCAAAACCTCTGAGGAGGAAAAGCAGAGTAATAGAAAATGTATTCAGAAGGAGGCAGTTTGTATGATAACACATCTGCAAATTCGTACCTAGACCAGTCGAAAGGGACACTGCAAGAACAGACCAAGCACCACAACATGTCTTGATGGAAACAGCAAGTGGAGTTAAACTGGAGCGGGTTATTTAGAGTCATGTAACTCAAGACGTGTGAGAAGGCGGCTGGGCATGTATAAAATCCTAAGATAGTCACGTTACTAACACAACTCCAGCACAGAGTGTGCTGGTGAAATAATACCCTTGTTAACACTTGCTTAGAGCCCGTAAGCCTGGCATTTCCCTCTCAAGCAACCGTAGCAGATCGGAATCCTGATTCTGTCTTGTCTTCTCAGATTTTAGAAACATCAAGTGCACTCTGACAACATGTGACATATTCGTGCGTGCTTTAGAATAAACAGAGTCCCCCAAGAACTCACCAACAGCTTTTCCTGTGTGAATGTCAAATGTGAATCCTGGGATGTTTCCACAGATGGTTTTAAAGTCAGCTACAAAACAGAAATAAAGCCATGCACTCTTAAAATTCTCAGACTGCTTCAAAGTACCAGCCTATCAAGTATTACATTCATAAGCAAATGTACATCATATTATCCACAACCAGGTGCTTTAATTTCAATTACATGTATCAGAATATTACCAGCGTATGCGATGATCAAGGTGTTTTAAAAGCTATTGTTGGGCCTGGTACAGTAGTCCAGCAGCTAAAATCCTCACCTTGCACGTGCCAGGAGCCCATATGGGCGCCGGTTCTAATCCCGGCAGCCCCGCTTCCCATCCAGCTCCCTGCTTGTGGCCTGGGAAAGCAGTCGAGGACGGCCCAAAGCTTGGGGACCCTGCACCCGTGTGGGAGACCTGGAAGAGCTCCTGGCTCCTGATCAGCACAGCTACAGCCATTGTGGACACTTGGGGAATGAATCAATGGATGAAGATCTTCCTCTCTGTCTCTCCTCCTCTCTGTGTATCTGACTTTCCAATAAAAATAAATAAATGTATAAATCTTTAAAAATAAAGTTACTGTTGTTTTTTCTGTGATTTCTAGTGCTCCTGATTTGAGCAGCTAAGTAAATCATATCTAACCCCAAAACACATACCAGGTACTCTCTTTCCGCAGGATATTCAGAGCTTTAAAAATGATCCAGTGATACGGATTTAAGACAGGTTAGAGCAGATATTTAGGAAGGGACTGTAGGTTTCACAAAGACATACCATGAAAAAAATGATAAAAACCAGTTTTTTACTGGAGAAACAGGTTGACAATGAGAGTAGTGAATGAGATAGAAACTTTTATCTTTTCTCTTTGACCAGAAATGTCTTTACAGGAATACGAAATCTGACTCATGAAAAACAATACATTATGACATAAAAGAAACCACCAACAGATGAACAGAAATGTGCAAGATTTTGTGATTCTGATCATAAAATGCTTCTGATGCTCACAGCTACGTAAGTTAGCAGAATTCAGTTCTGTGCTGCAGGTGCTGGCAGGGAAGGGATGTGGACTCAGGTCAGGCCCTCTGCTTCAGCAGTACCGCAGAGGAGAGCATTGGCGGAGTCCAGAGACAGGGACCTTTCATTGTGCATGGGAAGGCACAGAAGATGCCCCATGTATCCCACGCCCCTGACACCCACTGGGGAGACCCAGATCCACTCCAGGTGCCTGACTTGTCCTCATCAACTCCAGCTGTTGTGACCTTCAGTGGAGTGAATGGATGGAAGATCCATCTTTTTTTTCTTTTTGAAAAAAGATTTTTATTTTTATTTTTTTATTGGGAAGTCAGATATGCAGAAAGGAGGAGAGACAGAGAGGAAGATCTTCCGTCCTCATACAGAAACCAATATTGTACCTCCCTATAGCAGTGCTCTTCAACTTTTAACTAAGCAATTTTAACTGCTATTCAAAAAATTTAATTCATTTTCATCTTATTTGAAAGGCAAAGAAGACAGAGACAGGTCTTCCACTTGCTGGTTCATTCTCTAAACACCTGATATGTCTGTTGCTGGGCCAACCTAAAGCCAGGAGTCAGAAACTCTATCTGGTCTCCTGTGGAGGCCTGCACTGCCGGGGCCGTCCCTGCTGCTTTCCTCGGCTGTGCTTTGGCAGGAAAGCAAACCAACAGTGGAGGCAGGACATGAGTGAGAGGGAGTCCCAAGCAGTGCTCTTAAAGTTATGCCAAACGCCTGCCCCCAATGGGCAATGGTTCAAGTCCTGGGTGTTCTACTTTGGGTCCTGCTCCTTGCTCATTACTAGCAGCTAGGACAGCTGCAGAAGACAGCCCAAGAACTCGGGCACCTGCTTCCCATGTGGGAGACCAGGATGGAGCTCCTGATTCCCCGCGTCAGCCCGGCCCAGTCCCACTCACTGTGACCATCTGCAGAGTAAACTGCAAAAAGGGAGTTCTCTCTGTGTTTCCCTTTCTCTCCAAATCTCTGCCTTTCAAATAAATAACCTTTAGAAAATTTTTTTAAAAAGAATGTCTACTTAATTTTACAGAACATAAAGTTGGTAATATAGGACTAAATGTCCTTTTCATCACAGAATTTCAGTCACTTCAAAAGGTGCCTGTGTCTCATCCTGAACAGTGGGGGAGGAAGCGAGAGGAAGAAAGACACGATCTAGCCACTGGCTCGCACCGCAGACAGTCAAACCAAGAACCAGGAACTTCCGGGCTCAACTACTTAGTCCAACCTCCGCTGTTTTTCCCACACTATTCTCAGCGAGCTAGACTGAAGTGGGGCAGCTGGGACTTGGCACCAGTTGCCTTTATGGGATGCTGGCACTATAGGAGATGATTTTGCTTGCTCCACTACAATTTTGGAACTTACTTATGGACTTAGATGGCTTTTAAATGACTCTTAAGTTTTTAATCAAAATATTCTAGTTTCTATATGTAGCTTGGTGATACACGAATAGCGGCTTAAAAAAGAAAACAACTGTTCAGTGAATAGATCAATAACTGAGCAACGTGGTTTGAAGATGGCGAGTTCAAACAGACCAAAGCTGCAAATTCTAACTCTTCAGCAGTGGAGCCTTGTTTCAGGAAGTTTAGAAGTCTGTTTAACATATGTTGCAGAAGTCCGTGCCTGTACCCCAGAGGGTGCCTTGGGGAATGGGGCACAGGCTGCTCTGGGATATTTCCAGAAATGGCATTTCTGGTTATAGCACCCAGGGACTTGATGGCTTGGACAGGTCATCTATCCGTCCCCTGATCCAGTGTTTAGCAGAGATGTGGGCTGTGTGCTCACCTGTTCCTGGTGCTGGGCACGGTTCACATGGTTTGTTCCAGGCTTTGCCTACGTTGTACGTGCAGCAGCACATCCTCTTGGTCACATTAAATGGCAGCTCATTCTCACAGGTGGTTCCGTTGTAGCTGCGGTAGCAGAAGCTTTTCCTCATGTCTGCACAGAGAAAGGACATGAGCGAGCAGGTCCCTCTGGCAAGCAGGTAACAACACAGTGCACACTGTGAGTCCTCTTTCAATAAAACTCTCAAACACGGCTCAGGCACCTGCAACACGGGTCTGCAAGAAACTCAGAGCAGTGTGCCGCTCTCTGTAGGATGGGCACCTCTTTGCTTTTTAGATAAGAAATTGGTAATTTTATTTGGTGACAAGGTTAATGTATATTTGTTTCTCTACTCAAAAACATTAAAAAGCACTAAAATTTAAATAGTCTTACATATATAATCATGTTCACCTTATATTCATATGAATGGAAAACAGAATTTAATGATAAAGAACTGCGAAAGCTGATGAAGATTTATCTCAGGCTCATGTGTGCTAAGCATCTACAGCCAAGATGCAGAGCGCCAGTCACTTACAAAGAAGCACTTGATTGGTCAAGATCTACTTTCCAAACTTTCTGAACAGTCATTCTGAGGCCTAAGCACCTGGTGGGTGGACTCAGTGACTGTGAGCCAACTGACTGGCCAGACCTTCACCTACCCATGCAGTTGTGGCCTCCGTTGACCTGCATGTATTCCGGGGGGCAAATGCAGGTGTAGTTTCCCAGGGTGTTGTAGCAGGTCCCAGGACCACAGACCCCAGGATGGGCGAAGCACTCATCAATGTCTGCAGAGGGTGAGAAGAGACATTTACAACACATGTTTTTGAGTGACAATATTTGAACAGAGCCTAGAGACGATTCCCAATTAGAATTCAAAATAACTACATAGAGAATTTTTGACCTTCAAAGAAACCATACAAGAAGCTTCCCCAGTTGCCTTCACATGACATAAAGGGCATTCATTCTTCAAAAGGAAAAGAAATTCCAAATTAAAAGGTGCAAGTCATCAAAGGAAATAATTCTCACAGTAGCAAAATACTCTTTACACGCACCAAGGTTTTAACAATGGAAAGGCTAACTCTTTACAGAACTTCCTCCAAGCCTGCTCTTCCATTAAGTCACTTTCCCTAAACTTCAAATGGAATGAAACTGGGGAGAGAGAGAGCCCTTGTCTTGTGGCCTCCTGGGAGGTGCTGGAACCAGCACAGCTGTTGGACGGTCCAGGGTTAAATGATGTTTTCTCCAGATGCATGTATCTAACACGTCTCGAAGCCAGAGTTAGCATGGTCCCTGTTTGATGTTGGCTTCAGAAGCGCTCATTCATTCTCCCTAGTAAACCTGAAGACTGCTGCGTAGGACAAGTAAGACGCGGGCAGCGCTTGGTTGATGGCAGGGTCAAGTAGCAGTGAGGGCACTGAGGCTAAGAGAGGCATAGGCACAGCCTCTGTGCATGTTACAGTATCTCGAACATTGAAGTAACTACAAAATAATCCCAAGTGGCATTTAAGCTGACCTATAAAATATAAATTTTATCAGTATTTCCTCAGATGTTCTGATCTAGATGGAGTATCGTCATCCGAAATGCTTGGACCTGTGGTGTGTTGAGCTTTTGGGTTTTGGAATATTTGTGCACGCCCACGAAGCTCACTGGTATTTCATATGCAACTTACACACAGAGCACAGAGAGATTTTTACATACTACTAAAAATAATGTGGGGTACAAAACAAAGTTTCATAGCATTGTCACTCTCCTGTTGGCATGCCAAAAGTTTCAGATCTTGGAGCATCTCAGATTCCGGATTTGTGACTTGGGGAAAAAACCTGTGCTGTATGTTTTCACACTCCTCACTTACAACATGGCCAACTTCTTACTCTTAAAAACAATGTGAAATTAGCTGATTCGCCTTAAATCACCATACAAATGAGCAGCATGCAAAGGATGAGAAAACAGCTGTGAAGCAGCAATGGCTCCCCTGGGCCTAGACGGGAGTCCTCTCCCCAGGCCCGAGAGGCCCTCTTCCCTTAGCAGCCACAGCACCATGGCCTCACCTTCACAGATGCGGGTCTCCTCGCTGAGGTAGTAGCCTTGCGGACACTCACACTGGAAGCTTCCAAAAGTGTTGATACAGTTTCCTCCCTGGCACAGACCTGGTAGCTCCTGGCACTCGTCAATGTCTGCAGAAGGGAACAGGGTTCAGCCAATACCAGGGTCAAAGACAAGGTGTAACCTGAGAGTGTGCAAAGGTGCCACCCTGCAGGGCCCGCCCACCTCTGGGGTGGGGGGAGGCATCCACGTGGGAGCGTGTAGGTGGGAGGCTGCTGTTGGCCACAGATTTCCTGGCTCTTGTGGGGAACTCTGCAGGGCTGTAAGAGCAAGCTGCGAAAATGTTTGGGGGAAGATGGAGGAGAGCTTGCGGATGGTTGCGATGGCTCATGACTCCCTCGTTATGCAACCTGGCAGTTCACTGCTAACAAGGAGTCACTGCTCAACAACCCTGCAGGGCCTGCTCTGTGCCAACTGGCTTGTCTCTAAAATCAACTTGATGGGCTAGAGAGGAGCTTACCTTCCAAGATGATTGTGATGGGGTTTGGTCTGAAGCCTTCGCCTCCCGGACACAGGGTATAGTATTCAGCTACAAAAACAATGCAAAGTCAGAGCCTGGAACCTGGGGCCTGAGTAGCTGACACAATGACACACAGCATGCCTCTGTGGCTCCAGCTCACGGGCTTAAGGATCGTATTCACAGCTTTCTTCATGTCTTCTCCAATACAGATAAACTAACACAGAATACACTCTGCTTGAAAAAAAAGGTCATTCCTTCTTTACACACAGCAGAATGCCAAAAACATTTCGTTTTCAGCTGATAAAAATCACAACTTTTTTTGGCTAAGAAGGGTCTTGTTTCATGTCCATACTGAGGACATATGCTTCAATTTACGATACACTGTGGCTGACTCCAGGAATACAACACACCTAGAGGCCTGAACTAAACGGCCCAAAAGGAGTAAGGTAAAGTTCCATGACATCAGTGAGCACTGACATTCCTGCCATTCATACTGGATTACAGCTGAAACAAACTTTTTTTTTTTTTTAAAGAAGTGACAGGTAACAACAGGGAAGAGAGGACATCAAATTGCTTTGACTGTGACTCAGCACCAGCACTGCCATGGAAACCTAGTTTTCCCCATTCAATGGCATACATGACAACGCACCCCGTGCCAGTGTCTGCTTCCTCCCCTTGCGGCACCTCCATACTTACTGCTGTTGACAGGGGGGCACGTCTCGCAGGGGTTTCCCCAAGCCTTCCCGAGGGAGCAGCAGCAGGAGGAGCGACTGACGCCCACCCCGATCTCTGTGTTGCAGGACAGACTCCCGTCTCCTCGAGGACCAAACTTGAGGTAGCAGTTGCCCACGCGGTTATCTGCAGGGCAACAGATGAGCTTAACTTCCCCCTCGCCACAGCAGCGAGTCCCACCGCAGACAACGTGCACTCAGAGGACAGTCACATTCTGTACTCTGAGATGACAGGGTCAGTCTACCCCCAGCACTGAAACAGCCTGGGGCTTCAGACCTCCTCAGGACCACGCTGTAGAAGGGGCAGGCTTTCCAAGTTAATGGAAGCCAACACTCAAGGCAGTTCATTACCAACAGAGTCTGGGTATGCAGTTCTGCATAATCACATCTGTTTCACGCAGGGTTTGCTTACCAACACAGCCTACTCCAGTGGGGTTCAGCTGGAAGTCTGGTGGGCAGTTACACTCATAGCGACCAGGCGTGTTCACACAGAGGCCGTTGACACAGTTTATGGGGTCTGCACACTCATCAATGTCTACAAGGCATTAACAATGGAAGATCTTTACTATCCTAGCCATATTCGCTTTTCAAAAACTCTGGCACATTTTTGCAAGTCAGTAGATCAAAAATTATTAGGCAGAACTCAGCACCATGCCATAAAGATTCTAAAATCCTCTATGTACCTTAAAAAGACTCTTCAGCATCAAGCCAATTGGCATTTATATCAGTGACATTTAAAAATCCTGAACAGATGTTCATGGTAAAATGTTACAGATCTGGAGATCTTGTGTGAATACTTGCAGTTAGTTATACGTTAGAAAATGGGCCAATTCTATGTAAGAACAATGTGCCCAAATGTAATTTTTTCAGAAAAATGGATAATCTCATAATATATAGGTTGGCTAAATACATGGTTGAAACACTTTTATTCTTGGCAGAAACCTTTCATTGCAAATAAAGCACAGCTCAGGGGAACCCTTGGACTGACCATACCTGTACAGTTCCCTCCTGTTCTGTCCAATTCATAACCATCATCGCAGATACAGTGGAACATTCCAGGCAAGTTGTTGCAAGTTCCGAAGACACAGATGTTTTGGAAGGAACATTCATCAATATCTGAGGATGAAAAAAACCCACATTCTTTTGATGATGAAGACATTTAAACACTGATTTAATGCAAAACATGAACGAGTTCTTCACATAATTTATGTGCAGTAAGTTTGTCTTTGCCTAAGTAGGTAATGGAACTGGTAGGCAGCCACTACTCACCGGGGGGACTAAGACACATGAGAAATCCTGTTTTCTCAGTAATATGAGTATCTAGTACTTTAAAGAACGGAGTTGGCTTAAGCTAAAGAATGCCAAAAATACATATGAAACTGCCTAAGGAATAAGATCAGAAAAAAACAACAAAATTCAAAGGTTCTAACAAAACAGTGCAAATGGCAGATGTCTTAGAACTTTTAAAATTAAAAATACACAATTTTTAAATATTCAAGACATTAACATTATTTTTCAATTTTAACTTTTTATTCTATTTTCTATCATAAAGTCAGTTATAAATAGGGACTTACACCATATGCTAAGATGGTCTACTGCTCCTGTTTCCTTACGTATTTCATCAAATTATATATTCATTAAGTAATAAACTGAAATCAGAAATCTATTTTGAAATGTTTTCCTGAGGCCATAACTCCAGGTCAATGAATGTCAGCATGTCACTCTTCACTAATGTGGAAGTGAACACGCTTGCATGTATAAACAGAGGACTGGCATGTACACAAATTCCTTCATATTCTGAGAATTCAGACAAGGTATGTCATAGATTAAGCTAGAATAGACAAGTCGTCCCAATCCGTCACTTGAGACAGTTACATCTTCAGAGTATAGAAGGTCTCTGGTTATTCCTGACAGTTAAAATAACTGGGCTCAACTTCCGGAAGATTTACCGTAGAGGCTGAAAGTGTCAGTTCTGCTCATGTGTGCAAGTGTCATCATGTCAGGAATTTTAATAAGCAATGCTCTTTATATAAATGATCAAATATCCCCTAAGTTAAATTAAAACTGATTTATGTTCATCTGTAAGTAAAAACAGAGTATTATTAGCTCTCCGAGTATACATTTAAGTTACCTTTATTGGAAATATTTTTAATTTAGGTGATACTTGTGTAAAATAAGGCATTTAAAAGTAATATTCCTTTACTGTTAATACATACTCAAAATTTTCAACACAGAAAGTGCTGACAGCAAAACAGAAAAGATGGCAAACAATTTAGAAAATAAAATAGCAAAAACAAAAGAGCTATCACTGATGTGTATCATTTAGTATTTCTAACATTTATTTAGAGAGTAAAACTAAAAAATTTACACAGATTTCTCACTACTGTAAGTTTTTAAACACTTCACTAATGTTAAGAAACACAAAAAATAAAACTTTTTGGTTTTCTTTTTTTGCAAAAGCTTAGATGGATGATATTGAATGATTCCGTACAACATATCCAACTCACTTTAGTTATGTAATTTCCCCCATTTTAATGATTTATACAACTTTCAGTGTTTTCTATTAATTTATGTAAAGAGATCACTAGCAGTTCCATTTGTATTTCCCCATTTATTATTATTTTTTAGTTTATTTTGATTGGGCAGTTAGATATACAGAGAGGAGGAGAGACAGAGAGGAAGATCTTTCATCTGCTGATTCACTCCCCAAGTGGCTGCAATGGCCGGAGCTGAGCCAATCTGAAGCCACCAGTCCAGAGCTTCTTCCAGGTCTCCCATGTGGGTGCAGGGTCTCAAGGGCTTGGGCCGTCCTCGACTGCTTTCCCAGGCCACAAGCAGGGAGCTGGATGGGAAGTGGAGCTGCCGGGATTAGAACCGGCGCCTGTATGGGATCCCAGTGCTATCGCGCTGGGCCTAGAAATTGCCCACTGGCTCTGCTTCATTTCAGACTTCCTCCTCGCCAGGAAAAGAGGGATTTTTTTCTCTGCCATCATTTTAAAAACATATTTTACATACACAAGGTGAATAAATTCCACATATGTCATCCTTTATGACTACTGTTCCCAGAAGCAGCAGGGCTGGTGGCTGACATTGTGGGCTTTTTTTTTAAAATTATATTTTTGACACTCTTTACATAGTTAATTAGGGTAAAAAAGTTTTAAGGGCTTTAGGAAAATGGGTAAGACTATTATTTCTATATTGCTACCTTCATATATCTGAGGTAAAGGGGGATATTAAGGGAGAAGCCCCACCCAGTCTCCCATCCACCTCAGGTCCCACATGTGGGGCATGCTCCGAGGGTCTTGCTCAAGTGGTTTTGATAGTTCAACAGTTATGAATTGCTGCCAATCTCACCACTCCAAGCACGATGAGGTCGTTCAAGAATCCACTGATTGACATGGAGTATCCGTTTCCCCAGTTTTTCACTGCCCACACATGGCTGAGGTGGTTGATTGACTTGTTCTGTCCTTTGTCTTTTCATGGTTAGGGTTCTGAGTCTGGCAGTTCGACTGAGGGGATCCCCTAAGAAACTTCGTCTGAGGTGTTTCCAGACCAGATTCTTATATGTACTAGCAAGTACAGGGCCCAGCACAGTCCATCGCCCCATCAGCTGGTGGTTGCAATTGCTGGGTTGGTTCTGTTTTCAGCCCTGTCTTCCACTGGAACCAATGGATTTCAGTCCAGCGACACTGTGGTCTTTTCTTGCACATTTGGTTCTTCCATTTCAGGATAATATTTGCTTTATACTTTGCTAGAGTGCTCTAATGTTTCTTACAAAGTAGCTCTTTTGAAAGGGAGACACAAGCTTGTGGTCTTGCCTCTTTTGCTTGTTTATTTGTTCACTGTGGTTTCCTAGGACCTTCATTTCCATATCAGTGATTTTATTTTCATTTGCTATCTCTTGTGCTCTGTGATGTTCCCCTGAATTTGCCGTGTTGGTCCCTGTTTCTTGGTTCCTTAAACTTTCCCATCTCCCCTTCTGCCCTTTCCTACACTGCTCTGCCATAGTCCCTTCAAAGCTGCTCAAGTCTGTTTTGGTTAAGCTTCTCCATGGCACCACCGACAGCTGGGAAATCCTCCTCCACCCTGGACTGCCTCCTCTCCTGGTTCACAGCTGTTCTTTTCCCTGGTTTCCCCAGCATGCCTGCAAGGTTGCTTTCCCTGGCAGTTAGCCTGTTTCTAGACCGTGGGGGTCCACTCTCAAGAGCTGCTGCTGAGTGTGAGGCCGTCCAGCTGGAGGCTCCTGACAGCCCTCTGTAGTGCAGTACCACTTGGAAGGCTATGCTAGGGCTCTGGGCTTCCTTAACAAGGCTATCGGGAGAGGTCTGCTGGACTCCGATCCCACTGTTGGTGAGCCTGGCTTGTGTGCTACACAGACAATGGGCGAGTGGTCTGTAGGCAGGCTCACTTCATCTATGGAGATTCTTCTAGGTTCTGTAATCTGCTATTTTGGCGGAAATCGCCAGGACACATCAACTCCAGGAATGCTTTGGACATGAGAATCTGAGAATTTGGAGTAATAGATACTGAGTGGAAAATTCTGACCACAAGGCCCAGCTCAGAGGGGCATGAATTTATACTAATGTGGGAAGGCAGGAGAGACTACCTGAAAGAAAGCAAAAGTTGAAGAGAAATGCTAAACAGGAATCACCCAGCTCTCTCCTGGGGGTGGCTCTGGGGAAAACCTGCATGTCACAGCTGAAGGGCTGTCATGCAGGGCATGCTTCTAGCTCCTGTGGGCCAAAGTGCCAATAGCTGTTGATTTCTTCCTCGTCCAGCTGACGCATGGAATCCCCTTTCCACGCTGACGCCCACTTTCTACTGACCAGCTTCTGGAATCCAGCCAGAACAGAAAAGTCCACATGATGTGTTACACGGCTGGACTGTACAGAAGGGACGAGCTGGCTTCATCTAGCAGGTCAACAGAGGAGTGGACGCAGACAGTTCCCTGAATCTTCCCCCAAGGCTTCTATGACCCCCGTTCCCATTCTCTCCAAACTGGTGGATACCTGCCAATGGCTTCAGAATCTCTCAGCCTGTGCTTCTCCAGCATTCCCCTGGCTAGTGGGGCTGTTAGGGGGGTATTCTGAGCCCACTCGGATTCTAGGATGAGTGTGTATTTGTGCTGGGATTCACTAGTGCAGGGAGAAAGTCTAACATGTTTCATGCTTTCATTTTATCATTTTTGGCCGTAAGTTTACCCACGTTGATTTTGTTTTTCTCCTGTGAATCACAGATTTTGGTGAGGCCTTATGGCTGGTGTGAATTATTTTTAATTGTGTTCCTTTCTTCCATTTATATTTTTATGTACTCCCTATAACACAATGATAGTCCAAGTCATACTTAATGTGATTTTGATCTCTAATTTAAAAAATGCTGGAGCATGTAGTGTGATGCAATGAGTTAAGACACTGCTCGGCATGCCAGTATCTCATTCAGGAGTGCTGGTTTGAGTCCTAGTTGGGCTTCCTGCTAACATGCCTGGGAAGGCAGTAGATGCTGGCTCAAATACTTGGATTCACAGCACCCATGTGGGACACTAGGCTGGAGGAGACCAGGATGCCTTGTGGCTTTGGCCTGGCCCTGCTCCAGCTGTTCCGGTTATTTGAGAGGTCAACCAGGTTTTAGATCTCTTTCGTCTCTCTGTGCTTCTGATTTCCAGTAAGAGAAAACGATCAAATTCTTAGAATGGCACAGTAGGCCTAAAGATCCCATGTGGAGAAGGAGGATGAGGTTATAACTTAGAGGGGGTTGTTTGTGTCAAGCACCAGTGAAGTTCTCGATGACTCCCTAAGGAGGACTCTGCTCCGACACAAAGCTGATTCAAACATCAAGGCGAATGCCACAAGTTAGCGTTGTTAACAGCAGGGTCTGGGCTAGGTGACAGATCACACTTTAAGCACTAGATAGTTCACTAGATAGTTCTGTCATTCATTTAGTCACAGAAAAAGGTAGGGGTGCGGAAAGAAAGAATGAGGCAAACTTTCAACCACTGGCTCTCGGCCAGGAAAACCTCATACGAGATGAAAGCCACCCTCATCATTATTCATTCTGCAAGTATCTGCACTTAAACAAACGACTTTCCTATGTGCAGCACGAGCTATGGAGCCAGGACCAGGCCTTTTTGTGCTTTCATTTGCTGTAGCCGATCCAACCTGAGAAAGTGCTGGAATCCTGGGGACCCACCTTGGCAGGACCTGCTATCCGTGGCTGGTGTGAAGCCCATCTCACACTCGCAGCGATATGCACCCGGCACGTTGAGGCACTGTCCATTCTCACAGAGATTGATGTTTTCTGCACACTCATCGACATCTGTAGGAGAAGTGAATTACATTTCCATTATGATCCAAATGTCATGGCACTTTTTCCATGCTCCATAACTCAGCCGGTTTTCCCGGCTTCACTTTGTGCTGATTAACATCAAGCAGCAATTAATCACACTCACCTCAAGTAGGATATAAGAACCTGATGGTAGTTAGTTCATCCATACTGCTACATCCAACAGCAACAGGCCTAGTAAGAGACATGCAGGTGTCTCTCACATGTGCCTTTGCTCTCTGCACCTTCATCTGATGTCCCAGGGCTATGCCAAGATCATTAAACATGAACAAGAACCCTGGAGTGAACTCTAATGCCTGCTCCTCTGAAAACACTGTCACATTGGAATGATTAACTCAATTCTTTCATGAGTCCAAATATTTTCAAACAAATCAGGAACAACAGGGAAATGGACAAAGTTTCTTTCATGTCGTTACAATCTGACACAAGTGCTCCTATCTTAATTGTGCAAACAGGTATAACTAATAGAATGTAAGACACTTGGATTCCAGGATGTAGAAAGAAGGAAAGGGGGGATACATTAGCTTTTACTGAGTTCAGAGCCCCTGGGGCGCCCTACCCAACAGGCATTTTCTCACTGAGTTTACCAATCCTAGGAACGTTTAGAAGTGGAGCTGTGAGATGCACACTGAGCTAATATGCTGGCTGAGTCAGGGACTGCACGTGGATGTTTATGACACCAAAAAGCACAGAAATGCGGGGAAAGGCACAATATCCAAGGCTTAAAAGCAGCACAGCTTGCAAGGTCAACAAACATGTTTTCTAAAAGAGGCATTTGAAAATGAAAAGTTATAATTTTGATGTCATTTACCAGACTCCATCTATTAATAATTGGCTTCGAGTCTGTGCTGAAATGTAGCTGCAACACAGCTATCCTACTGAGTGGAACGCACTGTGCTCTGTGCTCACCAGGAGCTGCCAGCCACACACCAGTGCACTCTGGAATGTTGGTGGAGGGTGGGTCACACCTCTGGGGACTCACGCATGTGCTATCAGAGGGTCTAGTCCTGGCTCCCCTCCTGCCTCGAGCCTTCTGCTAAGGCAACAGTGTTGCAGGCAGCAGCTGCTCTGCTCGGGTAGCTGGGTCCATGCTACCTGTCAAAACCTGGCCTGAGCTCCTGCTGCCTGGTTTTGGGCTGGCACATCACAGCTTTGAGGGATGAACTTGCAGATGGGAGACCTCCATCTGCATGTCTCTGAAACAGATAAGATAAATTAAAAAGTAAATAAATAATTAAGCTACCCAAGTCTACAGGGGGAAGTCTTGAAGCTAAATTTTTTGAACTCTAAATATTTTTTATCTCCTTTAATTCTCTCAATACCATGTGATATACTGAGCACAGTGATTAATTTTGCCACAGATCCTATCTTACATGGTTTATATAGCTGAGTAACTTAGGTGGCCAAAAAGGAAAAAAAAAAAAAAAGAAAAGAAAAAAAGAAACTGCATTACTACTATCTCCATCTTAAAATGGGAACAATAAGGCCAGACAGGTTAAATGATTGACTTAAACTTCCACTGGCAACAGGTAGTATAGGCAAGATGGAATCCAGTTGTAGACAATGCCTTTGATGAGCAGCATATGATGGTAAAAGTGTCATTATCTCAAGATTTCCACCAACATTTTCGGAAACACTGCTGGTTTTTGTGTGTAGCATAAGAATCCAACACTTCTTCCACAATGAGTCAAGTATAAGAATGGGTACAGTTCACCTTCCTTTAACTTTCCTCAACGGAAAGCAAATGAAGGGTGGTGTGGCAAACGCATCAGAGCACACTTCTGGACTGTCTCTCACCTGAGCAGGTGAAGCCGTCCCCGGTGAAACCTTCAGAGCAGGCGCAGCGGTACGAGCCGGGGGTGTTCACGCACTGGGCGTTTATGCTACACTGGTGGGTACCGTTGGAGCATTCATCCAGATCTGGAATGCCGAGAGAGCAGAGCAACAAGATTCACAAATGAAAATGGGACATTCACACACCCAGAATTATGTCTCCACTTGTTTTCTTTTAAATTGGAGAAATGGAATGCACTTCTGTTTGCCTGCTGGGCCACAACCCAAATCCTCATAGAGCTCAAAACCATCACCCACATGTCCCTGTCACAAAGGGGGGCCCAAGTGATGAATTCAAACTTCCTGTGACACATCTCATTGACCAGAATTTTAATGGTGGAAAGAAAACTGGGACTTCATTTGGATGTCCAGTGAGGGTGGAAGTGACCAATCACCACTCAAAAAGGGATCAATTCTGAAGACATGACAATTTCAGAGCAGAGGGAATCAGAATAGAGTTTCCAAGTTTACTTCACAGATAAAGGAATCATAACAGGACTCTTGACCACATGGAGTCCCCCAGTCCAGCAGAACAGACAGCTGCTACACACAGGGAAATGTTACACACTGCTGTAGGTGACTCAAAATTAGAGGACACAATGAGAGTCTGAGCCAGGCATCAACTACAGACGGTAGCAACCAGGAGGCCTCTTGTGGGTGGCTAATTCCAACCTGAAGGGATGAGGAGGAATTAGGCTACGGAACACAGCAGGAAAGGACGCTCCTTGCAGAGGACTGACACATGGGAAGACAAGAATGTGGCATGATCAAGGAAATGGCTGGAGGTCAGAGTGGCCAAGTGCAGGACAGGAGACAGAAGGAGGTGGAGGATGGAAACCCAGATTGCCTACTGGAGGATTGCAGAAGCCACGCAAGGGAGCTAGGTCTTCCTCTCAAACCAGTGAGCTAAAATGATCATGGAGAAGAATCGACCCATGGGTTGATGTTTTTCTCCTGTTGCTGTGTGAAAAACAGACTACAGAAGAGAATGAGCCAACACATGAGGGGTTCTCTCTGTGTCAGCACAGAGGGGAAGATACAGTGAGTGAGTGTGTGGGAATAGGCAGGGCAGTAAAGACAGGGCATATGAGGATGGGAACTGGGCCCACAGGTGCCTGGACAGTTGAACCTCTTGCACTGGAGCCAGGCCCCCTCATGAGAGATAGCCAGTGCCTGATGGGAAACACAAAAGGGCGGGGGGAGGCTGAAAGAGGCAAATCTAGACTAGAAAAATCCAAATGAGGTCATGGTTGTAAAGTCGCATGATGAATGCCAGACACGTAGCTTGAGAACTTCACGAGGCCATCAGAGGACGTCACAGCAAAGCTGCTGGGAAACCAGGAAAGCTGAGGTTCTACGGTCAGCTCAACAACATTTGAAGAGAATAAAATATCTGAAAGGACAGGAAGGTCTATTCCACTTAACTTCTCTCATGATTATTCTTTTAGTCCTTGCTGTGGGCCTCTACAAGGCTTTAATGAGGAACCATCACAGGCAAGTCAGCAAAGCTTCTTCTATTTTAAATGGTCCTGGGTAATTCCGACCAGGTGGAGAAACGCTCTATTGTTAACGATGCAGAACACTGAGCACATTACACAGCACTGTGAATGACATCAAGGGTATAAGCCAGTCCCCAGCCTCACGGCTATAAAAGACTTATTATTAGACTCTGGCTCAAGAGTTATAAAACCTGGGGAAGCTGCCTTCCAGCTCTCCGTTCTCCAAATCAGAACTCTTGGAATCCAACACAATCTTTCAATTTGCCCGTAAGAAGAATCCCATGTTCCAGTAAAAGGCTGGTACTGACCACTTTCTACAGACTTAGACCATCTACAAAACCCCTTTTCATTTCCTCTACACATTTCACTGGGTCTTAAATCTTACTCATTACTTACTCTATGAAAAAGACTGGAAAAATACAGCTGCTTGGATCACTGGCTGCACATCAAATAATTTTTACTGAACAACACATTAGAAGGCAGATGCCAAGGCATACTGTTGTAATTTGATCATTTATATTAATACGAAGGAAACTCTTAGGCAGGAATTCTCTTGCAACTAAAGATAGACTTTGATTTACAAGGAATAAGTAACAAGGACGAGCATGCCCCTGCTCTACTGGGGCCAGCAGCCATGTGAAGAAGTTCCTCTAAGAATTTCATGCCTGCGGTCTGCCCTGGCATTGTGGCGCCCATTGCTTGCCAATGCCAGCAACCTGTATTAGAGTGCTGGTTTGAGTCCCAGCTGCTCTTCTTCCCAAGCAGCTCCTTGCTCAGGCTCCTGGGAAGGCAGCAGAGGATGGCTCAAGTGCTAGGCCCAGTGTTACCTATGTGGGTGATCCAGATGGAGCCCGAGGTGCCTGACTTAGGCCTGACACAGCCTGGGCCTGCTGTGGCCATCTTCGGAGGGAGCCAGTGGACAGAACATCTCTTTCTATCTCTCCCTCTCTCTCTGATACGGGTGTATGCAAACTCACCGATACACTTGATGCCGTTTCCAATCCAGCCTTCTCGGCAGCTGCATTTGAAGCTTCCCGGGACATTCAGACAAGAGGCATGCATGTCGCAGTTGTGGGCGCCAATTTCACATTCGTCCACATCTAGGAAATCATAGTTCATATGGAAAAGATAAAACACAGCCAATTAGCTACCGCCATGTGTAATTCCACATAGGTAAGACACAGATGAAAATTTAGAACTGGCCAGAGAAAGCACTAGTAACGTTTTATTTTTAATTTTGGGAGAAATTCAGCAAGACCTGGAAGTTCATGATCCACAAGAAATCGGTGCTTCCCTGAAGAAACGGACAGCCACTCCCCGGGAGGTGTGCCACCTAGCAGCTGTTACCCTTCCAGTGGGTACAAAACATCCTTGCCTACACAAGCCCAGACCAAACTCAAAGCAGAAGAGCTCAGATTACAGATGCCAAGAGAAATCTTGCCTCCAAGAGACTTCCTCTTCATGTCTACTGCACGTTTATGAATACTAAAAACAAGTTTGACTTTTTAAAACAGCGTTTTCTCTTGGTAACACGACACAATCACATGTCATTTTTGAAAGCAATGTACCGTTCTACATCATTCTTGAAAAGTGCCATTTGCGTGTTGGTTTTTGTTACTTCTATTGTTTTGAGAGTATAGAAAAACATTCCCTAGGAATGTTATCTGGGAAATGAGCAGATGCTTTCCGCCAGGTGTGTGAATGTGCATGTCTTTCGCACATGCCTGCACACTCATACTGTGTCAGGTGTCACACAGTGACACCGGTCAGTGACGAACCTCAAACATGGCAGTGGGACGATCAGGTTCCACTACCAGACACTGTGGTGGTCTGTTTCTGTCAGCACACACTACTAGAGTCACACACAAGAAAATCACCCAATGACACATTTCTCAGAATGCTTCCTTGTCTTTGATACATGGCTATATATATGAATATACAAGTGCATGTGTGTTTGTGTATTATAAACCATGTAGATTTAGTTCCCCAAAGCCTTATAGCATATAAAGAACGATGTGTTTTCACCCAACTCACTAATTACTATTATAGCTGTTGGAATCACATATGCAGAAATGCTTCTAGCTTCACATCAGCCCTGTTAGTGCCCAACTTGCCAAACACACCTTCTTTTGCATCTTGATTTTCTTATAAGGGCCAACCTAGAGGCTGGGTTGCAGTCTAAGCCACCCACTACCTGCCCTGTGAGGCATCCCATATACTAGCCTTACACTTGAGCTTGAGCATGGAGGAACACCTGGCCCAACACCTAGACCTTGGCATGTTGTGGCCCCAGCCACCTGCCCAGTACAGCAAAAGGAACAAGGCAGGAATGGTGGGGTGAGCAATGAAACAGTAAACAAAACAAAACCAAAAAAAAAAAAAAACCTTAGGAGAATCTAGGCAGAGAAAAGAGAAGCCAAAAACAAATGGAGCAAAGAAAGGGGAATGACTAGGGAAGGAAGCAGAAGCATCAGGAACTTGAAGCTGCAGCAAGAGCGGGCTCCTTTCTGGGCCTTTCCTGCTCTCTGTGGGGCCTCCCTTAAGGCAGCAGCTGCAGGATGACAGCAGGGACACGTGAGAACCGTGGGAGGCAGAGGCCACGCTCACCCTTCCCCTCTCGTCAGCCCTGTGTTGGTGTCTGGAACTGAAGGAGCCACGGCACGGAGCATCCAGGCCTGACACCTACCTGTGCAGCCCGTAGTCCCTTTCTTCACCGAGTAACCCAGCTGGCAGTGGCAAATGAAGGACCCTTTGGTGTTCTCACACTCCCCGAACATGCAGATGTTTGAGTTTAAGTCACACTCATTCACATCTAGAAAAACGCACATAACATCCCAGTTACCATGCATCAGAGCTAATTTAGAAGCTGTCTTCTAGAGTGAATAGCATAATGCTGAAACAGAAAAATTTAGAAGAGAATCTGCTTGCCAATGTGTAGCTGAGTAGATAAATATGCTATTTGTCTTTCAATTTTTTAAAAATAATAATTATTTCTAGTGCAAATGCCTGCATTTCTCTGCACGTCTCTGCGTGCAACACTGAGGTTTGCTCATGGCACATACCGATGCATGTTTTCATGTCCATGGAAGCCATGAAGCCGTCGTAGCACAGGCAGCGGTACTCTCCAGGGATGTTGGTACACTGACCCCCGTCACAGATGTCAGCATTGTTCTCACACTCATCAATATCTGACGACACAAAGTGAACAGTGATGATAGCAAGAACGTGACTCATCAACCTCTAGCTCCTCCCCCTGGTCCATGTTCACCATGTGCTACACGGAACATCATTTCCAGGACAAGGCAAATCTGGTGTCTGAAGAATGTGTTCCCCTTTCTGTACCTGCACACGACCTCCCGTCTGGCATCAGAGCATAGCCTTCGCTGCAGCTGCATTCATAGCTTCCTTCCGAATTTGTGCACCGTGTGTCACAGCCCCCGTTCATTATCATGCATTCGTCAATATCTGTGGAAGAGAGGGCCACCACATGACAGGTGGATTCGGTTTCCTTAACAAACATGGAGGGCAAGGTTCCCTCCTCTCAAACAGATGATGTCTCTGCTGACTTGGCATCCTGCCATTGCTTGCTTTCCTTGGGGACATTACTCCATTGGACATTTCCTCCAGTAATTCTAGGTACAAGAACCCAGGTATGGCAACTATGATATTGAGAGCATTTTCTGTAATAGGATCAACATACCCCTTCTGCTCCAATTCTTAGACTCGCTTTTGGGACAAAGGCTTCCTGGTCTACTCAATGCCCAAAGTTCTGTCAGTGACCTGAGACACGTGAGTGTCCGTCCAGCCGGGCTCTCTCACCTGTACAGCCCTGGCGGTCGGGTGTGGCTTGGTATCCAGGATTGCAGGAGCACTGGTAGGTTCCGATCATGTTCACACACTTTCCGTTTCTGCAGAGATTGTCACTCAGGGAGCATTCGTTCACATCTATGACAGATTCACAGATTTCAGGTCTTGGGATCCAACAGCCAAATCACTGACCCCATCAGGAGTGCGCTGACTGAGGCAAGGAGGTATCTCCTGGGGGTATCTCTTCTATCCTATCCAGAACTTTGGAGAAACTGCCTGCAGAGTCAGCTACATCATCGTATGTGCAGCTGCATGGGTCACCAAGCACTGAAATGCGTGTAACCAAGGGAATTTGATACATTGCTCAATTTCAATCACATTTACACAACCACACACAGCTAGCAACAACACATTACACAGATTCGGCACATGTCTAGAGCAGAGCTCACTACTACATAATGTATGAAATTACATTAGCATGTGCATCTGAGCTGCACCGGGCGACCAAGCATAGCCTACCTAGGTTGAGGTAAACAAGTTGTACCCCACAAGACAGACAGGACACTGGGGCCCTTTACTTGCTTTGTCATTTTAATCGGCATGATTGAAAAGTGTAAACAATGTGCACGTTGAGACTCTGCGTTGGTATGAGGTGGCAGTTCCTCATCCCTGGGCACTGGGACGTAGGGAAAGTCATGAGTGGTTTTCCCCTTTGTCTCTCCCCTTACCCCAGGAACAACAAGAAGAAATAGCAAATCTGGAAGCAATAAGTTCACCCAATTTTCCCTAAACCTTGATCCTTCCCACTCTGATCAGCCATGTAATCATTACTTAAAATAATAATAAATTAGAATAAACAATAATAATAAATAAAGTGTAAACAAATGGATGCTCCCTCTACAAGGAATGACTAGGTGGAGCAATGCATGTGTTGATCAGGTTGACTTCCATCGTTTGCTGGGGACCATCATCCAAGGTCCCCAGCTCCACTACGTTGTGTGTTTTCATTGTTTGTGCCCATGTGCCTGAACAAGTCTACCTGCCTATTAAAAACAAACTAACCTTTGCATGATGGGCAAGCACCTTAAAAGACTCACATAAACTGATACTAATAGTACAGTCCTCAAGGAATAACTACACAATGGCGGTGTGGCCCAGTTCCTCTTACAAGTCATCTGACAGGCATAATACAAGATAGAGAGACAAGGTCCACAGAATGAGCTACACCAAGAAATCCATTCCACATTCTCTGAGTTTCCAAGGTATTTGGTAAGTGGGACTTCATGTACCCACCAGTTTTACCAACGGAGCTTGGAGGGACTGTGTGCAAAGGGGCCAACTCACCCACACAGTCCTCCCGTGATGGTGACAGCTCGTGTCCCAGTGGGCAGTCACACTGGAAGCTGCCCTCAGTGTTCACACAGGTGCCACCCCTACAAAGGAGAGGGTTACGTTCACATTCGTCAATGTCTGAAAGGTAAAAACGTGAGATCCATTATTCACGCAAACAGTATGGGAGAAAGAACATTATCCAAGGCACGGGTGGGACTCAAGGGCAAGTGTTACGTTGATGGGGAGTTGGGGTCATGACTGCCTCACCTGCCAAGAGTCTGCTTCTGCAGGCAGTAAACTATCATGTAATCTGCCGGCATGAAACAAACAAGCTCACCAAGCTAAGAATAACCAATGTTATCTTTACGTCACCCTGCGTCAAAGGCTAAAGCATACTGCTACTGTCAGTTATAGCTCAAATCACAAGGAAGTAACTGACATTCTACTATATTCTACGAGCTAAGTCCTCAGTCAAAGAAAATCGGAGGGCTACCAGGTTGGGAGTATCAAATGAGTCGGCAACAACACGGAACTATGGAAAACAATATGGGGTGAGCATGGCAGGAGGCAAATTTTGGGGTTATCACACAATGCCATTATTCCTTACAAATCAATTCCCCCTGAATGTAGATGTCAGATCCCACGAATAAGCACAATTTGGTCTTATTATCTCACTGCCCCTAAGGGAGCAAGGGGCTGCAGCTAGTCTCCTCTCTGTCCACCATGACCCCGTGCAGGGCGTGCTGCTCTCCCAGCAGAGGATGCAGCGCAGGGGAGTGTGAGCCCGGGCTGCCGCACTTACCCATACAGTTCTTCATCATCATGAACCCGCTCTCGTAGCCATCGAAGCACTCGCACTCAAAGCTGCCCGGCGTGTTCACGCAGACTCCACTGCCGCACAGGTCAGGGGAGATCCTGCATTCGTCGATGTCTGATCCCCATCGGTGAAGAGAAAGACAAAGGTCACTGAGAGAAGGCAGCATTGCAGGCCAGGGCCTTTCCTGGCAAAAGGCTGCATACTCGGAACCCTGGGGAAATCAGGGTCTGACACTAGGCATGGGGCTTTAGACATGTCCCTTCCTTTAAGTGCCAAAACTGTCACAGCCAACTGGCAGGTGGTGCCTTCAAGAGCCCTGGAATTCTGGACTTCCCTTGGTGGCTTAGAAATGGTAACAGGGCTGAACCAAGCTGCTGCTGCAGTAGGGCTGCGTGAACTGGTGCGGCAGGCAGCCAAGGCAGCACCCCAGGCTGAATGTGCCCCCAAGGTCCCCAGCTCTACTACAGCACTCATGTGCCTTGGACACCTGGGGCTGCCTCTGGGGAGGGATGGCTGGCTGACTACACAGGCGGTGCTCACACCCACTCTACCCAGAGATGAGAGTGCACAGCCAGCGCAGGGCTCTGGGCCTCAGCCCCAGCTGCTTCTGTGTCATGTTCTCTTGTGAAAGACTTACTAAGAGAAACACGGTACGGCTCTCACTTTTTCTATACTATAGCAAACTGTCTACTACATGAGGAATCTTAATCTCCACGAGCAGGATGCTCAGAGAAAGGTCCCATTCCTGCAATTTAGATTTTTCAGTGCCAGCGTTGTGATGCAGTGTGGTAAGTGGTCACCCCTGACTGTGGCATCCCATGTGAGCGCCAATCTGAGCCCTAGTTACTCTGCTTCTGCTCCAGCCCCCGGCTAATGTGCCTGAGAAGGTAGCTGAAGATGACACAGGTAGTTTGGGCCCTGTTGCCCATGTGGGAGACTGGGATGGAGTTCAAAGTTGCTGGCCATGCCCTGGCCATGCCCTGGCCTCGGTGGCATTCTGAGGTGTGTGTGCAGCGGGGGCTGGGGGAGCGGTGACTCAGCAGGTGGCAGATCGATCTCCTCTAACTGTAATTCTGCCTTTCAAAGAAATATGTAAGAACTTTGAAAGTAAAGATGGTTGTAGAGAAGTCATACCTTTGTAGGTTACAAAAATATGACGTACTGAGCCTCTTTTGCTACAGTGGAAAGAGCTTCTCTCATGCCCCGGTTCATCTTAAGTGTGTGGTTTGTCTATGAGAGGATTTGAGTGACTTGTGGAACACACTCTCACAGGAGTCTCACTTCCTGCTTCTCTCCCACTGCCAGCCTTTCTACAACTATTTCCTTAATCACAGGCTGCCTTTTTTTTTTTTTCTAAACAAAACAAATGCTTCCTTTAAACAAAAGACCAGAATTTGCCAACTACAGCAATGTGCACACGGATTCTCTTTCTGTCCATCGGTGATGGGAAGAGCTGCCTCAGGAACAGGGGAACAGGGACAACTTCCAGCTGCTGTGAGGCGGTGGACACTGCACAGTGCAGACGACGCCTCTGAGCACAAGGTTCCTGGGTGCAGATCGGAGCCCTTTACCCACCGCTGGCTGGTCCTGTGGGACCTCATGTCCTTTTGCCTTGTCTCAATTCCCTTCCCTGTAACAGAATTCGTAGAATTCTGAGAATCAGTTCATTGCTGAGTGTAGACAATGGTGCTGTCTCCTAGAGAAGCACTGTTAACTCTCGGTAAACAAGCCGTATGCTGGAGGCCAGCAGGTTCAGCAGCTACTGTGCACTGGTGTCCCTTACACGCACCGGCTGTTCTGCTTTCAATCCAGCTTCCTGCTAACGCACCTGGGAAAGCAGGGCACCCCAACACCAATGTTGGGAACCTGGATTATAGTTCCTGGATTCTGTCTGCCTGTTGTTGCCATTAAGGAATAAATCACCATGCGGAAAAACTCTGTCTTTCTCTCTCTCTCTGTAACTCTGACTCCTAAATAATAAAATATTTTCAAAAAGTGGCATTTCAGAGGGAGAAACATTGGGTCTGGTCCTTGAAGGCTGGACACGAATTCTAGCTATACAGGGGATAGCTTTGTGACATAGCAAGTCGAGCCATGGCCTATGATGCCAGGATCCCACACGGGCCTCCGTTCATGTTCCAATTTCTCCATTTCCAATACAGCTCCCTGCGGATGGCCTGGGAAAAGGAGCAGAAGATGGCCTAAGCTTCTGAGTTCCTACTACCCACATGGGAGATCTGGAAGAAGCTTGGGCTCCTGGCCTCACCTGCACCAGCGTTGGCCTTTGTAATCATCTAGGTAGTGAACAGGCAGATGGAAGATCTCATTCTGTAATTCTTTCAAATACACAAATCTTAAAAAAGAAAGAAATCCTAGCTCAACAGACGTGGAACAGAGACGCCAGAGACAGAGCACACAGCTGAAGCAATGCGTTCTGAGATCGTCAGCTGTAGATGCAGAGTGCAGAGCTGATGAGAGCTGATGGGGACAGCTAGAGGGGCAGGGTCACCAAGCGTGCTGGACATGGAGCAGATCTCTGTGTTGGTGGTGAGGAAGGCAGCTGGACATCACCTATGGAATTTCACACCCTACTGCCAAAGAGGGTAGTGCTGCTCATAAGCGTCAGTCTTGCACGGTTAAAGGAGAGTGTCAGAGACGACAAGGGACTCTGCCAAGGTCATTCCCACAATGGGAGATGAGGGTCATGTTTTGCAGCCTTTGTTTAGGCCCTGGGATGACCTGTGTCAGTGTATGTGGCTCTGTGGGAAGTAGCTGCAGACCTGACTGGGAATGACTAAGCCAGTGCAGGGTTGGCCAATACAGGTCAAGGGGAACATCTGCCATGGTATTTTTGTAAAAGTGACTCAACAAAAGTTGTTTTTCAGGAGTATGCAGATGTGACTGAGAGGGCCAAGTGGGAAACAGGATGGTAGATGGAAGACATAAAAGGGCAGAGGAACCCTGCTGAGCCTATCTAGAGGCCAAGGCGAAGGAACCAGTAAAACAGAGGTGTATTCCCTGCTGAGCCGGAACCTGGAGCTGGAGGAGGGCAGAGGAAAGAGCAGCAGAGTGACTGCAGAAGGGGGACCAGCATCACCTCTGAAACCAGAGCCAAACGGAGTCTTACAAAGGAGGATGCCGTGTGAGAGGATGCCGGCCATCCATGATGGAAGGGGCAGGCAGGGCTATGCAAGCCAGCCCAGGAAGTCTGGGAGCCAAGTAAAGGGGACTCAGGAAGGGTGCAGGGGTGAAGGACTGCTGCTAAGCAGTGAGAAGATCCGGGCCAGTGAGTACAGGGGTCTGTCGGTTCTCCTTATACCCTCTAGGGAGACACGACAATGAGATAGTTGCCATGAAGGCAAAGCCGAGAGCCAAGGCAGAGGACTCAGACACAGCTGTCAAACGCAAAGCAACTTCATGGCACCACAAAGAGAAGAGGAAACTCCAAAGAGAGCATGAATGGAGCAGTGGGGCTGGGCACTTGGCACAACAGTTTAAATACCACTTAGGACACCTGCATGCCATATCAGGGTGCCCGGCTGGGAGGCCAGACTCTGCTGAAGTGCATCCTGGGAGTGCTGATGACCTGGGTAGTTGGGTCCCTGTTGCCCACAAGGGGAGCCTGGGTCGGGCTCTGGGCTCTTAGCTTTGGCCTGACACGGCAGGCTGTTTCAGTACCTAGAGAGCAACCTAGAGGACAGAAGATCTCTATGTGTATCTGTTTCTGTTTTCTTGTTCTCTTTCAAATAACAGAAAAACAAAGTTCTGAAAATAAGACCTTGGAGAAGTGCTCAAGTGTTGGGGTAACTAAATAAAAAAATGTGCGACTTCAAATGTTTTCAAACTAAAAGGAATGGTCACGTCTGCAGGCGGTGAATGAAGCCAAATTATTGAGAATACTGTTTACAGATGAGGAAAACATGGTAAGTTCTCTATCACAAGATTTCAAATTTCCATAAACGAAAAAGTTTCTATGACTGCTGTGGCTTCAACATGCTGTCCTCCAATATTTCAGAAAGCATATGTTCATGCCACTCCTGTATGCAAGACAAAAACAACATTTTGTGCTCCTTTGAAGCTCTCCCATAAGTTTGCTGGGGCAACTCAGGTAAGAGCGTAGTAAAGACAAAAATAAAAATTTCATACACTGGGGACGTGAAGGGTATTAAAAGGTAGCGCTTTTGCACAGAGCACAGAGTCAAGGTGCCAAGGCTTATCTACCAAAACAGAAGCCCCCACCACCTCACCTGTGCAGTTCCTTTCCTCCAAGTCCAGGGCAAAGCCACTGTTGCAGCGGCACTTGAAGCTCCCGATGGTGTTTCTGCACTTGCCATAGGTGCACATCCCGGGGAAGGCTTTGCATTCGTTGATATCTGCAGCAGAATAAAGCTGCACTGTAGTGCTGGTTGGTACCAGCAAATTAGCTCACCAAGTTAATGCAGAATGATCATGCACCCAGGGAGGGTCAGGGTGGCATTCAGTGCTAGCACTGACACCACAAGGTGTCCACTAGGAAAATGATTCTATATTCTCAACAGAGAAGTCTGAGCCCCTGGTGTCTGACCACCTGTCTTTAAAAGACACAGGGTCAACGAGCCTTGTGCCATGGATGCATCTCCCGCGGTGCAATGGGCAGCAGAGGAGCAGCAGAGGGAATAAGCTGTCTCTTCTTCAGTTCTGCCCTGGGTGCAGAAGAGGCTGCCCACCAATCCATTTACCAAAGAAAGCAAAGACCAAATTAAACTTTTAAGGCTAAGCCAGTTCTCTGACACATGTGGATATTATGTATTGGTGCAAATGGGCCATGGTTACCTTTGTAGAACGGCCGTCCCGTCAGAACGTCCCCTCTGTTGGCAAAGCCAGGTCCCCGGGGGCACAGGGCCTCGTACTCCTTGGTGCCAGGCTTGGGGCACTCCTCGCACTCAGTGCCCCAGGCAGCCCCCACAGCGCAGCAGCAGGCGTCCATGCGGAACTTGCCGGGGACAGGGTGGATGCACTCATCTTCATCCCACTTCAAGAAGCACTGCTCCGTGCGGATGTCTGCAGAGAGAGCACAGCCCCGGGTGCCCTGTGAGCTGCGTGCTCTCTGGACACGGGCATGCTACAAGTCCTACAAACTATTTTTTTATTTTAACTTGAAAAATACTATAAATTTAAACATTGAATATAACAGTGTGATTGTTTATGCCTGACTACAAGTTTAAATTTCAAACACAGGGGAGAGTGGCTTGGGATGACCTTTCTCCACATCTGAGCTCTGGGTTTGAGCCCTGATTCCACTTCTGATCCAGTTTCCTGCTAACGCATACTAGGGTGGGGATACAGAGAGGAAGAGTCGGGGGTACAACAGGTGATGGTTCATGCGACTGGATTCCTGTCACCCACACTAGGAACACTAGGAGACCCACACTGAGTTCCATTCTCTTGGCTTCAGCTCAGCCTAAGCCTTTCTTTCCCTGTCTTCACATTTCAAGTAAATAAAACAATTTTTTTGGAAAATTTAAAAGTTTCAAATACAAATCTATGCAAAAGTTCATTCAATAACCCCTAAATTTGCTATCTTATAACTTACTGGGAAGAATTTCAGGTAAGCAAAAACAGTGCTCTGCGTATGTAAAAAATGTAAAATTCATAGAACTCAGGCTAACACGACTCACATTGCTCTCCCACAAAATGGGGTGTTGAGAGAACACATTTGCTCATTTTAGATCTTTAGGAAATAAAGCATTAATAAAATTTAAGCTCTGAAGTAGGTAATAATAAAAAAAAAACGGGCAGGATAAGTCAGTGTTTCCAAACAGGAATGACCTAACTGCCCAGTACCTGCCTGGGCATGCTTCACTGCAGCTGATGAATGTCCACTTTGCAAACATCAGTCTCTAGTCGTCACCCCACGTTTGTAACATGCAATCTTTTCTTAATTAAATGTGGAAGATTGAAACTGCCTGAAGTACAGCATTACAGAAAATAAAACCTCACAGACAGGATCAACTCAGCATGAAAGGTTCCATTTAAATGCTCTCACTTTTAAAACATCTTCTAGGGATGTTCCCCAACACATCTTGGTGAAGACAAATTTTCCCAAGATCAGATTCAATGGCTTTGAATTGGCCACTGCCCAAAGGATAAAATAAAAGCAAAAACTGAACAATAAAAACAAAACAAAAAAAGTGGGCTGTTTTATGTCTAAAATGCATGAGCACATGAGTCTTACCCAAACATACGCGGCCAGTTCCATCCAACGTGAGGCCTTCCGGACACTCACAGTGAAAAGATCCTTGGCTGTTGACACAGCGTCCATTTGGACAAACGCCAGGAAACACCTCACACTCATTAACATCTGCAGGAAAATGGAACAAGCAGAGGATGAAGATGTCACCAAAAGAAATAGCAGGTGTAGCCTTATTTCCTGTATGTAATACACTGTGGATTACTACTTGAGTTAAGCTGAAACATTCCATAACCTAGCCACCCACTTTCCTAGGCGCCAGCTGCAAAAATGACCACAGCCTGGTCGATCTCTAGAACACAACCCAGACAGGCTCCCTTGCCAGCTCGACTTTGCCGGAAACACTGGTGATGTCCTTATGAGATTCACCCAACTGTGTCAGCAGGAGAAACGGAAAACTCTCAGCTGGTTCCTCAGACTACTACGCCTACGTACTTGGTGATGATGCGGAATGCTTTCATTGTAGTGTTCAGCTTTTAAATAAATACCCCCTGAGCATGAGAGTTAATATTACTTTCATGTACTGCTCCTGAATAATTTCAATGTACTCACCTTCACAAGTGACGCCTTTAACCCTGGCAAATCCTCTGGGGCATGCTGCATCTGTAAGAATAAGGGGACCCACTTTCACTCTGTTATCAAAGAAAGCACGATTGGCTTACGCTCAAGGGATAGATGGACGGAATAAAAGCTGAAGGTGAGATTCTGGAGACTGGATTTCACCCATGCCCGCCTCAGTGCAGCAGAGAGCAAGGCTTGCTGCAGGAACTCTGCAGGTGCTGACCCTCAAGGAGAGTCTCATCCTTCCTAGAACTCCCTTTTGCTTCCACTTTGGCAACCGGATGACAAGTAAAGACTCCAGGGACTGAGCCATCTTCTCCCACTAGGACTCTGGGGAACACCACTCCTCGGTAATGGGGTTTTAGCTGCCTCCTCTCCATTAGGCCTGCTTAGAGTCCAAGAAGGGGATAAACTTAGCCAGAAAAGGCAACATATGATGCTATGGTCTTCCTTCCAAGGGAAATTCAGTGTGAAGATGTGCCCTCCTTAAAGGGGAAGCCTTCCATGGAGATGCCCCAAGGCCCTTGCACCTGGCTCCTACCTAGTTCACACCGCTCACAGGGGCTCCCCCACGCTGCTCCAAGGGTGGCACAGCATTCGGATTTCAGAGTGGCTCCATTAATATTCACCTCACAGCGGTTGTCCTGGATGTTGAGCCAGCATGTCCCTTTCAGGCTGTCTGAAAAGAAATAGGAAAGGTTCGAGGCCTCTTATTTTCGAAGAAAAGCTTAATTCAGGTGGATACATTGAAGGTATTATTATAGAGTAAAAAACACTATATTATAACACAGTGTTATTTTAAACTTTTCATAGCATATCCTTCACAGTCCATGTTACGTATATCCATAAAACACTCATGAAAGAAATGATCACATACACAGCTAAGTGGAAAGATATTCCTAGTGTAAGATTAATATCATAATACTATTGTTCATGCCACCTAATGATTTAACCTACAGAATCAATGCAATGCCTACCAAAGTACAAAATACTGATGATGTTCTTTACAGAATTAGGAAAAAAAAATCCTAAGAATCACATGGAACCAGCAAAGCTCTGGGAGAGCCAAAGCAATCTTCAGCTAACAAGTTAGGGGCATCACAATACTTGTTGAAGCTAAGGTGACAAAAACAGCATAGCCGTATCATAAAACACACAGGTCAACAACTCAGATAACAGCCTTTTCAATAAATGATGTTGGCAAAACCACACATTCATGGACAGGAGAATGCGACTAGATCACCATGTCTCACCATGTACAAAAGAATGAACTTAATGTAGAGCAAAATCCCCAATGTAAAACCTGAAACCATGAAACTGCTAGAAGAAAACAGAGAGGAAACACAATGGAGGTATTTTGGGTGAGACCCCAAAGGCACAGTCATCAGAGCAAGGCAAATCAAAAGCACAATGAAATGCCACCTCATCTCTGTAACCATGGTATTACAAAAACGCAAAGTGAGAAGTACTGATTGGAGTATGGGACAATGAGAACTCTTACATATTGTTGGGTAATGTAAATTAGTACTCTCACAATGGAATACAGTATTGAAAGCTTAAAAATCTAGACAAAAAAAAAAAAGACAATATAATCCAGCGTCCCTATTACTGGGTTTGTATCTAAAAGATCAGTAATCATAGTAGCAAAGACATATGTTCCTCTCCATATTTACTGAGCACTTTTCATATCCGTCAAGGTAAAGAATCAACCAGTGCATCCTGAGAGGAATAAACAGGATGAATATAAGGTAAATACATACAATGAAAAAACTCCTTGGCCACCAAAAACAAACAAACAAAACAAAGAAACTCCCTAGAAGAAAATTCTATCATTTGTAGCAAAATGTGTGGAACAGGAAGACATCATGTTTAATCAAATCAACCAGACACAGAAATACAATTACGGCAGTCCTCCCTAATAAAATAAAACTCAATCTGCACACAGCATGGTGATTATCAGAGGCTGGGTGGTGTGGAAATGTAATATGCTTACATATCTCATTATGTATATCCTATATGACATGGTAGTTAATACAATTATATTTACTGACATCCTCAGACAGGATTGGGGACTGTTTTAACTTGCAGGTCATATAAAGCCATTATACTCATCTGATATGGCTCTGCCTTGGCAAATGCGGGTGGGACGTGAAATTCAACAAATCTATACCAGGTTCACTTTTAAGTTGCATGTTCCAGTCTGTGAATGGTGCTATAAATAACCAAATGTCTTCGAGGCAGATCGAAAGTTCTCCAGCCCAGTTCTAGGAGAAGGCACTGTTCACCAAAGTTTTTATGGTGAAACTTAGAAACACGGTGCATAATTATGATAACAGCATCATTTGTGTTAAAAATATTCCTAAGAATTATCTTTTATGATAAGTGCTTTGATATTTAGACGTTTATCAAATAAAACTCAAGTAATAATCTCTTTTCAGACTCTCCAAATCAAATTGAAGTACCTCCGTATAATAGTGTGATTTTTAAAATATTTATCCTATGTACATTTATAGGAAAAATGGGCAATGAATCTTTCAGTGATATAATACATTTTTCAAGTGGACAATTAATAAATGATTGTTAACTGATTTTTTTTCAAAGCACTGATAAGGAATCCAATCAGAGTAGACCTGACAAACAGTAACTGGTTCAAGGAAATCACAAGTAAAGTTCTCCTTGTACAATTGTGACTCTCAGGTGCGCATGCACAGTATCTCAAGGTCCCTGTTAAAATGCAAACTTGGAAGTCTCAGTGGTGTAGTCCAGGTTCTACACTTGCTGTACTTGCTCAGGCAATTCTGATGCAACACAACTTGGTCAACATAGTGCCTGTGGGGTCGGAAACCAACCAAGAAAGCACGCAGAAACTACCAGAACCATCCAAAAGAAATAAAATGGTGATTTGGGTTGTGAGCTGTTGGTGGGAAGGAGGGATTGAATATTTATCACAGAATAAACTTCAAGTAAAATTAATGGGTTTGCTTATGGATTTGATGTTCAACTTGAGGAAAAGGCATCAAGGATGACACCAAGTCAGTGGGTGGCAACAGGAGAAGTGGAATTTTTATTAGCCAAGATGGAGGTGCTTGAGAAGGTAAGAACCAGGCTTCTAGAGGGATCCCTGGGGGAAGAAGGTAAAAATCTGGCTTTGGACAATGAAATTCTAAAACATCTGCGTGGAGAAGCTGTGCACACTGCTGGAAGTACAAGTCTGGGAATAAGGGGAGAGTCAGGATGCAGCAGTGACTTTGGGAGCCGATGCAGACGCATCTAGGGATGGACAAAATGAAGCCAAGTAGGTCATGGACTGACTGTGGAATGCCACGTACCAGAAGGCAGAACAAGGAGACTTAACAAAGGAAAATGAGAGAAGCCTAGAGAAGAGATCTGAGAGGACACAAATGAACAATCTGAGGAGAGGGAGCTGCACTGCACCAGACAGTGGGATCAGCTGCTGACGGGAACAGGAGCAGATTCCTGGGTGCACAGCAGGATGTGGCTGCCCTGAGCACCTCCGTGCACACGCTAAACAGGGTGCAGACCCAACCACAGACAAGAAAGATCAGTTTACACCACATGTGCCGTCGAACCACAGCTGCGCAACACAGGATGGATTAGACACATCTATGGTCCTACTACATTTAGTTGTATAATCTAGAGTTCAGAAATATTTCTATACAATTTGCATAGGAGTTTAGATTTTATGTATATATATATAGAAATACATATATATACTTAGAAATATATATATATTTAGTATATATATTCTTAGATATATATATCTTGGTATATATATATATATATAATACTTCAGACTTTCTATATACTATATGTTTAGAAAGTCTGAAGAACAGATCCTAAACCCTGAAATAGTGCAAAATTAGTTGGATACAAAGAATATTTCAGAGTACAGATTTTGCACATTCCAAAATTTTTACTTAGTTCAACATTTAGACATTTGTACTCTGAAAAAGCTGCAGGCAATCTCTTTAAAAAAATAACAATGGATGGACACCAGCACGATGGCCTAGTGGCTGAATCCTTTCCTTGCATCCACTGGGATCCCAAAGAGGCACCTATTCATGTCCTGGCTGCTCTACTTTCCATCCAATTCACTGCTTGTGACCTGGGAAGGCTGTGGAGAACGGTGCACGACCTTGGGACCCTACACAAATGTGGGAGACCTGAAGGAGGCTCCTGGCTCCTGGCTTTGGATTGGCTCAGCTCTGACCGTTGTGGCCGCAAGAGGAGTGAACCAGAGGATTGAAAATGTTTTTGTGTCTCCTTCTCTCTTTATGTCTACCTTGTCAATAAAAAAAATAAAATGAATCTTTAAAGAAAACACATGGGCCCAGCATGATAATCTAGTGGCTTAAAGGCCTCACCTGACATACACTGGGATCCCATATGGGCGCAGGTTTTAATTCTGGTGGCCCTGCTTCCCATTCAGCTCCCTGCTTGTGGCCCGGGAAAGCAGTCAAGGATGGCCCAGAGTCTTGGGACCCTGCACCTGCATGGGAGACCCAGAAGCAGCTCCAGGCTCCTGGCTCAGTTCTGCTTAGCCTCAGCTGTTGCAGCCACTTGGGGAGTAAATCGTCATATGGAAGACCTTCCTGTCTGTCTCTCTTCCTCTCTGTATATCTGACTTTCCAATAAAAATAATACAAATAATACATGGATGATCTCTCCTATATATTGCTATTTATTGTTTTTTTTTTTCCCAAGTAGAATTCCCTTATAAATGAAAGAAATAGATAAAGTCATGTCTAACCCTTAAAAATATTAGGTCAGTTTCTTTTTTAATAGATCCTGGCAAGGATATTTAATTGGAGTGTTATGAATGAATGAACACAGTTAACATGCTGAGTGAGAAAAATTGGTGGTATTTAGTAGTTGGCAATTTGAAGAATGACATAATGACTTGGGTGTAAAAAAAAGTCTTTGTTCTTGTTTCATTAATAAATGTAAGGACAACAGGCCAAAAGAATATAAATCTAGATGATGAAGAGAAAACTCAGATATCTTTGATGCTCAGGTGGCACGCAGATTTTGTTTTCCGAGACATTAATGAACTGAGGTTGAGTTCATTTCCTTTGCATAATGACTCCATCTAAGCTGGAAACTGTACCTTAGAAAATCCGTTTCTGCCTCACTCATTCCAATCCCAACTCCTAATCCAGGACCAACGCTCCAGCCAGATGACATCTATTTCTAAACACAGAGAGTTGAACAAAGCTCCTGTTTCACTGTATTTCCTATCTCACTGGGAAGCCACGGGTAAGGCTTTCACTGGTCATCTCGTACTTGGCATTTTTGTTCATTCAACAGACTTATTTCTAGACAGTATTTAGCTGAACAGTTGGCATCAAACACACTACTGAATATCCTATTGTCCTTAGCACATATTAAATGAAAAGTCAGCTTGGCTAAGGAACAGGAAACAAAATCTGCCAGACTATTTGGCACTGTAAAAACGGAAACCTCTTTGTAAATATGTACAAGTGACAAGCAGTTAATGTTAAAGATGGATATTAACTAAAGGCAAGGATTGTGGTATGCTCACTGAGTGCAGACATTAGAAAGAAGGAAAAACTACTAACATTACTGGATTATTTTTTCCCTTACACATGAATTTTCCATATAATAGATTAGACTAACTTGATTTGTGTCCTGCATCACTGTTAAGAATGGACTTTCTATGTTGAGATACATTAAGATATCCTAGTTAAGGAGTTCTGGAATCTTTCTTCCCTGGAGATTTCCAAAAGTGGGGGAAAAAAGTATTATTTTCTGCTCTTTGGAGTCTATAAATTCATGATTGGTGGGAGAAAGGAAAATATAGCAAATTTCCTCTCTGAGTTTAAAATCTTCAAATTTCTGTCTTCTTAAACTGAATCCAACTCCCATCCCATTTCTGTTTACCAACGAAGGTTGTTTATAAGAAGTATGCAGTGGGGATTTGATTGTATCAACGCCTATGGCTTTTTTTTTTAAGATGAAAAATACATGTGGTTGCGCATGTGTGAGCAAGAGGTATGGAAATACTTATAATTTAACAGTAGACTATGTTTACTGATTTAAAGAGGAAATTCTGGAATCTATCAAAATTTAGGAGGTGGTGTACTTTACACAATTTACTGTGTTTTAATAGCCCCAGATTGTTACCTTGTAATTCTGTCCTTTTTATTATTCAGGAGGAGGTCCGAGGCGTGCGCTTATCTCTGCTCTAACCATTCCCAACACAGATCACGCCTGCGCAACAGCACTGAACCAGTTCTCAGTAGGAATCTTACCAATACAGATCAATCCTGTGGAGCTCAGTTTGCTGCCAGGGGAACATTCACAGTTGAAGGATCCAAGGTTGTTCCTGCAGGCCCCATTGACACAGGGGTTGCTTTCACATTCATTTACGTCTGTAATGCAGAAGGAAAAGATTGTGTTACAACAGCCATGTGTTTCTGGAAAATATTATTCCAACAAGCCACACTATGCCAGAATGTCTGGTAATTCTGGCTCTTGTGATTTTAATATGGGTCTACAAGGCATAAAGTGAATGGTGAATGGGGACTGGAGATCCACACATCTACACTGGCGGGGGCTCAGGAGACGCACAAGGATCAGCCTGCTGGGACAGGGTGCAGTATGTCCTTCAATAGGGGACTGCAACTTTACGTTCTTTGGTTAAGTTGTAATGACATTAAGATGTAAACGAGGTGCAAACACAGGTTGGTTGGCATTCACAGTCCCATGATTCTCAACACCAAAGGAAAGCGCTGGCTGGCTTTCCCTCCAAATGCCTGCACACATAGGGGACACGGGGACTCAGAACTCCACACGAAGCAGAGTTCTCCATCAGTCGGCCTGCCATCTCCTCCCTCTGCTGACCCTTTCCGTGTTCATGTTAAGTCTGCAAAGTCCTTTCAAACACAATTACTACTGGCAAAATGGAAATTCTTAATGAAGTTCAATGAATTACACAGTCCGCCATAATCACTAATATTATTCCAGGCCTCAAACCTCAGATCATCATCAAACAATTCCTGCAGATAGTCACAAGCGAAGGGGATTCCAGCACGCTTATGTTCTCAAGTGGTGACCAAAGAAAACGTCAGGCCTGTAAAGTTAAGTAGTTTAACACATGTGCTAATGAAAAATAAACAGAAGCTTCAACTAAAGGACTAGAAACACTACCAAAGGCACTTTCCACATAAATTCAAGCACTTCATTTAAAAAGGGGCACACAGATTTCTTCTGTTGGTTGGTTAATTATCTGTAATGGGGCACTCCCCCAACACATTTTACATTAAACTCTAGGGTTTCTGAGCTCACCAGAAACATTTCATTACATGGAGGAAAGCATGTGGACAGCGAAGCAAAAAGCTGAAGTGTTTACTCATAAGCATCTCTGGTCAAATCGGAACTAAGCTGATCCCAGAAGGGCAGGGCAGGAGACTCGAAACGCAAACCTGAGAACTCAGGAAGCAGGTATCACTACTTCAATAATTTTCAAGAAGTATATATGTGCTAATTTTATTCTTGGAATATGCATTGTTTCTGAAATTACGAATGTATTTTAATATCAGGTTATTTTTAGTGAGAAAAAAATCCCTTTCAAGACAAATACAAGATTCTGTAAACACAGTATAGACTGATAATAAAAACATCTAGTTTGCTGCAGTGAAGTTTCTCTAAGGAACTATAGAAACAAAAAGGAAGCAGGTAACTAATTTTTAAGAAAGATCACATATAATTCTAATTTCATCTGTCACAAATCCTTCTCTTTGAAAAATGTCATTATCATATTTTACAAACATGTATTTGAAATCAAACAATTATGAACTCAAAAGGTATAAACATGTGAAGTGACAACTACAGATCTCAGCTACTTAGTTTTCCTTTAAATATAATGTTTTTATGTTAAAAATGTCATGGAATCAGGAATTGAAACAGTTCACTGTACATTCCTGGAAACGAACTTCAAAGCACATCTGGTTTACATTTAACCAGTTATGTCACTGGAAACACAATCTAAACCACAGGGCTTGCTGTAAAAATTTTAACTTTCACAGGCTCTCAGAGCTCAAACAAAAAAAGTAAAGTTTTGCTAACTCTCATTTAAAATACAGATGCACTTTGCTCTCTTTATCATCACTGCTATTTATTATACATCTAAAAGAGCCTGTTGAAACCTGAATGCCAAACAGAATGAGCGAACATGGCAAGTACACAGAGGGAAACCTAGGCTCTGCAATAAAGCTGCTGCTCACTCCCCATCCGCTGAAGGAAGAACAGAAAGACGACAGCTGTTCCAGACAGACATACAGACAGGTTTTCTGTAGGAACATGACGGTGGACATCAGCTAAAGACCTGCGGGACTAGATGAGTGGCCTTCTGGTATACTGTTGCTTAAACATGAAACGAAATACAAATAAGTCAACAGTGGGTGTCCGGGTAGGGTTCTCATGGTAACTCCTCTTTGTCTCTGCCAGCGTTGGAAGGCCATGCTCTCTGTCGTTTCTCCTTATTTATGCAACGTGAGCTCCTTTCCGACTCATCGCGGATACCACACGAGTTTCCCCATTACAGAATGGGCTCACCCTCTGGACAAAAGCAGGGCCGCCAGCTCTTGGCAACTCTCACTGCTGCCTCCTTTGGAATGAATGCACCTCAATATTTACAGAATCACCTGGCCTCACACAGCTCCCACTCCTCCTACGTGCTCACGCTAGCAGGTGTCTTTTTGGGACTGTTGCTTTCCTTGTCAATGCTATTCACCTCCATCTTGTTAAAATGGAGGGAATCTCCACACAGGTGCCCCATACCCGCAGATACCACCCATCCTGCTGCCCCTTGAGGGTCTTTTTGTCAGACCTGATGGGTATGAACTGCTGCTACGTGACCATGTGACCAGGAAGCTGCTTTCCCTCTGCAGACTTGCCGCAACGTGATGTCACAGACTCCTACCCTCCACTAGATGCAGAGCCAATGGCTCAAGGGCGGGGGCATCAGGATGTGGAGTACACAGGCAAGAATCAAACATCCCATTTCCCTTCTCTCGCCCCTCCAAGGACATCATCTAGAAAATCTGCTTTTCTCAGAGCAATCCTGAAGGACAATAGCTGTTAACAACAGGAGCTGGGGCTAGAAAAAAGAAGGTCTATCGTTCAACTCATCTTTGAGGCCAAAGCCTGGCCCCTGCAGAGAGCCACGCCCCAGGTCATGAGAGCCACGCCCACGCCATGAGAGCCACGCCCATGCCATGAGAGCCACGCCCCACGCATGAGAGCCCACTGCCTGGCTATGCAGGTGGCTTTCCAAGTACCTGACTGCTCCGCCAGGGTTTGCCACAAAGCTGTGGACCCTGGGGAAGATGGTTTACCACAGGGAGGTTGAATGCCAAGCAATCCTCAAGCTTTCTGTGTTGAAGTCTTCTTGCCCTCCAGGCGAATGTCTTTTTGTCAGCGTTCCCTCCAGTTCAATCCCAACTCAGAACTGCGCTTTGTAACTGCCTTTCAGGAGCTTCAGCAGCGCTGTCTGTGTCTGGTTGCCCCGAATGTCCCAGAGTCCCTACTTTGTTCTGTTCCCAAGAATGCTTTGAAGTTCCACCGGGGGATGAGGGAATGTGCACATCTTTGTTGCATATTACTCTTGGCTATGGCATCACTTAGAAGCTAACAATCTGAACAGATAAAGAGAGGGCTGTTCCATAATAATTAAAAATAAAAGTATTTTGTTTCAATAGTTATTATTTGGCAGCAGCCATTACAGATTGTAAACCCAATGTTTCAAAACTTTCTTCTGTCTCACCACGCTTCTCAGCAGTGCAAGCTGTGTGAGTGAATTCGATGCTTACTGAAGGCCACATACTCAGTGATACCCACTGCTTCCCATCATCTGGGCACTCAGTATTTCAGAATAATCCGCAATGTGCCTACTGGTGGTTCTTCCCATTTAAGCTTCATGATCTATAAATCTCAACGATTCTCTTATAAATTGTCAAATGGAAAGGACACTCTTCTTAGGCTATACATTAAACTACTCTGGCCATTTTCATTTTAAATATTTTAAGCAACTATTCACTTTAAATATTTCCTGGGCTGTGCTGCTTCTTGAGTGTATCATTCATGTCGCCAATAACAGCAGCTGACTTTGCCGTTACAAGGCAATTCCCCAGGCCTGTGTGTGTTCTGTGGTTTGAAAAGGAGGAAAGCAAAGCAAACAAAAATCTGACATTCTATTTCAGCAAGTAAAACAATATGGCCCCCTTTTCATTTTCTTCTCATTTCAAAAGTTTGCTCCAAATGTTTCTGATATTATTTTATCTGAGTGGAACAAGACTGATGGTGTCTGTCTAAAACTGGCAGGTCAGCTGAAAGAGATTACAGAGACAATTCACGCATGTGTGGCACAGCCGCAAAGCTCGTCAAGATGTGACCGGGAAGGAGCTGCCCGCGTCGTCTCCCCTGCGGCCCAGCAGCAGCCCAGGGGACACCTCGGCGACTCTCCCCCCGCAGCCCCGTGAGCTCACCTTCACAGGTCTCCGTCTCCGTCCGGAACACATAGCCGGGCGGGCACGTGCAGCTGTAGCTCCCCGGCGTGTTCCGGCACAGCCCGTTATCACACAGCAGTCTGTTGACCAGGCACTCGTCAATGTCTGCGATGGACCAATGGAACAGAGAGAGAGACACGCCTAGTGAAGGTCTGCCACGGTGAGCGGCAGGGTTTTACTTCTGTTGCTTTTACTCCCTTATCCCTATCCCTTACTGCTAGCAAAGCCCTAGCAGTCCTCTGTCTTTTACTTCCTTTTTGTTCTGCCATGGATTTTATTGAAAATGTTATAAAACACCAATGGAACGTATCATAAAGCTAAACTAATTTGCCTATACACTTGCTTGCATATAATAAAAATAATAGAGGGTATTTGAAAATGTTTTTTCTGGCTAAAATTCTACAAAAGAGTGCATTAAACAGCAATGAGTCAAATGATACTAATTTTCCATTATGATTCTACATTGAAACAGCAGTTATCAATGGAAAACTAATGATGAATTCGGTATATTCCTTGAACAATTCAGAACAGCCAGAGAGGACTTCTAACGCTGCCATAAAGTGTTGCAACAAAGGGTGGGCATTTGGCCAAGCACTGAGACACTCATCTGCCACTTGGGAGATCCTGGGAAGCAGCTGTGACAACCCAAGTACCTGGGTTCTTGCCACACAGAAGGGAGACCTAGGCTGAGTACCCACACAGGGAGTGAATACTCAACTACAGGAACATCTCTTTCTCTGCTTCTTTCTTTTTGGGGGTGGGGGTGGGGTGGGCAGGGCTAGAGTGAGTTCACAGTGGGTAAAGCCTCTGCATGCAATGCTGGCACCGCCATGTGGGAACTGGTCTGAATTCTGGCTTTTCTAATTCTGATTTAGTGCCCTGCTAACAGCTTGGGGGAAAGGAAGATGATTCAAGTGCTTTGAACCCTGAGACTCATGTGGGAGACCTAGAAGAGCTTCCAGGCTTCTGGGTTCGGTTTTCCTGGCTTAGTCCTTGCAGCCATCTAGGGTGTCAAACAGGAACCAGAAAAAGTCTGTCTTTTTCTCTCCATAACTCTGGCTTTCAAGTAAACAGATACATCTTGTTTTAAAGATAATTTTTTAAAAGAAATACATTCTTATTTGACTTTTACCTTAAGCCTACACTTTCACTGTGCAACTTTCATCAACGGCATGAAGCAGCAAGCACACCGTGGCTTGGGGTGAAGAGTTCCTTTCACCTAAAGTATTTTCAGTACTGTCAGTAACAGTGACCCTCATCAAACAGTAGGGAAACTGAGGCTATAGAACACAGATCAGAGAACATATTCCAACTTCATCCCCTCTGATAATTTTTTGATGTTTTAATCTGATCTTTGTTCTTCATCTAATGTTGACCTATTATTTGGAAAAGCAGCACTATAGTTTGGGGACTGCATGGCTTTATAATGTTTTATCAAATGAGAAAAAGTAGATTTTTTTCCCCCAAATTGCACCAGTTTTCTTAACTACTTCTCCTTGCTAGCTAGAACTGTGTCGCTCAAAGACAATCTGACATTTACCTCCCCTGTATCTCACAGCATAACTCTTTTTTCAAAACAGATGGATTCACATGAGTGCTAATATCACATGAAAAAAAAAAAGCTGCACACACAAGGGGCCTTCCAAAAACTTTATGGAAAATATATAGTATGAAGACACGAGGTATGGCTTTCAGGAAAGTTACATGACTCTTTTCATTCCACCTTTACACAAAAGTTTGGAGGTTCCCACATAGAGACATATACATAATGAACAAGTGATGAGGACAAAGAAGGGCACAGGGCCACCTGCAGGAGAGGGTGCCGGAGGCTGGTCCTCTCCAGGGCTGCAGGCAGGAAAGGTAGCATCCCTTCTCAAACCGCCAGGGGAGCCTGGCCTGCTGACCAAGAACTCACCAATACAGTTCCTTCCAGAGGCGTCTGGTTCATAGCCACTGTTGCAGTTACAACGGTAACTACCACGCAGGTTTTCACAGATTCCATTGGCACATATATCAGGATCCAAAGCACATTCATTGATATCTGCATTAAATAATCAAGTTTAATGCTCACAAGTACTATACTGTTAACTGATAAATGCAGGTCTAACAAAGATCATTTATCACATCAAGTACTTAACACTGTAAACCCACAAACTGCATTTCCAAAAGGAAAAGGAAACCAAAACAAAAAAAAAGGACAAAATCAACAGATATATCATTGCCAAGTTAAAAAAAAATATTAAAAACCTGGCTGAAATTCAAAGCATTCAAATCATGCAACAGGCCCTTGTTCATGGCAAAATTTATTCAAAATATACAGGTTCTTGGCTCAAACTCTAAAGGAAAACTCAACTTGACAGGTGTTGGAATTATTCAAAAGAAAGACTTATTAGGGTGGCCTATAGAACTTTATGGTCTCTGAAGGTACAGAATGTTTCTATTTTATTATCCTATTTTTTTTTGCAGACAGCTAAATAAAATGATACCTAGTGGTTCTGGCTGTTGACAGGTGAAATTAAGGAAGAGAATTAACAGCTGTTTCAGAACACCATGTTTTCTAAAGAGTCATGGATAGGATGACATTGTTACCCAAGGCAGTGGATGTGAGAATGTTGCACCTGTTACATAACAACCAACATCCACCAATGGGCAGTTGGCTCTGCTCTAGGGTGTCACATGGGCCAACAGTAAAAAAAAGAAGAGTAGGCCCCAAATCAAATTTTAGATCATTGGGCTTGAATTCTGATGCTATCTTTTTTTTTTTTTTATAAGAATTTAAAATACTGTTGCTAATACTGCAACGTTTTTAGCCTTTTCATTTTATGCTTGGGAAACCTATACCTGTAAAGCTTTGCTTCTTTGGAATACTCATTGCAGAGATTCAACTGTTTGGGCAACTAATCTGTCATCTGTCTGAGCATTCTAAACAGAAAAGTAGAACAAGTGAAGATGAACTGTATCCTACAGCCTGAAATAACCATCAATCTGATGTGAGTCAAAATATACAAAAACTTTAAAATCACAAGTTTATATATGTACTTAAACGTTCGAGATTCAACACGGGGATTTTATAAACCACAACATTAAATTTAAAATGAGGAAACTTCAATGACTTGCTTCTTTAGTGGATGGAAACGCTTTAATATTCTTAGACATGGTTTCATAAACAATTCTAGTGTAGTATATTTCAAACTACATTCAGATTCAGATAGTTTCTAAAGACTTTCTTCTAACACAAACTGCATATTACTTTATATATATTTTTAAAAATATTTACCCCTTTAAAGAAATATAGATACTAAGTCTAGCTTCTTCTTAAGTGACAGCACCCCTGAAATCGCAGGTATAGTTAGTGACATTGTAACAATGTTACGTAAGATACTCAGTGAAAATGTACAGATTTAAATATCACTTATCATCTATGTACAACCACTGTTCCAGATGATCTACACTGCTGTATAGAGAATTTTCATATTAAACATCACACTCATATCATCATGATAAAGGCGCATGACTAACCATGTGGCATTTGTAAAACAGAATGAATGGAATTACCTCTTCCATCCACGGTGATGCCTACTCCACTGCTACAAAGGCCATGGAATTCAGCTGTTTGACACAAGAAAAAGGAACAGTAAGAAGGGTTTCCCATTCTCGTCACAGTCATTTACCCAACTCGAAAATTACTGCTGGAAGAATTACATGCACTGTTTTCAAAATGAAAGAAATGACTGCTTCTAGCAAATGACCATGAAAAAGCATCAAACAGAAATAAAAATCACTTTTCATCATTACCCTGAACGCCATTAATATGTGGATGTTACTAATATTTTCTGCATACTTGGCCACTTTAACATATCTAAGCTATATTAAAGATTGCTTTTTGATATTTTTCTACATAATAAAGGTAGAACTTAGGTAATGACATTTAACTAGAGGCTGGTACTGTTCTAGCGTTTTACAACCAGTCGTTTGCTTCATCTTCCTAATGCCCTCTGCTGGATGCGACTGTTTCTAATGCAAAACAGTCAAGAGCCAAGCCACACAGCAGCTCTGTCACTTGTTCTGTCCCAGACGCTGTGAGGGAGGGGCAGACGTGGTTCCCAGGAATCTGACTGCAGACCTGCCTGTCAACGCACTAGGCAAGACTGCCAGTCCTTTGTTCTTATTTATGTAGAGGTGTCACAATCATAGACTCATCACATTGTAGCTACTAGCACCAGGTAACAAGTGTAATTCCATCATTAGGAGAGGCTCTTGGAAGTAAAACTGCTTAAAGCTGACACGCCTTTCAAGATTTCAATAGTTCTTCTCTCCTTAAATGTCCCAGGTTATCCTTCCATTGCTGGTCTGGGTGCTCACGTTTTTATAAAGGGCATTTTATTTATTTGAAATGTAGACTAATAGGGAAAGACACAGAGAGAAGCCTTCTGTCCACTAGTTTACTCCCCAGCGACCACAACAGCCGGGGATGGGTGGCTCTGATGCCAGGAGCTTCTTTCAGGTCTCCTGTGGGAGAGGGGTGGGTGTATACATGCATACACATACTGCAGCCTGCGTGAAAACTAATGTTTCAAATATTTCTTTTTGAATTTTTCATTGACTTGAAAAGAAGACCAAACACATGGTTAAAGGTCTAGTTATGAATTCTACACCTTTTCCCAGGTACGCGACTGGTGCTCATGATCACCTGAGTTTTTGGCAGGACAGGGATGGCAGGGCTCTCCAAAACCATAGTCCGGGTTGGCACAGCAGCATTCTGACTTGGTCACGGCGCCAGGGAATGGACGCACACACACCCCCTTCTTGATGCCTCCGTAGCAGGTGCTGCGCATGTGAGTATCTAAGGGAGACCCAAGAACGGAGACTTGAGAGGGTGAGAGCTGAGGTTGGAATGCGCTGGCTAACGGGAAAAAAAAACATTTCCCCCTCCCACACTGGTTTTGCATTCTCTGTAGATTTTAGCAGGATCATTTAGGTAAATAAAAGGGGGGAAAAAAAAGCAACTAAACACACAATTAAACCTACTGAAAAATTTTTGCTGTCAAAGCAGGAAGGAGCTACATTCTCTGGAGCCATCTAAATACCCCTGAGCACAGCGCTGGCAGCCTGGAGGGCTGAAACGCCCTTGGAGGTGAGGCAGTGGATGACTAGCCACAAGATCTCCATCTGCCGTTTCTTCACTTTTCAAACGGTTTGATTCTCAGGTCAGATTAAAGTACTAACAGCTATGTCTAACAATCCCATTCTCTTACACAGACTTAAACCAAAGTCTGGTTTTACAGCACAGTCTGTAAACACAAGGCCTGCCATCGCTAATCCGCCCTCGGCGTCGTGAAGGTGAGGGTGGATTTCTGCAGCTTCCTGCTTCCGTTGTCCCTGGGACAGTCCGGACACCTGCCTCTTCATGACGTTCTCATTCTTGTCAGTTACATTTCACGAAAATCAGAGAAATTCTGACTCCTTTAAAATAAAATGCTTCCCGCCGCCCTCACCACCGCCTTGCTCCTATAGTTCGTTGTATATTAGTGAGGAATAACTAAAAACCACTTCCAGTTTTTGACATAAATCAAAGCACCACAGCATAAATTTTACATTTCAATTTTAATTCAGGTAAAAACAATGTAACTATAGCTAACAATATATGCTCTATGCCTTGTTATTAATTATAAAACCTAAAGCCACTGTTTTTAGAATTCAGTTGTTTAATGTTACCAAGAATGCTGATTCAGGAATGTTTTTTGTCCTCTGGCACTTTTGATCTGTATCTCACCAGAGTCTTTGGAAGATGAATTTTTGGGGTCACTGACCAGTTCTCTAAAACTGATTTAAGATATACAGTTTCCATACCCCAGAATCCACCCAACTAGGTACACAGTGTAACATTTTTGGGAGACATGTGCAGCCATCACTAAAGTTAATTTAAAGCATTTCATTCCCTCAAAGATGTCCTTCAGCTGTCAGCTCCCTCTCTCAGCCCCGACCTTCCCCCTAATAACACACTTCCTCTCCAGCGACTCGCCGTTCTGGACATTTCATCGGAATGGAATCAAACACCGGGGTGTATTCTGGGATTGGCTCCTTCCACTTGGCGTTTATTCAGGGCTTCTTCAGCGGGTTCTGTTTATGGCTTAACAGAACTCCAGGGTTCACATGTTTCTGTCCCTTTTCCAAAGATCACTTTATAGTTGGAAAAACACTCACTTACCAACACACACACGTCCATCCACACCCACGGCCAGGCCTGGGGGGCAGTCACAGCGGAAGGACCCTTCGTTGTTGATGCAGTGCCCATTCATGCATATTCCGGGGGTCTGGCATTCGTCAACATCTGCCAGGAGGGAGACAGATGCAAGCCATTACTGGGGGAGCTTCACTACAGCCTGTCTGTTACCACCGCTCTCTACGATCAGCCTTTCCTTTTGAACTTTATAACTTGTGGGAGAACACATAGATAGATTAACAGATATCATAGGTAAGTGCAATCCCCCCAAATATATTTTCAGAAAGCCTGCGTGAAAAAAATGTTTTATTTTAAACAATAAGGAACAAAAGAGCCTTATCAACTCACTTTTCACTCTTATTTTTGGCAACCCTGTTGATATAATTCAGTCCAGTTAAAGGAAGCAAATTCTTAAATAATTAAGATGAATTCTATGATTTTCCCACACAAAACTATAGACTGCAGAAGATGTCATTTTCACATGAGTTTGGCCATTTCCTATGAATGACATAATCTTGAGGCCTCTTTTCTAACTTTTAATCCACTTGAATGTGTCAAATGTAAGCCAACACTTACCGCTTTCCAAGAGCGGAAACAAAGCCCACACCATAGCTGGAGAATCATGAAGATGTCAAGACTACAAATTACAGCTGTAGTGAGACAATTATCCCAGGGGCGGAGTCTGGTGAGCCCTAACTCATCTCTGCGTATTTAAGGCACAAGTCTCAAATCCTGGATCAAGACCAACACAGCTAACCTTGAGACAACATCCCCGTTATGGACTCAATGAGTCAGATCATGGTATTTCCATTCAATCTTACATTCCCTTTTCTTGGATAGTCAAAAAGCTACTTTTCAAGAAAATAAGAAACAGTTTCAACTTTCTCTCTTTCCTGTTCCTGGCATTTTAACCTAAAATATAAGGGTTGGCTATCAGATGCTAGATATTCAGATTAATTTTGTGCAAGTGAAGGCAGAAAGCAGTCATCGAGTTAACTGTGTACACAGAAGATATTGAAAAAAAAAAGCTTCTAAGTAGAGCCTGAGAAGGTGCGCCATCTCACCAGCTCCAGCTGCAACAATAAACACTGGAAATGTACACACTCTAAGAGCCCTGTCTTGCTGACTAGCCATCACTGGAACTTGGTTTTTAAGATGATTCATAAAGCAAAGCAAAGAAACAAACTGTCTTCCTCAAGACAACGTAAGACTTCGGGAGTATTCATATGCTACAAATGATGTGAGATTGGCTTTATGGGAAAGATGCAATGTCAATCATGAATAAATATTTCTCCAGGGAGTTGTAAAGGTCACAAATGGTCTATGCAATGGCTGCAGGCATATCCAGAAAAGGATATAATGCTAAGTCAGTAATGAATGACAGTGAAATATCTAGTTTTGAGAATACAGAACGAAAGCCTTTTCAAAATAAAGCTTCTTTACTTTCAGCCAGGAAGGAGAAATTATCTCTACATTATCGCCTCAAGACTCATGACAGTCAGTCTGCATTTCCCTAAAATGTTTACTATAACATTATCTCTTTCCCTAAAAGCCACAGTGCTTCACAGATCACAATGTGAGCTTTTCTGGGTAGCTTTAGATACCTGCCTTACAGAATTAGCAAGAGATGTGAACACTATGAAATCCACATGAAGAAAATGAAGTAATTCTTGGATGGCTCATTCAAACTGAAAGGATGGTTTTGATCAAGTCGCTTTCCTATCACAAAGCCATACATACCAGTACAGTAACGCCCATTTGGAGCCAAGACAAATCCTGGTTTACAGATGCACTTGAAGCTGCCATCTTCATTGATGCACATCCCATTCAAACACATGTTGGTAGTTGTGCATTCATCATGATCTGCACAAGAGAGAATGGTGTCCACGCTGGGCTTGAGGGCCCCTTTCCCAAGCAAGCCCAGTGACATTCCACCACACCAATGGGCCCTGTGCCCATCACATACATGACAGCATGCAGTGTGCAGGATACAAAGGCCGTTAGTGGAAAGGATGTATAGGAAAGGCATTAAATAAATTTAACACTGAGCTGCTGTCAAAACCACCAGGGTAGTGATTTGTTTCAAGCACTGAAGAACATATTTTCTTCTAAAAGAAAGACTAAAGCAATAGCAAACTGTATTGTAAGTCCACTAATGTGGATGAAATGTAGTGTGTTGCAGTGTGAACAGGCCATGTCCAGCGGAATACTGCTGTTACACTGCTAGAGAGCCCCAGGGCGACAGTCAGATTTCATTACTGCATATGCCAAACACTTCGAGACCTCTAGAATGGGGATACTGTCTTGCCAGTGTTATAATCCCAATACAGTGCACACTGCTAGTAGGAGCTTGAACTTACAACAAATAACCACCACCTAAACATAACAGAACCCTGACATTTCCAGAAGCAGTAACGTATACACTGTTACAGCATTAAAAACAAAACACACCTTTTCCATCATTCTAACAGTCTTACAAACACTTGTATTTTATCTGTTTATCTGGAGTAGCCTCACTTATGTGGCATGTAAACTTTCACGGACGTTCTATGTATGGTTCTCAATAAAAATGCAAATCCTTTAAAACTCTTTGGTAAGAAAGCAAGATTTCCATACCAACACAGTTTTTTCCATCTGTAGTTAACTCAAAGCCGGCATTGCAAATACACTGGAAACTTCCATCTGTATTCACGCATCGACCATTTTTACAAAGAACTCCATTCTGGATGCACTCATCAATATCTGGGAAGAAAAAGGATAGCCAAACATTTCTCTAATATTCACAGATATAAAAACAGTCATAGATATAATTTTAAATATGCAGTTTATCTTCAAATGTTTCCATCTCTCCCTTGCATGTTTTTAATTGGATAGGTACATGTCAGCAGTTTCACAGCTCTTACACAAGGCGAGGAGGAGAACAGGAGGGAACGAGGGAGTGTGAGGGTGGGGCATGCAGACAGAGCTGCGGGAGCAGCAGTTTTATGCATAGCAGCTGAAGACCTTGACAAGGGTAAGGACCAAGTCACCGCGGATTTTCTGGATCAAGAGAAACAGTTGAAAACTGCTGGAGGAAACTGGTTTAAGCAACTACAGTTGGGGGAATGAGCGATGCAAAAGAAGATCTGTAGAGGCATCTAGCGTAAGGATTCTGAGATGAGTCAGCACTGAGGTCGAGTCTGGATCACAGCAGTGGCTGTGGCAGTGAGCTCGCGTGCGGACGAGGCTGCTGGTGGCCTGTGTGTGAGGCTCCAACAGTAGCTGAAAACGGCTACAAATTTCAGGCTCATTTCGTTGCAGGGCTATGCTGTCCTTACATGGGCAAAAAAGCTTCCTTCCAAGCAAGGAAGAGCAACTGAATATGTGTGAAGTCAAATACCACACTGCCAGGGTTCTCTATACAAATAGTATGTTTTCTGCATACAGGGAGAATCTCTGATAATATAAAATTAAATAAAGCTTTAATAATGTAACAGCATTTATTTCATTCCATGTCTTCTTCAATTTCTAATGGATGCTTCTTTTAACCTCAACAGATCTGGTCACTGTGCTTCATGGAACATTTTCATGTGTGAAAGCGAACTGCCTCACCGATGCATGCTTGCTTGGTCGGAGTCCTCTGGAATCCAGCATGACATTTGCAGTAATAGGATCCAGGTGTGTTAACACAATCTCCATTAGTGCAGGGATTTGATGTGCATTCATCAACATCTGCGGGCAGCAAAAGAAACCATTACAGACTTCGCTCCATTTGTAGAAAGGTTTGTTTAAAGTACATTCAACCCTCCAAATTTGAAAGAAGGCCAGTCTATGGTAATAGTCTAAATAGTAGAGTATTTATAAATGAATGAAAATTCCTTTCTTCAAACACACACAGAGGCCAGCCTGAAGATTTACAAAATGATTGCTTATACGAGAGTACAAGGAATTTGCTTTAATCAAGAAATAATTATTTTTCAGCTGGAATAATGCCCAATGATTAAAGGCATGGGCTCTGAAGCATGCATCCAGCAAGTTGCCATGCTCATGAGCCATTGCAATCTGGGCAGGTTCACAACAAGACTTAATTTGGTATCAGAAGAAGAATGAGAGGTTTCCAGGCTGTATATTTACATCACACATTGTCACTGTCACTCGTTTCAAACAGAGAGAGGCGTCTTGACATTTCTTAGCACTTTGGGGGGCGAATTCATCTAAATATACAATTATATACACAAGCAGTTTGTACAGCATTGCAAAATAACAAACGTGGGGGGGGGGACAGAAAATAGCTGATGGCAAAAACAAGCCCTATTCTTTTCAAACACTTCAGGTTTCTTTAAGAATTAACCCTGGCACAGGAATTTTTTGTGCGTAAAATGTATTTTATGCAAATAGCAGTTCTGATGTTAAATTTTACATTCAGAGTCTCCCATGGCTTGATTAAGTGCAAATGCTTTACATAATTTAAGCGCTGCCAAACCAAGTGACAAGCTGAACAGTGCACAGATAAATCCCGAGAAATTATGTATGCATGTCTAAGAAGGTGAACCCATCAGTGCCCACTAAATACTGTGCTGAATACTGGCAAATTAAAAACCTGCCTAGCTGGTAAAGCCTAATGATTTGCCATTTCATGTAGCTTAGAAGCCATTAACATCTACAGTTTCAGCTAAATCGGAGGGCAAACAATAAAGTCAGCTCACAGGTTTACAGATTACTCCTGTCACAGATGTTTTCCAAAACGAACTGTTCTCTATCAAACTGACCAACCTCATTTGCGTAAATACTTGGACTAGATGCAATTAAGCCCTCTCTGGCGAAGGGGAAAACACAAATCGAAACCTCTTGGTGAATAAAATAAAAACAACAGAGAATAACAGGATTAAATGTGTGTTCAATTCATCCATGGATCCCGCCAGCCCGTTAAGACCCACTTACGTTTAAGCTTTGAGTCGGTAACACCGGTTCTACTGAGCCAAAGGAACGAAGCAGAATGAGAGAAGAGAATGTGGAGCATTAGGCAAGCACATGAGGGATGCTTCACGGTGCTTCCCATGAAAGGACCACCTCAGTGAGCACTGAAGATCGCTTACACTGTTGGTGCAGAAATGACTGAACTGCAACCATTTAAAGTGTCCTAGCTCTGCACTCGGCCCTTTCACAGGTAAACCCATCTACCAAGCGGCTCCCCACTCTCCCCAGAGCCCGGAGCCAGGGCCCCCTGGTTCCAACAGACGCGCTCATGCTGTGCCATCATGGCTGTGACTGCTCTCTGTCCCCTTAGAGCCCTGCAGCCTCACCAGTGTTTCACAACTGCTCACTGACTTATTGTTCCTTTAGGACTGAAAACAAACACAAGACCCATTCGGGACCTTATATTTTGCATGACTTTAAAACCCCATTGATTCTGCTTTCTGAGATCCAGATAGGATTGGAGACCTTAAGACTCCTCACCGATGACCTCTGCCGCCTTCTGGAACAAGCGCTTCATGCCTCTCCTTCAGAGCTGCACACTGCAGGAGCTCTGGGTGACACTGCTATTCTAAGAGGATTAGAAGGAACTAAACACCTCCCATTGGAAATTTGGGTTCTTTTGATGCTTTTATTAAGAACTGTCTTTAAGCAGATTTCATGCGAATTTAACGCCTAAAATAAACTCAGGAATCATGGAAAAGGTTGATTGTTACAATAGTTACTTACATTTTCAAGTATTAGTGACTCTAGCAACATTTACTCTTGAACAATACCTTATATGTCAATTTAGAAATGATTTTCCTCTATTTTTCAAGAGCTCTAGGATCACATGTGGTCCAACAGGAATGGGTATTCTTTTATTTTAACCAAAGAATTATTTATTTTTATTGAAAAGACAATTTACAGAGAGAAGGAGAGACAGAAAGAACTTTCCATCTGCTGGTTCACTTCCTAAATGGCTGCAACAGCTGGAGCTGAGCTGATCCAAAGCCAGGAGCCAGGAGCCTCTTGGGGTCTCCCACAAGGCTGCAGGGTTGCAGGGCTTTGAACCATCGTCTATTGCTTTCCCAGGTCACAAGCAGGGAGCTGGACGGGAAGAGGAGCAGTCGGGACACAAACCAGAGCCCATATGGGATCCTGGCAAATACAAGGTGAGGATTTAGTCACTGAGCCATCATGCCAGGCCAGGAACAGGAATTTTTTATTTTTTGTAACCTTCCAAACCACAATGAAATGAACTGAAACCATCGGTAACAGCAGGATGCCTTCAACAGGCACTAGCAGAGTGACAGAATTTCACATCAGAGCAGACATTTTCAAGATAAGGGGAAAAAATACGGTGAATAAATGCGTTTTTAGACCTTAAGGGTAATTCTTCTAACAGCTGAAGGAACCCAATTCTACTTTCCTTGTCTTTGATCCTTTTTTACAGTCACTGCTTTCCAAGTTATACTGCTTTATCAGATGACTCATAAATACTCTCAGATAGCAAGGGCACTTTATTGTTGTTTAAAATAATGGCACAATTAAAACAGTTACCACTCTTCTCTTGGGTTCTTAATTTTAAAAATACTAATTCATTGTATCTTCTTTTTCTGACATGCTGATTTTTCTTTACATATTAAAACTAATTAGAAAGCAGACAAAAAGCATATCATTAAAATATTAAAAATGTATTTCCTGACAATATGTTTCAATTTTAAGCTACGACTCTGGATGAAAACTGTTAGAAAACCTTGCAGGAATTTTAACACTGCAGGGTTAAATGTGAAATCCACCCAGAATGGAACCATTTGTGATAATGTTTGGGTAAAATGCAGATGTCTAGAGGTTTATTTTAACAGAGTATCTGTGTAGACATATGGGAAAAATGAAATTAAAAGATAAGTTTATTTTAGGGCAAAGATTTTTGAAACCATGTGTTACTTCCTGTAGTAGGTATTTCTCATGAACTTTTTGAAGACCTGCATATGCATGGATTTCAAAATTTTCTGCAGCAAAATAAACTTGCCTTTTTTTCCTAGAGAGGCAGAGAAAGACAAAGAGAGGGGGAGGGAAAACACACACACACACACACACACACACACACACACACACACACACACACACATACACACACGGCAGGGGAGGAAGCAGGGAGAGATAGATATTAACAAACATGGGCAATAAGATTTCACTTTGATAGACTGTTGCATGTATGTAAGTCAAGAGGGGATATTTTATAGACTTATGATGATATTTTCTGGATTCTACACAAACTTCCAGAAATTCGAAATGGTTGGAATTACACCCTAATACATTTTATGAGGCCAGTATTACCATGCACCAAAACCACACAAACACATAAGGCCATCTTAAATCATTATCCTTTAACACAGATATAAAAACTTAAAAAAAAATCTTTTCCTAATCAAATCCAACAACACAAAAGGAATAATTTAGTATAATCAAGACCGATCACCCCAGGCATGGGAGGCTAAAAAGGAAAATCCAAATGTTCTTCTTAAGAAAAGCAAGAAAGAATTTGACAGAACATACATGTCACATAACACTTTCGGATGGCTAAGAAAAGAGAATTGCCTTAACCTGACAAAGAACCTTCAAAAACTGTGCACTTGACCTCCAACTGGGTGGTAAAACACTGCTTGCCTTCTTCCTGGATTATGGACAAAACAAGGATATTCAACCTCACTGCTTCATTTTAACACTGAACTTGAGATTTTAAGCAGAGGAATAAGGCAAGAAAGTTAAGTCAAAAATACCCAGATTTAAAACAAAGAGATAATCTGAAATTTTAAAAAATATATTTATGGTAACACCAAAAAATATAATACTTAGGGCTAGTCCTGAGCACTGACAAGGGCAAGAAAGGCCTGAGCAGCAAAGTACGAAATATTTCTAAAAAACATAACACAGAGACAGTGTGCTGTGTTCTTGAGTCAGAAGGTACAACAGCATTAAGCTGTTGATACTTCCTAACTCAACCTACAGATAAAAATAACACAGTTCCCATCAAAATACAGCAGACCTTTTTTTTGCTTCTATTTTAAGAAAAGTTTTTTTCAGAGTTAGAGAATGAGAGAGACAGAGAGAGAAAGAGAAAGAGGTGTTTCATCTACTGATTCAGTCTCAAAGCTAGGGCTCAGGCTAGCTGAAGCCAAGGACTTCAGCAGGTCTCTCATGGGTCTATCAGGGGCACAAGCACTTGGGCCACCCTCCACCGCTTTCCTCAGGGCATCAGCAGGGAGCTGCAGTGGAGGCAGAACAGCTGGAATATGAACCAGCACCCTTGTAGGATGGTAGCAACCCAGGCAGTTGGCTTACACAGCATATCAAAATGCTATGAGTTTTGTTGTTGTTGTTAAGACTGAACTTATTTGAAAAGAGAGGGGTAGGAGTGGAGAGAGAGAGAGAATAAGATAATGAGAATCTTCCGTCCATCCACTAGTTCATTCCCCAATGTAACAATCAACTATTGGCTAAAATGAAGCCAGGAGCAAGAAGTTTCATATGTGCGTCTCATTTGGGTGGTGACGACCAGAAGTACTTGCTGCCATCATATGCTGCCTCCCCAGGCAAATGAGACGGAAGCTGGGTCAGTTGTGTCACATGCTGGCTGCTATTTTGTAAGAGCTGTATAAAATAAAAAGGACTTAGAATGACCCAGGCAACTTTGAAAAACAACTAAGCTGAGGAACTGTTGTATTTGAAAACATTGTAAAATTACAATTATGAGAAACTGATGTAAAAACAAACAAATCAATGGAACAGAATAGAGTCCAAAAACAGGCAGATTATATGCAGAGCACTGATTTCCTAAGAAGGTGCAAAGGAAATTCAACGAATAAAAGATATTCTTCCCAGTAAATGGGATTTCAGACACAACATCCTTAAATTTGATTCACACTTCACACTATGTGTAAAAAAAAACAAAAACAATTAAAAAGAGGTCAGAGGCACAGCTAATTTAAGACTTCAAAAACACTTAACCGAGAGCTGAACAGTACATATAGTTGTAGCTTTGAAAATCTTTACAATAGAAATAAAAAGAAGAAAATCTTTAGAACTCTCATTGAATAGATGTATTTATCTTTCAGTTGAGAAATAGACAAGGGAAAAGATATGCACCCATATGATGTTTTTTAATTCCCCAGGAAGATTCTTTATTCACTTTGATATTAATGTAATTCCCAAATGCTGCAGCTCTTGCTGGTAGACCAGGTGTCCCTCACTGCCTCTTCCAACACGTCATGGCAAGATGGATTCAATCTAATGGCATTTGGGGCAACAGATCTTCCATGTCCAGTGACTCTCTGGGAAAATGTCTCGTGAGCTTGGTTTATGGATAACCTTTTGTGGGGGACCTAGAAGAAAGAATCTGTAGACACTGTTTCCAAGGAAAGGTCTGTGAGCCCCAAGAGGTTGCTGAGCTACTTGAGTAAAATCATTTTCATAACCATATGAATATCTGTTATTTGCCTTTCCTACCTTGGTAACATTTACTGTGATGGCTTAAGTGGGGATGAAGGCAGGGACACCACGTTGTTCTGTCAACTGCTAAGAACTTACAGTGTGTTACAATAAAGGATGTGTTAGCTAAGAAAATCAATAATAAAGCAATAAGAACTGATATTATACGATGTCCCTTGAGAATATAAAGTCCATGATAAAATGAACATGGCACCCTCTTGTTGCTGACTAGCTGGGATCTCAGTCCTGACAACGCCAAGGATGTCCCACAGAAGTGCACCTGGGCAACTGCTCGAGTTCTGTGACAAACTTGCAGCTTTCCCCACAGAATACTATTTGTACCTGAATCCTAACTGACAAAGTAGTTAAGACTTGTGGTAGATGTTTTCTTAAAAATAATGAAGTGAATTAGTCACCATAAAGCAAACAACAGACTGACTTTGATGCTAGGATAAAATTTCAGCTTATAAGTGCCAAACTGAGCAAAAGGATTTGCTGTTATGTGCTTGACTGTTTATCAATACTTACAGACCTCTACAATTAATTTGATTGCTACATTATCAAGGGTGATTTTTTTTTTGACAGAAAACAGAATATGCCAACTTAGGAAAGATCCACATGACATAGCAACTTAACATTTTAAACGACACATTCATGTCACAAAATCCATCCCAGGTACAAGGGAGACCAGCAGATTCAGGTAACAAAGCACAGAAAGCTGCTGGTCGGCTGCAGATTCCACAGTGCAACCAAAAGGCTAGGCTGCATGGCTGCAGATTCCACAACGCAGCCAAATCTTAGAAAATCTGTGTATTAGTTTTAGTGGAACATCCAAAATGTTCACAATTAACTGAAAAGCCACGAGGTGGTCCCTCTTCCTCCCAATGGCTGATCTCTATGCAGACGCACCTTCACTGTATTCTCCAACCAAAAGAACGTATCACAACAAATGGAATACAGAAGCAGACATGAGAGTTCAGCTGGCTTCTATGAAGGCCTACATTAAAGAGATCTGCAAAAGTGTAAAACAATCAAAGTGGCTCCAAAATGCTCTGTTTTGGAAAACACAGTTTGTTACAAAAATGTTACTTATGCTAACATGCAAAGGGATTATTACTATTAGTGTTACTTTTAAATGAGCAAACACGTGTTAAGAATTTTTTCACTGTTGATTTCTAAGTTGTAACAGTTTGTTACAAAAATGTTACTTATGCTAACATGCTCATTTTTCAGGGTTTAGACGGGTTTCAGATGGAAGTGCTTGAGATTATCCCTGAGTATCAAACTTTAGTGGACTTTCATCATCTGTCATTTTTTAAAAATGGCTTCATCCTCCCACAAATTGTTTTAAAAAATACATCCACTACAGATTCTTTTTTTATGTCTTGTTGCTGCCTATTCAGACCAATTTCTCCTTACAGTCTAATCTATTGGAACCACAAGCTCACCTATACAGTCTCCACTGGCATCCTGCTTATAGCCCATGTTGCATTCGCATCGGTAGCTGGACACAGTTGGGATGCAGCGTCCATGCAGACAGAGATTAGCATGGTGCTTACAGATGTCTATTGTCTGGTTCAGGATTGCTGCAGAAAGCCAGAGAACAAACAACACGTGAATGTAAGTCAGTCTTTTGGGCGTTGCTTCTTTTAAAGGATACTTACCGGTAAATTAATCGGGTATGTAAGAGAAACCCACACTATTCTATACTGCATTAAACCTTCAACATGAAAGACTTTAAAGCTACTCTTGGGACACACAGATATTTTAAGTCTGGAAACACAGCCTGTAACAATGTCTTGAAAAATTTGGAAATAGTCTACTACACATGAGTGCCTTCCATTTCTTTCTTCTAACTGCTGATTACTCAGATACACTAAGCAGGCAATATGCCAAAAAGAACAAACACAGCCCTGCAGGATACCATTCAATATTACTACCAAGAGCAATGCTTCACCAAAGAATAAACTGAAATGTCAACAACACGAATGCCAATCCTGGTCTGAGTCCAAGTTTTCTCAATTTCTTAAGCAATTTAATGGGAAAAATAGCAATAGAGAGACATATGCTTAGGGGCACGGGACACAGTAAGACTCAGCTTACTTCTGTTGAGTTGAGGAAGAATTCTGGAAAACAACCTAAGGAGAATATGAATAGAGCTGCTGAGATGGTACAACGAATCCCCAGGGACTCAGCATGGACTTCACGGCGTTGCTCAGACTGGAGCATTATCAGCCTCTCGTTTGCACTCCACAGAGCCCGGACCACACATTCTTTTCCACTGATTTAGCAGAAAGCTCACAGAACAGAAATCTACTCTCCTAAGTTGAGTATTACTACATTTTAGATCCAGAAATATGGTGTTTTTTCCCTTCCCACACCTCTTTCCAAAAATAAATTAAAAAAAAAAGACATATCATAATATGATGTGATGCAAAAACTATGTCCCATGATGAATGGCCACTTACTTAATCCAGTGATGATGGGTCCCTGGCCCCCGGCTCCCACACCAGCTCCCCCGACACCAGGAGAAAAGCCGTTGCCTCCAGGAACGGGGATGAAGCCTGCACCTCCTGGGCCATAGCCATTGCCATTGTTGCCATTTGGGGCAAAGCCGTTGCCCACAGCACCTCCTGGTCTGGCACCAGCACTCCCTGGTACCCCTCCCATTGGAAGTCCATCCAGGCAAAGTCTGCGATACTCCTCTAGAAGAAAAGAAGGGTTAGTTCAACACAAGTGGGAGTCTGCACATAATAAGAGCAACTTGCAAAAGCTAGCCTATGCTATCCAATGTCAATAAATAGGTTACAAAATTCAGGAAAAGTTTAAAATTGACACATCACATTATTGTAACTGAGTCACATACCAGAGAATCACTTATATGTGCATTTTAGTTTTATTGCCCATTAAGTACAATTTAGAAATTCCAGGTCTAACTAACTGTAAATGCAGGAATTTTTGAAAACTAAAAGGTTCAGATTCTAAACCTTTGTTTTATGTGCTACATTAACGGATTTTTTTTCTTCTTTTTAGAGATTATATATTATACATTAAGAGGGCTTCAGAATGGTTCTTTCCAGCGTGAATTTCAGTAGCAAACAGCATCAAGAAAACCTTAAATCTGTTTTTCATTTGTCCAAGTAAAAAAGTTAAGACAGAACTAAAAGATGCCTTAACTTTTAGTGCATAATTTTTCTGAAATTTCACTCTTTTGGTTCATAATACACATATTTTTCTAAACTTCCTGATGTTTCCTTGTATACCTGGATTTTTCTACAATAAACCTATGTCTTAATTCCATTTTCCATGAACTTTCTGAAGTATCCTCATAGCAATTAATCTATTTCCTTAACAGTTTGCAGAATAAGAAATAATGATTTATAATCACTAGTGGAAAAAGAAGTCAGAAAATTATCCACTAGCTATAAAGTCTGCTTTTTTCATTTAACAGACTTTGGTGGTTTTTGTTTTCAGAATTTTGAATGAATAGTACGAGTTGATTTTTTTTTTCTATTTTAAGAGTGCATAGCAGGTACTTATATTTATGTCTCAAAAATTATTGTTTATGATGACATAATTCAGTACAAAAAAGATAATGATGGACTACCATCACTTGTAAACTAATGTGATAAATATTAATTCACATTATATTTAATAAGAGGAGCTTGTTAAACAGTTACTAGATCCTAAAGTAATTTACCAATGTAGCTTCATTTTCATAGCCACTACTGTAACAGAGTGGCTGAGAGGTACCCTCAAAGTCAGGATGATTAATTTTCAAGGTAGTGACATGAGAGTGAAAAGCTTCAAAAACTGTGACATTGTAAACCAGGGTGCCTATCATAAAAGATACAAATGGAGGTAGAAATTTCTTACTCAGAAACAAACTCTGGAATGAAAGATGGGGAGGTTCAAAATCTGAATTAAATACACTCAAATCAACTTTACAGTACAGCCATGAATTATGAAATGACATCCTGCTCAATGGTTCAACAGCCACTGCACATTCAATGGCCGCTTTGTGTGATCCTAAAGTAGCTGAAATGTGTGTGCTGTGTAGTGAGCACAATGACGCAGAGGCCATGCTGAGCTGAGAGCCTACATCCCCCAGGTTTGTGCAGCTCTGCTCCATGCTGCTGGCACCAGGACAAAGCCACCTCAACACACATCCCTCAGGACGCGGGCCCGCCACAGGACCTGCACAGAAGCAAGTCTACCGGCTTGCGGGAACCTGATGGTAATAATCCGGCATGGTCAAAACTGACCCCTCAGCTCAGAGCTACTTTATCCCTCCCAAGAACACCAAATCAGGCAGACCATTCTGACAGGAGTGCAAATGCGACGTGACTGCAAGGAGCAGAGCAGTCACTGCCCCAACACCATCTTCCTTGCAGCAGAACCCCACGCTCACCGGAGCCTCTGACGGGACAGGCCTCAGGAAGGGTTCCAACACCCCAGCAGCGGCCGGGCTCACAGCAGCACTGCATCTTCGTCATTCTGCCTGGGAGCTCTTGTGCACAGCGGCCGTTCACCAGGCCCGAAAAACATGTGCCTGTTCTCTGATCTGATCATGCAGAAATAAAAAACAGAAGACACGACAGTTACCTCTTGCTCTTACTGCAACCATTTCACATAATAGAAGCGTCTCTGAGAAGTGAATTGCTTTGCTTCATCTACCCATGCCTTTGTTATCTCAGCTCAATATGTTTTTCAGTACTTTATTGATTTACCTGGAAAATACTAACTGAATATCTATTTCACATCATATCCCAGGGACCCAAAGATAAAGGATGTGGAGCAGGTGTACAAGGCTGATGTTCAGGAAGAAGCCTCAACTGGAACGAGCTTGAGGCAGGGCAACATCCCAATGCCAAACCATGCCAAACCTCAGCTGGGCATGGTGAGCACTGCAGGTGGGCAGTGTTTTACGCCACTGAAGTTCTGTGCTTGTGTCTCACACAGCAAATGACTCAAACAGGGTCGCAGAAACACTGTTCCGAAGCAGCTGCAGACAGTGCCATCTGAGCAGCGGTATTAAAGTCAAGGCATGAGCCACAGGAGGCACCAGGGCAAAATCACCTCAAACACAAAGACTAGGATGCAGGTGCACCCAGCACAGCAGGAGAACTGAATTCAAAAGGAGAGCAATGAGTGTGAATCCATGGTAGACAATGTGTACTGGCCTGGGTGAAGGAGATCAGAAAGAAAGTCTTGAAAATTTAAAACTTGATTTATTCATCTTTATTTGAAAGGTAGTTACAGGGAGAATGTTAGAGATAGAGAATATTCCATGATCCCCTGCTTCTCTCTCCAAATGACCACCACAGTTGGAGCTGAGCTAGTCTGAAGCCAAGAGCTTCCTCTGGGTCTCCCCTCATAGATACAGGCACACAAAGACCTGGGCCATCCTCTGCTGCCTTCCCAGGCCATTAGCAAGGAGCTGGATCAGAAGTGGAGCAGATGGGATGCTGATACCACAGGCAGAGGCATAACTTGCTATGCCACTGGACACTTAGATAATAAAAAAAATACACTATTAAGTGGTCTAGGTTGTGCCTTGAGTGGCTTCTAAGCTATCACGAAATACATAGATTAGGGTATTTCATGTAAAAGTTAGCATTCTTTTTAATAGCTCCTCCCCCAAAGGGGAAGAAACATGTTCAAAAGCAAAGAACTTAATTTCACGCATGCTTAAACGTGCTGCGGGCATGTTTCAAACTTCAGAGCAGGACTTGGACAGGCTGTGGCTGGAGCAGGTGCACAGGTAGATTCCTGTTCTGAAGAATGATCAGGAAAACAACTGATGGAATATTCTTTGTCGGAAGCCACTGGAGTAATTTTCTTGTTGCACTCCTCAGGATAAATATGTAAATTAGGAAACTCTCAAACTTAATAATCAGTAATACTGTGAAACACAACCTGGATAAAGGTGTTTCTCTCTGTACGTCCTCTAAAACGAAGGGGTTGTAACTCAAGGCATTAAAAAAATGAAAGCAAAACTCCAGTGAACTGAGTACTTGGATCTGGAGCCCTCGTTCACATCCAAGAATGAACTGCTCGGTGTTAGAACTGAACTTAATACTTATTACTTCACGGCACTACAGAACTGGGTGTTTCTAGTACAGTGGTTAACTAGCTTCCCTACGTGTGCCTTCCAATCAAAATATCCTGAATGAAACAGGAAAAACTACCAAGTTACACAATGATGAAAGGAAGGATCACAGGGGACCCCAATGAGTTGACAACAGGAACTGGCAACAGGGCTTTCACTTGAATTAAATTCTGCAGACTGAATTTCAACTTGGGCAAACAGGAAAACATATCCTCGTGGAAACAGCGCAGACGCCTCAATCCCTATTGGGTTTTGGTTTGTGAAATGCCAAAGGAAGAACACGGGATGAGGCGGTTCCTAGGAGAGATTCTTTGAGCATCTAACAAAAGGCAAGGCGGAGGACTGGGCACTGACGTGGAGGCTAAAGAGACTCACACACTGTTTGCCTCCGGGAAGAAGGGTCGCTAATGGTACAGAAACACACGACCAGACTCAGCAAACAACATGTGTCAGACACTGGGAAGGTCTCACAACCATTACTGTTAAATATTAGTAATTCAATTGTGCTCACTACATTATGGTTAATGCTTCTTTAAATTAAGCTTTGAAAATATAAATGGGGGAAAATCAATCAACACTAAGGAATAGATTTGACAGCTCAATTTTCATAAATAAAAACTTAACTAAAATACCTGAAGGATAAATAGGCAGACTGTATGCAGATAACTGAGCTGACAGATACTGATGGCCTGTGATGTTATTCAGAGAGACGGGCATTGCGGCACACTGGGTCAAGTCGCTGTTTTCTTTTTTTTTTTAAGATTTATTTTATTTTTATTGGAAAGTCAGATATATAGAGAGGAGGAGAGACAGAGAGGAAGCTCTTCCGTCCAATGATTCACTCCCCAAGAGAGCGCAACCGCCAATGCTATGCTGATCCGAAGCCAGGATCCAGGAACTTCTTCCGGGTCTCCCACGTGGGTGCAGGGTCCCAAAGCTTTGGGCCGTCCTCAACTGCTTTCCCAGGCCACAAGCAGGGAGCTGGATGGGAAGCGGGGCCGCTGGGATTAGAACCAGCACCCATATGGGATCCCGGGCGTGCAAGGCAAGGACTTTAACCACTGCGCGCCAGTCACTGTTTTTGACACCCACCTCCATGCTGGCACGGGGGGATTAAGCCCCACTCTCATTTCCCGCCTAGCTTCCTGCTGATACACCAGAGCAGGTAGCAGGTGAGGGTAAGCACCTGGGTTCCTGCCATCTGTGTGGCACACCTGCATGCACTCCCTGGCGCCCTGCTTCGGTATGACCCAGCCCTGGGTGCTGCAGGCATGTGGGGAGGGAATCAACAGATCAAGGATCCCACCTCCTTTCCCCACCGCTCCTTTTTTCTCTTACTCCCTCTCTTTCAAATAAGCAATTCTTAAACAAAAAGGGGATGAGAAGTGTCAAGAGAGGTTAAGAAGCACGGAGCTGAGTGTGCAAGGGTAACGTACTTCTAGAAGGGGTACTAGAAAAATAACAACCACGGGAAGAGGCGATATTCGGCACCACCATCTTGACAACTTCCTGGCAGTGTCGTAAGACAAGCCCGGATGTGGGAGGGCCAACATTTAGAAAGTGGGAAAAGTGTCAAGATACCAACAAGTAGCCTCCTCGCTGTGCCACTACTGTAGAACAACAAAGACAGCGAAGACTGAAAGGCAGGTCCAAAGTCGAGACAAACGACCTGTTAGGGAACGGCACTTGGAAACCATCTCGTGCTGACGTGTGAGTGAGCTGCGAGGGACCCTGGGGCACTAGGGAACAGTCACTGGCCACGAGCCGGGGCTGGCACTCTGCACCCAGCAAACCGCATCTTCAAGGAGACAAACTGCAGTTTTCTACCCAAAAGGTTTTATGTAGAAGGAAATGTTGAAAAGGCTGTCTTAGGCGAAAAGAACAGGACGCCCTGGGACTCTGAGATGTTTCGAGGAAGGGTGAGTAAAAAGCATTACTGAATAAGTGAAGAGTGTGTGGTAAGACAAAAGTAATTAACTTGATGCAACACACTGAAATTTTTGAAAGGAGATGACTGAAGTTCACTATTGTCTTACTATTTAATAAGGGTCAAATACAAGTTACTTTTAGACACTAGGTTTTACATAGATATCAAACTTTGGAAGTCAGGATTATAGTGAGTAGAGAGAGACAGTGAGGTCACTCTTCCACCGACGGGCTCATTCCTTAGATGGCCACACAACGGTCAGGGTGGGCCAGGCCGAGCTCGGAGCCTAGAACATCGTCTGGGTCTCCCATGTTGGTGGAAGGAGCTGCCCAGGAAGTCCGGCCTTGTTCTACTGCTTTCCCTAGGCCACTGGCAGGGAGCTGGACTGGAAGTGGAGCAGCCACGACATGAACTGGCGCCCATATGGGATGCTGGCATTGCTTATCCATGACATCACAGTGTCAGACTCTATTCGTACATCTTAAAGCAGATAGGACAGTCCCTGAAGCTACAGAAATAAAGTACTCAGCTTCATAAAGGGTGGAAGAGGACAGAATTAAATCTACAAGAAAAAAAGAAGATGAAAAGATACGGCCAAAAGAAAAGTCCAAAACAAATAGGAAGCTTACAACAGATGTTAGAAATGAAAACAAGTATATTGGGCCTAGTGCGGTAGCCTAGTGGTTAAAGTCCTCGCTTTGCATGCACTGGGATCCCATACGGGCGCCAGTTTTAATCCCAGCTGTTCTACTTTCCATCCAAGCAGTAAAGGATGGCCTAAAGCCTTGAGGCCCTGCAACCATGTGGCAGACCCAGAAGAAGTTCATGCTACTGGCTTTGGATTGGCTCAGTTTCGGCTATTGTGGCCACTTGGGGAGTGGATCAGCAGATGCAAGATTTTTCCTCTCTGTCTCCCCTTCTCTCAATTTTCCAATAAAAATAAGTAAATCTTAAAAACAAAAATAAACAAACAGGGCCCGGCGCAATGGCGCAGTGTTTAAGGTCCTCGCCTTGCACGCCTGCGATCCCATATGGGCGCCGGTTCTAATCCCGGCAGCCCCGCTTCCCTTCCAGCTCCCTGCCTGTGGCCCGGCAAAGCAGACGAGGACGGCCCAAAGCTTTGGGAACCTGCACCAGTGTGGGAGACCCAGAAGAGGCTCCTGGCTTCGGATCGGCATAGCATCGGCCGTTGCGCTCACTTGGGGAGTGAATCATCGGACGGAAGATCTTCCTCTCTGTCTCTCCTCTCTGTTTATCCGCCTTTCCAATAAAAATAAAATAAATCTTTAAAAAAATAAACAAATAAAAAAACCCCAGTTATATTAGGGCTGTAATAAACACAACAGGGAAGACAAGGACTGAGCAAAGCGGAAACGAAACATTTAAGACACAAGGGAGTGGGAGGGCTCAGAGGAAGAAGACAAAACAGAGAACTCAAAACTCTCCACTTTTGAGCCCAAACAATGACAAAATGAGATAAAACGGACAATGAGAAAATATTTCCAAAGAGAGGAATAATTCTGGA